CATCTCTATATACGAGAACGCGTCGAAGCGCGAGAAATAACAACTAAGTACTGTAATACTGCAAAAATGACTGCAGACATCCTCACGAAGCCGCTTGCCAGAGACAGGCACCAGACGCACGTGGCTGGCCTGGGCATGAGCACGGTTTGAGGGGGAGTGTTGAATAAAGCGAGACGAGAATGACACGACGTCAGTCTCGGCGTCATGAGTAAAGTCACGTGCTCTCCGCAGCGCGCTGACTGAGGTTACTCCTGTTGTAATGAATTTAGTAGTCGGACGGAGCTACACTTGAAACCGATGGCAAGCCGTGCCCATAGAATTCGTATGAGTAATCTAAAGTAGAGGAGGCCTATAGCCCCTACAAACTAGTAGTATAAATAATAGACGAACTCGAGCGAGGAAAACTCAGCTCGCACTGCTCTCATCCGCTGTGTGATTCTCTCAACCTAAGTGTTCTGTTAGAAATACAGGCATGAAGTCGAGGCAAATACCGGTCCATAGCATTGCAGCTACCATTTCTGCTAGCGCGTCTTCTAGGTCTGTCACGTTGAGAACATATGTTGGCTCGGGTGGCCCTTGGTTGTACACTTTGGATATTTGGTAAGGAGCCCCCGCAATATCTATGCCTAGCTGCTGCATGAGGTAGCTAAAAAAACCATCTTAGACGTATCATAATGGTATGAAAACGTGTTTTTCCGCTTACTAGTCCATCAACGGTATCGTGTAGTCACTACTCATGCCGTGGATTGTGGTGTTTGACTGTGGTGCCTTGCGTAGAGCGCTATCGAGCTGGAAATGACTCTGAGATAAGTATCCCAGAAAGAGAATCATACACGTTACCCAATAGCCTGGTCTGACCGTTGCGTTGGACGCTGTGTCTATCTGGTACCCGCCTTCTGGAAGCTCTTTCCATGCCCCTTGCTGATCCCTCGCTTTTGATGATGTGATCTGGAGCACGTTGGTTTGCACATCCAAGCTCACGATCTCTGATGTAGCGGACATAGAGCATCCGGCAAAGAAAGTCCGGACTTCTTTATTCATTATCCCATTGGGACAACCGCCTCCCGAACAGTAGGACCAGTTTAATGCCACAGCATAGTCATCAACAGCTGAGGCGGATTCAAAAGGCGCGAGACCTGTAGTCAGCATGTATAAGACGTCAATCTATGTTATGCAGATAGTTGATCAGCGAGAGGTCAATCTAATCGAAGGAAGCTCACAGCCAGTTCCCCTGACCCTGCGACCATCGCGCTGAGTTCGCTTAGTAGGACTTGATCTACCCCTGTTCATTGGTGAATCAGACCCTGTCAGCACTCTTCGATGAAAATACCCGCTTCACGGCGAATTGCGTCTTACATGGAACAGTGTAATCCATGAGGGTGTTTTGTGTTGACCCGAGATTCCCGACAAGGTCAAATTTACCTGTGTTCGAGGTTACGGACAGGTTTCTACTGGGTATGAGACCGCACTCAAAACTGATCGTACTAGCGTTCACTTGAGCAATGCCCATCGCCATGCTGGGCTGGATAACAGTGTCATATACTGACGGGCCGCTGAGTCCCTGGACAGTAAGCGAATCCATATGTGCCATTCCAGGTACGATTTCGTCGATCGTCTGCCAGTCTAGTCCACTACCATCGAAAGTTTCTTCCAGCGAGGCAGCACTGGAGCCACTCCAAGACGTCTTGGTTGGTACATGGACAGCTATTGTATCGTTGAAGGCTTCAAGTGACATAACACTGCTACCAACAACGTGAAGCGCAAGTGTACACGTCAGATAGATAGTGATGAGCGCAGATGATGCCATATGAGCAGGCAGACGAGCGTTGTTCCAAAGGCCAGCGATGGCACTCCCTAGTCCGGACCATGCACTCGAAGCGTCTGCGAGAGCTGTAAGTTTCTGCTTTTGTTCCAATATATAAATGAGACCAAGATGCTGGATAAGCGCCACCAAAACCGTCCCATATATCTGTTTCTTTGCTCAGAACTTGGAATGAAGGCATAGAGAAACAGATAGAATACGTGCAGTATAGAAGGCTTGAAGAGAGACACTCAAGGCCGTCGGGAGCCACCAGCGGTCCTGGGTAACAGGTACGATTAAGCGTCGAGCTCGATAGGGAATGTATATCCCAATTAACACGGAATGAAGGACAATCATGAAGAAGTGGAGTAGATGACACAACCACCGCAAACCCAGGATGCTCAAACCAAATACAGCTGCATTTGGACTCGAGCAACCTGAAATGGTGATTTCTGCTTAACAGGGCGGATGCCATGGTTATAGGAAGACATGATGAGACAATATCGTCGCTGAGCTTTAGTTACGACCCTTGTTAACGTACCAGGCAACTTTTCAACAACGGACATTGGTGAACCTGGCCAGGAACCGAAACTTCAAGCAAAGACGACGGGGTGCTAGTGACGTCGCACCTTTTATTCCATTTTCCGAAGAAAAAGACATACACTGTGCTCCGTCTTGCAAATTTCGGTCCTGTGAGCGGTTATCTCTTGATGTTACAAGTGTTACACTGTCGTAGAGTGTTTCATCCTCCAACAGCCGTCCAGAGGGACCGTCAGATACGATGTGGTCAAAATACTGGCAAGACATCTGGAGCTTTCGATGGAGGGAAGTTACAGTCGATGTAGGTCGGTCTGCAGCTCTTTTAGAAGATTTCAGGATCATTGATGAGGGGAACGTCGAGCTCCGACGGACAAATGGCATTCAGCCCTGTTCTCCGGCCGTTTGATGCAAAGAAAGGGTGGATACAGTGATCATCAATCTTGTGACTGAGTTCTCATGCTGTGGCCCTGAGATATTTAAGCCGTGCGTAGACCTTACCAACATGATGCTCCGCTGAGGTGATGAAATCTTGGTGAGAATAGCTTGAACACCATCATCAGAAAGGTACTAGGGGGGTCGCCGTGATGGGAGAAAGGTCAGTACGGGAATCCTGAGAAGCCTTGGTACTCACTCATCACCTCTATTATGAAAAATACCAATGCCATTGACCTGCTATGCATCGGGATGAGGGGATGAGACAGATGAATTGGAGGGGTTTCTCAGCGCCAGCGCTTTCTATTGGTTGCGACCGGGGTTTCTAGGCGGAATATTAAGCGGAGCTTAAACTGCTCTTCATTTTCTCGACTGCCTGTTTCTTGACTTGCCATGAGTGCCACGTGGACAACTGCATCTTACTCTAACTACTTTTGCCAGTGCGAAATTTTACCACACGCGTTCTCAACGTGATCGGTTCAATGATACCTATCGAAAGCTTGTAGTGAGCGTTACATGCTGATAGCTCACTGCTAGTAGATCCCTCCTTCCGTAGACCGCGTCTAGAAGGCTCTCGAGGCATGTTCATATCCTTTTCTCCTCATAGTGAATAGTAATAATAACACTTAGAACAGAATCTTGATTTATTTAATTTATCATCACTGAGATATAGCCAGGCATCTATCCGGCTCACCCCATGAGCTGGAATACCTGCTGCCAGGCCGCCCCTTGTTCAGGGCCTTCGTATAACACTGTGAGTTCTCCGTTGTACGCCTCCAAAAGTCGAGCACGAGGAGCAACTCCTCTCAAAAGCTCCGCCAACATCCGCTGCCTAATAGGGTCCATTGGACAAACCGAGTCTAACAGGTTAAGCGCTTCCAGCGGGTGGTCCGACTTTGGCCATGGCTGCGTAACGTCCGCGATTCGCTCGCCGTCAATGGCGACCGCGAGCGACCTAAGTTTGGGTGCATTCCGCAACAGCACTGCGAGGCCCTTGGGAGTCAATTTCGGCGCGCATCTAATTGTACCCCACCCCGCGTTCGCGTTGAGCTGCAGCTCGGTGAGTTGCGGCCAGGCGACGAGGAGTTGTGGGAAGGACCCGTCGTCAAACCCGGCCAAGCGGCGAGTGTCTACCTTGAGGGACTCGAGCGAACGGAAGCAGACGAGGTCGTTCAACGTGGATCTGGTCAATGCGCCGTCCTCGTCGAGGTACACGTCGAGCTCTTCGTCGGGGTACTCGCGGATCTCCAGTCGCTTGAGCACGTCGTGGTCAACGCTAAGCGTGATGACTTTGACGAGCTGGTCCACGGGGCTGTGCTCCCCATTTCGGTGGGGTACATGTATTGCCAGGTGATGCGGGCGCATGGTAACAGAATTGAGAAAGTCGAGCATGGGGAGATAATTGCTGTCGAAGATCTCGTCATCAACGGGGTCGTGGGATAGAACAATATTTCTAGTCGCCTGAAGGATACGGTGAGGATTGCCTTCCTGCGACGTGAATGCAGTAGTGGTGTTGGCTGATACGTAGACCTTGGCAGTGTGGGCGGCGGAGTTGCGAAGGACCCAGAGGAGCGAGTTTGTGTCAAGGTGAGCAGTGTCGAGGATTGGCTGCTGAGCGAGGGCTTGGAGCTGAGCGGACATGGCTAGGATGGAAAGAAGAAAAAGGAAGGCTACAATGTCGAAAACCTCGCGAACATGCCGTATCTTATACTCCTTCGCAGGAAGGGTCGCTTGATCCTCAAGAAAAGGCGTGGCAAATCGACCTCCACCAGGGCCGCCGAAGACCACATGATGGCTGGATCAGGTGGAAAGCCACCAGGGCTGGAACTTTTCTCTTGTGTTATGCCACCGTCATACATAGAAAAGAAGCAAACCAACAAATAAAGCGACAGCATCGTTGATGTCGGAGGTCTGTGGATGACATATCAGGCGAGCCGAAGTAAGCCGCTGCCGATAGAAGGTTGCGAAATTCAACGACCCTCCGCCCTACCCGCGTGCTTGGCCATCGTGAACCTGTGGATGAGCCCACCCGTCAACGATGCAATTCTCCGTAGAATAGCTAGTTCACGATAGGAGCAGCCATTTGTGAGAAAAATCCCCATGCTGATCTTCCGATCCAGGCATGGAAACGCGTAAGGTCGTTCGATATATCAAGAGATATTATAACGTCAAATATGAAAATACAGCCGCCCACAACTATTATGAGTCATCACAGATCAATCACACAGTGCGTCCGGTGCTAACCACATTTATTGATATAGGAAGTGTTTCAGATCAACAAATCTGCCAAAATTTCCGCCGTCCTTCCGAGTCCCCAAGATGGTCTTGCTGGTTGTCGAGATAGACACTCGGAATTGATTATCACGCTTGTCCTACTTGCCGCTGCCTCAGGGTTTCCAACTACCCAGTCGACAAGCCAACCCGAATGCCACCTACGCGATCGATGGAGTTTCACGGAGGCATAGAAGATCTGTCAGGATGACAGCCGAGATTGCATAATCACAACCCATGCACTGCATCAACTCAAAGATGGAAGAAGGGGGCCATAGGGCAGGCACAATCTGTCAGGGCGCTTTGGCGTACCTATGGGTGCATGTGTATCTCCACAAATTTCACTCACATGCACCGAGATGCGATGTCGGAATGATGGCCTGCGAAGACGGACGACGACGTACGTGAGAATCGGGATGATTTATTTTCCAAGCGCTGCCACTGCCTAGAAGACATAGACAACACGTGTTTAAGAGGCGGCATTTCAACACAATATTGAGTGGCCTGGTTCTTTGGTGTCACCGTAATTAGAGTGATCTTCGAGACATCCGCGTCAATGGCGCACGCTCGTACGGGCGCTATCCAAAGATATCATATCACGATACCTATACTTAGAAAATGAGTTGTGAAGTGTCTTGCAGCACTGAGGAATTGCCTACTGCCTTCGGTTTAATAAGCACTCAACCGGACTATGTAGCATGGGCTCATAGCGGAACCCCACGTAGTCACAATACTTAAGCATAGTCTTGACCAAGTCTTGACATACTGTATATAAATGAAAATGATATCACCTTCGCCGACACCTACTTCCCCGACTCAGGAGTCCAGCCTAGAACCCGTGGTCTATCATCTTTCGCTCTAGCCCTATGCATACGAATCGCTAGTACAACATCGTCCCACCAAGCCTCCGAGTCTTCTGCTTCATCCAAAACTGTGAGGTCATTTTGCCATGAATGGAGAAACGACAGACGCGGAGCAATCCTACACAAAACAGAGGCAACCGCGTCGGATTGCTCGGCCACGGGAACAGAGTCAAGGACATCCAAGACGTCCAACTCGGTGTCCAGCACCTTGGCATTGTCAAAGTCCATGAATTCGATGCTCGTCGTGTCCAGAGCGAGAGCGAGCGACCTCAGCCTGGGCCTTAGTTGTAGAAAATCCCGGAGACCACCGAACGTGACATGGGGGACATGTGGAGATCCCCAGCCCGTCGTCTCGTTTATCTTGAGCTCTTCGAGCTGAGGCCAGAATTGAGCGAGCGCTAAGAGCTGCTCGTCGTTCAGCGTTACGCGCCTTCGCGTATCAAAAGAGACATTGGCGAGATTGGGAAGTGCCGAAAGCGGAGCGAGGTCGTGGAATGACAGCGCATACTCTTCATCCGTGTAAATATTGTATGGCTCATTCGGGACTTCGAAAACAGCGAGCCGGGATAAACGGCCCGGGTCGCAGTGCTGCGATATTGCGGTGAAGAGATTGAGCATCGAATCTGGCCATAAGACGGGCCAAACTTCGAGCTCAAGTGTAACTGGCGCGATGCGGATACAGCCGAGAAATTTCGTGAGGATCGGCTGGTGTGGCTCGTTGCCGACCTCGTGCATAGGATAATGGACAAATCGTAGGTAAGAGGCTTGGGGGAATGAAATAGCATTGGAGGGCGGATTCGATGCCAGGCGGCTGCTAAACGCGTCGACGCCTCTTGGGTGCACGGCAAAGTGCGCAGACTCGAGCTGGGTGGATACTGCGAGATGCCACATGGCCTGAGCATCGATTGCGCCGCACTGTACACTCCGAAGCTCGTTCCAAGATACTAGGGCGGAAGAGAGTGGGGCTGGGTCCTCGTCCTCGGCGCCGAGTGTGAAATGTTGCAGCCTCGGAACTAGAAGAGGAAGTGCGGAGATTGATGTGTCGGGCTGAGGATAGGTGTGGATGGCCAGGGTCGAGAGAGATGGGTTGAGAAGTCTGACGAGAAGTTCGTAGGAATGGGCAAGATCCATGTGCCAGTGAACTTCAGTCAATTTTGGGAAGATGAAACGGGGGTTGTGGAGAGTCTCGAGAAGGTAGGTCCCCGAGATATCTTGCGGATGTGGAGAAGGAGGATACTCGGAGGTACCAATAGCCTGTACGCAGCTCGCGAGTTTCCCCAGTCTTTCCCATTCGTCGTCTCGGAGATAACGCGAGATGCTGAGAGTCTACGGACGGCAACCGTCAGATTAGGGCGCAGACAGTTCTGATATTGACCTACATACCTCGCCCAAATGCCCGGATTTACTGACAAGGGTCTCGGAGGGTAGGACAGAAAGAACGGTGAGGGGACTTGGAATGTGTCTCCAAAGGAGATCCCACGCCACCCGGTAGAAGAAGCGGGAAGTGGCAATGAGAGCAGCGGTGTCCCTTTGCATATCGAACATCTGCGCGATGAGCCGCACAAGCTCGGGGATATGTAGCGCACTCGCGTTCTCCATAATTATATCTCGTTTTGCGAAGAGCTCGGTGGGTCGACAGCCTGTGGATTTCGGGAGCGCGAAAACCACCAACCCGATTGCAACTTTATGGGTCCTTGTCGTTGCCACTGCCCAGCTACGGACATCGGAACGTTCTTGTGCGGCTAGCAGTAAGCCAGCAGGACAGCGATGCTGCATGTGCTGTTGACAGCATATCCAAAGATTGTGATTGGCCACCTTTCCAAGTCGATCCGGCCCCGTGCTGCGTGTCATGTATCACAGGGAGCTACTTGTAAGCTAGGCCATGGTAAAATCGATGGGAGCCTGAAATCCAAGGGCAACACGTCCACGCCGAGCGTTCGGAAATACCTCCGCTAGCTTGAGGTCATCTGCGCGAAACTTCCCTCTTGAAGGAGGAAGGGAAGGCAGTGCCTTGGACACTCGTGATGGGTGTGCGTTTGGCGATTGAATGGTTGCGCCGAGCGCGATATATGCATAAATGCGCAGGATATGAATGGAGGGGAGGGGACTATAGATAGCGTAGCGTATGTAGTAGCAATACGACAGTGTCAGACTGAAGGGCATGAGGCTGTTGATTATGCCCATCGTGTGCTTGCCATCAACGTGGACGACGCGATCGAGACGTACTTACGAGGATGAGATGCGGATTTGTGTTCATAAAAAGGCGCATTTGAGAAGCTCACCAGGGCGAGGGCGTCATCAGCAGCCAATCGAAGAGAAAGGTAAGCTTGAGTTTACGGGGGAAAGGGTAGACTCGAGTGGCAGCAAGTGCTTCGGAACTCTGAGTCAGTCGACATGGAAGAAGTCCGAATTATATTCCAAAATCACCCGTCGAGCTTCAAGTTGGATTGCCACCGAGATGCAGAGGTAAACTCAAAGTGACAAAGCGCGCTTTACGTGGAGAATCCGGATCTTACGTCAGATTTTGACAGCTGTAATCTTGCGAAGTTGTCGCCCGGCAGACTCGAACCGGACTTTTCTGACAAGATAAGAGATACAGTAAATTGATTATACTAGGCGATACGTAATATGTTGCTACAGTCCGGCTACAGGTACAGTATAACGCGTGAGGATGAAATGCCAATCACTTGCTAGGCATAGCCTCCTCGTTTCCTTTAAGAACTTCGTGACCACGTTCTTGGACTTTGGGTTTGCCTAAAGTCTACGTAGAATCAGCATCAGACCTGCAGTGAAAGTGAAGGGATGTGTGACGCACCTTGCCTTGAATGACCTTCAACGAAGAACCTCAGAGTTAGCGTAATTTCTGTGGAGCAACGTTTCCATCATCTTACCTTTGCGTAGCCTGGAACAGTTTACAGTAAGAGTTCGTACAAAACCAGAATCAAATGACGTACCAAACACCTGATCCTTGAACGATGGTTTCTCTCCTGGTACCTCGACAACGTTTACGTTGGGGTCATTCTTCAACTTTTCGGCCTCGGCGGGATCGCGAACGACAGATGACTTGTCGTGAACTTCTGAGCCATCACCAGGCATGGTGGAGCCTGATAGACATAGAAGGGGAGGGATTGAGCTTCCTCGGGGACTGTAACAGGAAGTGAACGAACTTACCCTGCTGTGGCACACTGTCGACTCGCGTGGGTTGTGCGACAGTTGATGGAGGCTGAGCCTTGTTCTGCTCGAGAGGGTCACGCTCGACGTTCTTGGTGAAATCTGATTGTGGGGCGGCCATGATTAAGTTGTAAGTGGGTTGTTGGAAAGAAAAACCTTCGAGAGGGGCGCATATATGCAAGGGCTGTCCAAGTCGGTGACATCATTGGGGCAGCCTGATATCTTATTTCCCACGAGTCAGCGATGGAGCTCAGAAGCCCTTGCCCTGTCGAGCTGTGCTTGAGCTCCAACGCTTGGCCTCCGAGCCATGTCCAGAAATTGTAGGAGAGGTCTCATTTTCTGTTGTGGAGAGCGGGAAAGATATGCTCATGTAGCCCAACAAGATGTTGGGAAGAAACGCGTGGTTTGTTGAAATCAAGTCAACAATGAAGTTTCCCACGGGTGCTTCTGTTCCTCCGGAAAACGCAATAACGCGTGTCACGAAAGGTCACGAACCTTCACGGGCATGAATGCATGACGGCTTGAGCATGGCGCCTTCATCGACATCCCCTCAACTGCGTCCAATTGCGACAAGGCTTCACGTGTAACGAAACTCCCAATCTTGACACCTTAGCAGACCTTAGCTCCGGAACGACCATGCGTTCCGCGTTCTCCAGTCGCAGACCAGATCCTGCCGCGTCAAGCAGGGCACGAGTTGACTTCATCCGCACGACGCTACAAGGCGGCTTCCCCTTTTCGAGGTCATCCATCTATACACGTTCATCAAAACCTTTTGACTCATCGCTTGTAGGAAGTTATCTGTTCATAAGTCATGTGTCAACTACCTTTGCTTCTCCCGAGGTGAAGGACGTTGGCTAGCAAGCGCAGGCGACGGTTCGTCTGATTCTGAGCTCGCTGACGGAGATTCCGCCCTTGCTGAATAACGAGTGTAGATCTTTGCATCCAACTCTGGGACTTCAATCAAGAGGATGTGACTCAGCCCTCTTACACATACAGAGGGCCCAGCGTAAGTGTCTGCGGCTCATGCTAAGGTTTAGTGCTTAGATTGGCTCATGAAGGGGAATGTGTTGACCATGGATTTCTCTCCTTCTGGCCGATATTTGGTCAGGTATGTGCATCTAATACTTCATTATTGGTTGTCCCCGCCCTGATGGTTGTAGTGGAGGTGTGGATCAAACTATCCAGAAGTTTGACGTCACTCGAGACCGGGCCGTCGTTGGCCCGGGTGTACAAACTTCAGTGATTCAGTCTTATCATCAACACGATGTCGGGCGTTTTCTTCAGTATCCAGCGCATACACTCAACCTTTGATCTGATAGGACAACATCCGTGGTCTGAGCTTCCACGGAACACAAGATGAACTGCTACTCAGCGCGAGGTACCCCTTGTACCGACCTACCATAGGATGCCGTGCAGCTGACTCCAGCTTGATAGTGAAGACGGGAAAATAGTCTTGCACGATGACCGTGCCGACCCTAGAATCAGCGGCGCCCAAGGTGTCCTCCAAAATGCGTCCGAGTTCACTGGCGTACAGTTTCATCCTACGACGGATAGCCTCTTCGTCACGTCAGACATCCGAGGCAACGTTTGTCTCCGAGATACCCGCATGGCATTCGGACCACTGAGGTCGCGTACTAATAATGGGATTGTCCAAAGGGTAAGACAACTGTACGACTTCCTATGGACTACGATTGGCTGACAGAGATTATGCTGGCAGTACAATACCAAGCTAGCTCGGAGGAGCTACACTCATCTCAGTGATCCAGAGTCGAGCAGTGTGTGCTTCGATCGAACTGGTAAGCCTAGCGTCTTTTACAACTCACACCTCGTCCTGGGTACTCACATAATCGTGATCTGCAGGGGATAAACTCTGCGTCACGATGCTCGTATGTTGTTTCATCGTCGCCCATTGCTTAGACTCAATTCATGTACTTAGCACTATCTGCCAACCATCTATGCATTGTCGGATCCACACCCTTTGGCCGTGTGCAGCGGAGCAAACGGTCCCGATGGACAGCCAATACCAGCCGGCCAGCGTACATACTCGAACTCGTGTACCATGAAAGTGAGCATTTCATCGGCATCGTGGATTCTCTATCCCTGACGTATTCGGATAGTCAGGGACATTCGGTGGTCCAGGTCTTCCAAGCGACGAACTATACGCGGCAGGCTCAGATGACTTCAGGGCTTACGTGTGGCGGATACCCGAGCTAGCCAAGTTAAAGGAGGAAAGACAAGAGATCAGTGCGGAGGACTGGTACTCGAAGGAGTGCGATGGGGTGACAGGTTCGAATATTTGATGCCTTGTTACCCCGTATACTTACTATGATCTCGAATAGCATTCTGCGAGGGTAGAGACAAGCCTCGCTACGTTCCTGTCGAACTATCGACGCCCCTCTGTCGCCTCAACGGTACCTCTCGAGCGTCTTACTTTCTAAACATCTCCACTCACTCCCTGATACGTGCAGGCCATCGATCAATCGTCAACTCGGTAGCCATTCACCCATCCTTCATGCACATTATGACATCAGGCGTCGAACGACATGTCCTCTTGCACAGTGCCACATCCTCGTCTCCGTGCGTGCAAGATCTACCTCGGACCGCTCCGACCGTCAGGCCTCTTCCAGAGGCGAACCTCAGGGACACGAGGAGGTACATGCGGGCCCTGCTCGGGAACCATCCTACGCTACGTGACTCAGATGATAACTCGGACGATGACGAGGAGCTGTCGTCGATAAGTCTTTTTGATCAGTGCGTCTTCTCGGTACCATTTTTGAATGCTATATGGCTGAGAGTATCCCGTGCAGTATCCTTAGGCAGGAAGGAGAAGCTGACGTATTTACTATCCGAAGATGGGGCGGCTCATCGGAGTCTCCGTCGGAGTCCTCCGAGTCCGAATCAGACGCAGAGGCTCAATTAAACGCAGAGGCTCAATCAGATTCAGTTGATGATGACGAAGAGATGCTTGATGCTGGGAGCTGAACGCAATGTATGTATGTCAGAGTGCTGAATATCTACTATCTTCTCTGCGCAGGCTAGCGGTGCTTCATTGTGCCGCTTTACCGCGACCAAGGCCTTTGTGTCATCTCCACAAGCTACCACAGCCATGTTTGAATTTTTGCATGCTAGTACGACCTCGTCATCAAGACAAAGTTCCCGGAGGAATCAAGGACGATCTCTCAGTCGGCTAGAAATGATGAGGTTATAAATGGGAAGGGAGGCATCCCTGATGAGGTGGGCGAGCAGAGAAACGAAGGGGTCGATGTAATGTAGGCCACTGCTAGTCCCTTCATCAAGCGCGTCCAAGATGATGGACATACCGACCTCGCCTTTCCAAATCACTGCAAGTTGCCTCAAGGGTTCAATGATGAGCTTCTCTATCAAATCATTGCGCGATTTCTCGGAAGAGAGAAGAGCGGGGTCGTCGGAAATGGCTTTGATAATGATCTCTTTGGCGCGGGGGTGATGCAGCCCCAACTGGTAGGCAAGAGTGTGGAGGACGTGATCGAAGGTGCTACGCTTGATGTATTTTCTCGAAAAAAAGAACGTGCCTGCGAGCCTTCCCTCTCCGCGAAGCTCATCTGCGAGTGCATGTGCCACAGTCGACTTTCCTGACCCCGACTCGCTAGAGATCCAGATGATCTTGCGTCTATCGTCCGCGACCAGATCCTTCAGGGTTCGAAGAAGGGTGAGTCTGTTCCCGGGAGGAAAATAGAGTGCGGCTCGCGTTCGTATGAGTCGTAGATAGCGCCCTGAGCGCATGTCTGTGCGAGCCTCTGCCAGATGTCGCGGTCGCTCGGCGGGGATGCTGACTGCGTAGCTAAACCAACAAGGACGTTCAGTGGGACCCATAACATACAGATCGGAGAAAGTACCTTTGAAATTCTGTTCCATGAAGGGGGAGAAGCAGCAAGATAGCTCAGACCTTCAACAAGCTCATGTACAGCACACCCAGTGAGTGCACGGATTGTTCCGTCCGCGCAGCAAGTCCGACTCGTACGGATAGACGCCCGTTACTCAGCTGCATCATTGGCTGCATGTATTCATCAGACAAGCCCCTCGCTGTTAACTGTTGCAATTTTTTTAAAATGTGTGTCCCTATAGATGGAATGTGAACTCTCTTTCTGTAGTGTACATTGGATGCAAACGTTTATTGTAAAGGAACACTAGTTACGATGGGCCAAGGTCTGGACAGGCATAGGGGTGATGCCGTATGAAGGCTTACACAGCCACGAGCGCGTAGTGCCCCGCACTGGCGGCTGACTGGCGGTCGTCATTGATTCATCTCTCCTCCGGTACTCGAGTCTGCGTGGATACCCAACGACTATACCAACCATGGCCATGCTCACAAGACCAGATACCTACAACATCCAGGACTCAAACATCGCCTTGTTTGGATCGGACGTCAGTCGCTGTCCGACACACTCGTTCTGACGACGCTTCGAGATCTGATATAGCTGCCTGCAGATCGAGAAACGTGTCAGAGAGCACGCAGGCGACAAGGAAGCAGCATGGGAGGCAGCGGTCCAACAGGCAGGACTCGAGATCTGGAGGGTGGAGAAGTTCGAGCTGCATGACTGGCCGAAGGAGAAGTATGGGACGTTCTACAGCGGGGACTCCTACATCGTGCTGCACGTAAACCCTTTTTTCCGTATCATCGCATATCAATTAGGCTGAGATGGTGCGATCTTCAGACATACAAAGCGGGCGAGAATGCACCCATGGCGTACGATGTCCACTTCTGGCTGGGCGAAGAAACCAGCCAGGACGAGGCAGGAACTGCTGCCTACAAGACCGTGGAACTTGACGACCGTACGTTGGCATCACTCATATCTCGTCATTCCATGTCTTTAATGACTCGTACGGGCCGCCCGTACGACAGATCTGGGAGGCGCACCGACACAATACCGCGAGGTGCAGAGCCACGAATCCGCACGCTTCCTCTCATACTTCCCGCATATCACCGTCCTGCACGGCGGTGTCTCCACCGGCTTCCACCACGTCTCCTCGGTCCCCGAGCTAACGGAACCTCGGCTGTACGCGATCACAACAACGAAATCCGGGACGAAGTCGCATGTTGCTATCCGGCAGATTCGCCTCCCCCCACCACGGCCCAAGGGAGCTGACGGCGAAGAGGGCGAGGGCGAGGGCAGCGGTGGTGCAAGTAGAGGCGCGGATTTGACGCTCTCGCAGGGCTCCGTCTATGTCCTGGACAAGGGCGACAAAGTGACGCAGTTCAATTCGAAAGGCTCGCTTGGGCAGGGCAAGTTCAAGGCAGCCGAGTTCGTGCGTAGCTTGGCTGACGCGAGGGATGGGCGGTGCGAGGTCAAGGTGTACGGTCAGTCCAGGTCGCTTTATCTTACTCGATGCATATCTCTAACATCGAGCGATATGCTATTCTGGTTACTTTAGACGAGGGCGAATCAGGCGCAGGCATGTTCTTCACGGACGAGCTGGCCGAAGCGGAAGTGGAGAAGGAAACGCGTGCGGAGGAGATAGCCCACCCGACCACTCTCTACAGGCTCGTGAAGGAAGGAGGCTCCGCAACATACGACAAGCTCGACACATTGCGCTCGTCGTTGTTGTCCGACGGAATCTACCTCTTGGATAATAGCGGACAGTTCCACCATCCCGCCGTCTACGTCTGGCTGGGCTCGGAGTCGAGCGCCGAGGACCGCCGTTTGGGCCTGCATTACGCCCAGCAGTTCTTATACCACAGGAAGTCTCAAGAAGGGGGCACGAACGTCAAGGTAGAAACCCCGCTCATCAAGGTGAACGAGGACAAGGAACCGGAGTCGTTCAATCAATGCTTGGAGTGATCATATTGTACAGTGACATTCAATGTGTACAATGCAAACCCGGTGGAGTAGTACAAAGGATGATTTAACTCAATGTAAGATGCTCATGTAATTTTACAAGTCCATTCCTGCTCCTTTGAGGTGCTGTACTTAGATATCGTAGGCGACACGACCGCCGACCCACGGGAATGCGTAGTTGCGCTGGTACCAGTTCCTGACACTGCGCCTATCGGCGATGCGAGGGATGGTCGCGTACGATCCACCGATCTGAAGAACAAATTGGATTTAGCGATGTAGATTTGTAGACTCGTAAGACTGATCACGGCTTACCACGACCTGATGGTGCCCATCAAAGAAGTCGGCTGAATAGCCAGGGTATAAAGCAGATGGCTCGAAGCCATCATACTTGTCAAACAAGGTCGACGTCCACTCCCACACGCCTCCGTTGTGCCCCTTCCCGCCTCCCCTTCCCGCACCCGTCGTCGCCCTGAGCAACACGTCAGAATACGGAACTTGGTCGGGGTGGAAGCGAAAGGGGCTTACGGGACGGGGTGCCAGTTTCTAAACCCAGTGTTGGCACCGCCTTCATAGCCACACTCGAACTTGTCGTAGAAAAGACGCAGCTCAGCCTCGGTGGGCAGGCGACCACCTTTGACGGTCGCGTACTTGGAGAGGTTGTCGTAGCAGGTGAGGAGGGGCCAGTCCAGAGCAACCTTTATCGGCACTGGACCGTAGAGCGTGCGGACCTGGATTTCGCCGTCGATCTCCACCCAGCTAGCAGGCAGCGTCACGTCGCTCTTGCCGTCACTCGTGTAGAACGCGTAGAACTCCCCGTTCGTTACCGGCCTCCACGAGATGCGGAACTCTTTCACTTCCTCCGATCGCTGTGGGCTTTCATTGTCCCAGCCGAACTCGTGACCTTTGACGTCCGTCGCCTTCTCGGGGTGCTTGTCCTCGGATTCGATATCGTCGTGGCCGAGAGTCACGGTAGCGGGACCCATCGTGACGGTGGGGCTCGACGGCTTCGGCATCGCATTCCAGGTCTGCGCGAGCGACGCCCAGGGCGGGGGTGTGAAGTCCGGAGGAGGAATCGTGCCGGAGCCGGCTCGCTGGATGAGCATGTACAGGAGCGTCTGAGCGTGGCGTCAGTTAGGAAGGTCAGGAGGGCATATCGCGAGTGAACGTACCTCAGCATGCAAGCCCTCGTGCTCGAGAGTCATATGGAGAACTCTAGCGATCTTCCGCGTCAAGGTCAACTTGCCCGACTCGATATCATCGTACACCCCCAGCAAGCGGTCCCGTACCGCGTTACGGAACGCGATAATGGTGCTGAGCGTCGGCCACTCTTCATCGCACTGCGGGACTTCAGAGTGGGACTAAGTTTGAGCGTCAGCTATAATCAAGCTTTTAAGATGGGATAAATCCTTACGTGGCATTGTGTCGGGTCGTCTACGTTAGGATCGATGCCGCGCTCAAAGATCTCCTGTAAGATAACTTCACGTTAGCTTGCCACGTTCACTACAAACGGTAAATTTCTGACCTTGAAGTGCACAGGCTTCGTGTGAGGCTCTCCCAAAAGCCTCGACAAATGGATATCCAAGAACGTCGGAATATGGCCGAGGTAGAAAAGACAGATATGCCTCAGATCAATAGGCTTCTGGAACAGCATCGAAGGCGGAATCATGCGCAGCGTGATGAAGTCCCACGCAGCCCACATGTCCTGCCAATCCTGCACAGACGGCACGCCGAAGCGCGTCTCCGTGCCCACAACGGCGGAGGGCGTTGGCTGGATGGGGAACATGAACGGCGGGCGCTCGAGCAGCCAGAGCGAGTACCGCGCCGAGCTGTCGGTCCAGCGCTGGATCGGGCGCAACTGTGCATCAGTGAACAGTTTCACGGTGTCTTCTTCGGAGAACTGCACGGAATGATCGTCAGCTATCGGTCACCTGAAGAAGAGTAAAGTGATGTCACTACCTTCTGCGAAACCTCGATGCGAACAGTTTCACCCTTGAGGAACGACTGGGCAGGCTTGTCCGCCACGAGCTTGATCGAATGGTCACGCTTGCACTTGTAATACGCCTCGTGACGATCTGTGGCGCAAAGTTTCCTTTAGTATCGTACCCCAAAAAGGAGCAGAAAGATAGGGAAAAGGGGGCGAGGGTTTCGTAACACAGCACACTCACGTTCCGCTTCGTTGTATTGATTCACATACTCCCAGTTCTCCCTATCGAAGAGCGTCTCGTCGCCCAGAACGCTCCCAGCCGCCTTGAGCCCGTTCAGAATAAACTCGCGCGTGTGCCCCTGCGGATCATTGTACGCCAGCTCAATGTCCGCCTTATCGCTGTTGTGGTCCAGCCCAATGAGCAGCGTATCGCCAGAGCCTGGCCTCAGAGGGAGCGAGCGCAGGAACGCAGCGTCCTCGCCGCGCTTGAAGTTGCCCAAAGAGGAGCCCAGGAACATCATATGCAGGGGTGCCTGGTAGACGTCGGGCGTGAGCGCCGTCGCGTCCGTTCCTCGCGAGGGGCTGTGGCTCCGCGAGGAGGACGAGCCCGAAGAGTAGTCGCCGGGGGAGAGGTCGCGGTCGTTGAAAGCGTCCCCATCTCTGACGCGGAAGCGCTCGAGGTCGAGACCCTCGCTGAACAGGTTGGTCGTGTGGAGGCCGCCCTCCTCGACGAACTTGAGGCCGCTGTCGTATGTGCCGTGCATGCCTTTGAGCTGTATCTTGCCGGAGACGCGTTTGCCGACTTCAGAGTTGGATAGTTCGTTGAGCGTTCGTTCGAGCTCTCGCTTCTCGAGGTCGAGAGCGTAGTAGGTGATGGGTGGGGTTGAAGAAGAGGAGGACACAAGTGTGGAAAGCGCTCCAAGGATATGAGACGTTTTACGCAAGGCACTAGATAACATTGGAACATTGTGCGGGGTCAGTAACACGGCGGCATCATCCCACGTCAACAGAAAGGAGTAATTTGTAAAACGTCATGCGCCAAGATCCGAAAGGCCGGTCGACGACGTCACGAACGATGCGAAGGCGCGCCACAAACGGACATGCACAATGATGCACTTGAACAAGCGGTAGAAGTCACTTACCCGGCTCCAAGCTCCAAAATTGTCTCGCCGGGAACGACGCTGTCCGAACGGACATGCATGGCTTGTGCAATGTCCTTGGAGTGGCGCTGCAGAATGTCCTCTTCCGCCGCGAAGAGGTAGTACTCAGGCGCTTCCGTCGTGATGGCATCGTACAATTGCAGACCGCGCTCGTCATAGAGCAACATCGTCGGCATTGTCTTCTGGCCTGCTGGAGCTGAGAGCCCCTCTACGATCTGCTGGCCGAGCTCGCCGTCGGAGCCTGTGTGAGAGGCCTCCGCAGCCGGGCCGGCATTGCCGACGGCAATTGCCTTTGGACGAACGTCGATGATAGAAGGTGAAACTGCCATGCCGCAGGACACCAGGATACGGAAGAAAAGAGGTGAAAGATACAAAGACCGTTCAAGACAAGAGGTGGAGGACACAACCTTCGGCCCTCCGTCTTTATAGTGACAGTCAGCATCGCAATGTGTGACCTCAGAGCGATGCGGACGCGGAGGATGACATAACCCTTCCAAAAGAGGCGGACATGTCAACGCAGCATGACAGAGGAGCGGTCGGCATTCAGCTCCATTGCAAAGGTCCAGGCACTGGTAGCGCGAATATAGGGACCAGTTGACTCATATTCACGAACGAGGGTTCAAAGGGGCATCCGAGCGAAGAAACGGATCTTGACCGATGACTGTTCGGGAGGCGCAACGCAGTATGCTCTCCTAACGATACAAAGCGTTGAACGTTCGAACTCTCCTCTGCATAAGGTACCCCACAGAATGAGACAACGGATCTATACGCATATAAAAAGCAAATTCTTACCATAGTGAAATGCAATCGCAACGCAGATGACCTGCTGCGCTCCAATACATCTCCAGAGACCGCTCTCAGCGCCTCGATCTCGTCGCGCGCCGCCATACCAGCGACGGCCTGTTTGAAAAACCGGAATACCTAAAGAGGTCCACAACTTCGTGGGGATCAGTTCACCCCCTCCACAACCACCTTGTTGCCTCCGGGCTCTGGGGTCCAAATTTAGTCTAGACGCGCGCCAGAGCTCTCAGGCGAAGGCGCTAGGCACAACAGGCGGCATCACGATGACGTTTCGACAACGTAAGATGACGGAGAGGGCGACGAATAGAGGGTGCCAGTGACTAAACCGTTGGTGAGCATTTGGGCACGTTGGTCGGGCTGCATCAGCGCGGCCGATGGCCGGGCGGCCTTTGTAAGCGCTAGGCGCGCACCTTTCGCGGGTTAGCGAATCTGTGAAGCTCGAAAGGGCATCACACGTCCACGACCAGCCTGTCGGACCAACGTTTGAGAATCTGGGGTCGTTCTGGTGAGAAAAGTGCGCATGGTGTCTCCGCGGGGCATGCGCTATGAACCAGAAACGACGGCGACTTGGTAATGCTTCCCTCCACAAAAACCGTGAACTTCTCCGCTGGTGTGAAGCTGGGTCGTCTGACTGGTCATGAGCCGTGCAGTCAAAGCGAGAAAAGAAACGGTGCTGGAGGGGGGAGACGCGACACCGTGGATTTTGTATTTGCATGGAGAGGAAATACGTAACGCGTCGCCCGCGATGGCTCCTTCCTATTTATACGCACGTATCCTGCTATTGCGCGATTGAGGCGTCATCAGCACGCCAGAATTTGCACAATGCCGTGTATCGTCGAGCTCATCGGTCTGCGCTCGCCATCGTCGCTTTGAAGCTGCAATGCGCATCGCACTTTGCGTCATGCATACTTATACTCAGTCATGAATATGGGAAAGGCCATTCTTGATCCAGCGCTTGCAGTACCGTCGCACTACTTCCCCTCACACACTCAGGCTTAAGGGTAACATGCATTCCGTATATGATACTCAATAGTCGAGATACAAGGCAATAGTCTCGACAAAGGCGTACATCAAGCTGTCTTATCCACAGTCGCAAGATCCGACGCAAGCTGCGAAAGCATCCCGACAGCCCCCGGATTGCGCATGAACGTCCGACCATCTCCCTTCCTGCCAAATGAAAAGGCCAGAACCTTAGCTTCACATGATAGAAACGACGAGAGCAACAAAGGAACACGCACGAAGCACCCCCGCAGCATATGCGCATGACGCATCCCCGCGCGTCGCTCCACCCGAACACCTGCGCCCAGTTCTGTTTCCATCCGACGTCGTACATCTTGACGGACTTGTACGCGTTTTGCACCGCGCGTCGCTGGTTATAGGATAGTTCGTGCTCTTGTGGTGGGTCGGAGAGCCGCAACGATGCCGGGAGAGGGGGGAGATGGCGCAGGAGGACGTAGGGTGCGAGGTTTTCAAGGGTAGTCTGGTTTGTTCTGATGTAACAGGAGTGGTGTGAGCTGCGAGACCCAGGGGACTGGATGGGATAGAAAGCGTACGTTATGAGGTACATGTGATAGACGAGGAAGGAGCCCACGACGATCGTGACGACTATGCCGGCGAACCCGAGGAAGAGCTCGTGTACAGCTACAGCGTCGTTCTTTGAAACAAGATTAGCATGACAAAGCCTCGCAGAAAGTGTACGCTACTTACGACGAGCATTGGGCTGTAGAATGCGAAATACAATGCTTTGCAGCATACGACAGTTACGTACCCTGCAAAAAGAGTTATACAAGCAAGAAAGTGCACAAAGGCTGGGTATATTCGGTGGCCCTGGAAATACGCGTTGATTCAAGTCCAGAACAACCCGCAAACCAAAGAGAGCACTCACGACACATTTCGACCCTAACCAAGGGCAATGATGGTCTGGCAAGACGACGCGTTAGCAACACGTTAGAACGACCAGAACGCCCGGCGACCAAACGAGCACCCACACTCACCCATCTTGAGCACGCACCGATCACATATACTGCAGTGATGCGCCCGGTCCGGCTTCGGCGCCCAACACTTCCGACACCACTTCCCCGGCACAATCTCGTCGTCCTCGCCCATACCCATGCCCATCAGCGCCTCGGTCAGTCCGAGCTCGTCGCCTCCGCTAACACCGCTTTCGTCCTGTGCGGCGGCGGAGTACTTGGGGGAGACGACGGGGCCGGGGTCACGGACGACGCAGACGATGAGGGAGGTGAAGGAGAGGCCGGCGAGGGTGTAGAGCAGGACAAGGTGGATTGTGAATGTGATAGGGGCCTCGAGGTAGCGGAGGTAGTGATTAACGAGGATGATTAGTAGGGAGGGGTGTGGTGCTAGCATAAAGATTATGAGAACTGTTTGAGGCGTGCATATATGCGCGAAGAGAACATGATATCAGCGGATGGGTTTGAGCAGAGGAGGTAGAGGTGCGCACGAATGAGTGGAAGGTAGTGAATCCATGTTTTTGTGGGAGTGGTGGGCTCTGCTTCAAAGCTGTCGGCATCGTTGTGAGGTGGAGAATTAAAAGAGAGGAGAGGTCTAGAAGGAGGCATGTTCTCCGAAAGGAGCTTCCAAAGCGAAAATAAGAGAGTTGCTGCTGAATGCGCTTGAGCTTGAGATGACAATGGACCGCCCGGGGCTGCGGAGCTTAGAGGGACAGGATAGCCAGGTGTTACTAGGTTTGTCTTGTTCGGCCCCCCTGCCGTCTACGGAGGAGGTCGTATGTTCAAGAATCAAGAAAAGGACTATAAGATAAGGCTGGCTTAGGTATAGAGCCCACAATGAAAAGGAAGAGGAACAAGCGTATGTGAGGGTATCAGAGGCACGACTCGACGATGCCGCGACGCGCCTGCAGACCGGCGCTTATTCCCTCATAACGGGCGTCCGGCCCGCTTGTCATCCTCTCTTTGGTAAGCCAAATCAGGCACCAAAGCAGCTCTTTGTCATATATTCCCACACCTCCAAAGCCTCTTTTTCCATCGACGATGACGGTGTTCATGGATATTTGTCTTTCGTCGTTGCTGGTCACTTGACGACATACTTCGAGGCTAATCGATGGATATCACCAAACACACTGCTAATGTCTGTCAATCGAGGTATGAAGGATCATGAACTCGCCCTTTTGTCTTTAGCTGCACTGCACTCGAGGCACAGCATGCGTATGCTGCACTGCACCTCCCTGCCCTTCGTCGCGTTGCAAGTCAATTGAAAGAACCATATCTCCGGAAGTACTTCCGTCTCACAAGGTCTCATAAACCTCACGGCACCCAGCCAGCACCGCCCTCGAGGCCCCAACACTTGCTGCAAAATGGAGTCAGAGAATCAACGAAATTCCCTTTTTCGAGTCTCGTTCACAACAGCCGACCTGTGGTTGACAACTTGACAGACAGGTGGCACTGGTTCAAGGACGTCGAGCGCTGATAGGCGCTGATCGCGACCTGACGGAGCTCCAGCCTGCCTATGGCGCTCTTCTTTAAGAACACGGTGAACGGTCGAAGGTCGTTCTTGAGGCTCCTTCTCTTTGTCTTCTCTTCCCAGCTTCACGTTCCGTCATGAAGCCTTCTAGTTTCCTTCCGTTTGGCCTCGGGCTTGCCAACGCCGTTGGCGCTACACGTCTTTCCATGTCTGGCCGCCGGTCAGACGTTGATCCCTACAACCTTCAACGTCGGACGTCTATCGGCGGGAACATGAACGTTACGTCGGCCAGTAACCTACAATATGTTATCAACTCAACGCTCGGGGGCGAGGCGATCTCGATCATGATCGATACTGGGAGGCAAGCTGATATCGATCGTGGGGTCCAGAGCAGCAGGATACTGACTTTTACTGCAGCTCGGACTTCGTGTGTTCGAAGAAAATCAACAACGCGACCGATCAAAAGTACAACGAGTCGGTCAGCTACGCGGGTGGCAGCGCCCTCGGTACGTCTCTACTTCTTTTCTGATATCCCCCCGCAGACACGACTCACACTCCACCCCTCGTCTAGGCGAAGTCTACTCCGCCACACTCCACTTCGCAGACTACGTTATCCCCGACCAGTTCTACATTTACGACAGCAGCTCAGACGCCTTCGGCAGTCTCGATGGCCTCGTTGGTCTCGGTCCCTCCGCTGGCTCGGCCGTGCGCACCGGGGGCCCCAACAACTCCAAGGCAGACCCGCCCGTCGACCGCATCTTCCTGATGGACAACTCTACGGACAACTACATCACGATCCTGCTGAGCCGCTCGGACGACCCCGACGAACCGTACCCAGGCGAACTGACCGTCAGCGAGGCGATCCCGGACCACGCGGCAATCCTCAACCAGACGAAGCTCGAGATCGCGCAGGTGGCGCTGGACCTGCAGCACTGGCAGGTGTACCTCGACGAGGACGGCATCAAGGGCCCCGATGGACAGCGGATCTCGATCAAGTCGAACGTGACGGACTCGAAGTACCCGAAGAACGCGTCGGTTGTATTCGATACTGGATTCTCGCTGCCGCAGGTCCCTGGGTACGTCTTGACTCTATTCATGTTGCTTTTTAGCTTCTGATCACGCGTGATTGTCTTCAGCTACGTCGCGGAGGCCTTCTACGGCAATGTCTCCGGCGCCTCGATGCAGAACATTTCCGGCCTTGGCAATGTATGGGTGCTACCCTGCGATGTCGAGCTCTCCGTCTCTTTCTTCTTCGCCGGCGTTGAGTTCCCAATCCACCCTCTGGACCTGAACTTTGACAGCTTGGGAACGCAATCCGAGAATGATACTGAGTACTGCGTCGGAGCTGTAAGTATGCGCATAATATACGGTGGACGACTTTGACTAACAATATTCACACCAGTTCCAGCCATTTAGCTTCGATCAAGAGGAAGCAGGCGTCGTCCCTTATGACATGATCCTTGGCATGGCGTTCCGTATGTCTGCCCCATTATCCGCTTGATACAAGGCACCTTACCATCTTCGACACAGTGCGCAACGCATACATGCTCATCAACTTTGGCGACTACATCGATGTCGACACGCCCAAAGACGGCGCCGCGTACATCCAGCTCCTCCCGCTGACGACCAACACCACCGAGGCCTCCGCCGACTTCAAAAAGGAGCGCCAGCAGCAGAACGAGGACGACAGCTCGCCCACCGACAAGGCCAAGAACGAGGTCACCGATCTCTGGAACAAGGTCACCGGCCACACGGGCAGCCTCTCCACCGCCGCCGTTGGCGGCATCATCGCCGGCGTCGCGGCCGTCGCGCTCGCGCTCGTCGGCGGCCTGATCTTCTGCTGCATGCGCAGGCGGCGCGGCAGCAAGAGCGCGTCTTCCTCCGCCGCGGCGGGTGCGTCGTACGCACAGTGGATGCCGGGATACGGGAACTCGTACCGCGGGCTCAACGAGGCGACTCCTGCTGGGGCGGACGACATGCGCATTCATTCGGCGGCGCAGCCTGGGTCGCAGCAGCAGTACAGTACTGCTTGGGACCATCACCACTAAAAAAGTTCAGCGTCGAATCACGCACAACTTGGTGATTCACTAGCTAATGGACACTGTTTTTGTCGAGCGGCGATTTGGGGCCTGCTCGGGTTCTGCGTTGATTATATCTTAGTCATTGTTACATTTACCTCACGCTGCATTATACCTCTGTTTAGTCGAGGAACATTCGCTCTGATCTACTACTATCATCCTGTATTATTACGTTCCTTCATGCGATCATCACACGTTGAAGACTCCCAATAGCAGACGTGCTATTTGAGAGACTCAGTCAATGGTCAGATGCTCGGAGTTGCGCCCAAATGCCCTTGCCAGTCCCGCTGCAAGATTTCTACTTATTTGGGCCCTCTGCGATCCCCGCCGTCAACCCAAAGTATTTCTAGAAGGTGATTATGACTCACGATAATCATAGTACATGTGTACCAAAATTGGACCTTTACTCCGCTCCGAAGAGGTAAACTTGATGCGTGTGCAATACCGCCGAGCACCGTTCTTCTGTTCGAACCCCGAGATCTATTAATGTTGCAAACGTGAGTCCAAGATTCCACCCCATAGAAACACGTCAACCCCAAGCAAGCAGCTTACCTGCTCAGCCCTCCATTCCTTCCCTGTCACAGCCGTATCGCTCCACGCAACCACCTCAATGACCCCATCCTCCACCGTATCCTGCGTCCACCCACTCCTGAGAAACTCGTCCTCGACCTCATCCAACTTGACGCGCCGCGCCTTGCCCACGGTGACACCAAATATATCGTCCGTCTCGCGCCGCTCTTCCCAGTCGAGCACGTGGTGCTCCGCCGTGCCGGGAATGCCGCCCGAGAGCTTCTGGTCGACGTGGATGCGCTCGACGCCGTCGTCCGCCGCGGCGGGCGGCGTGTGCGTGATGTAGAGCGTGAGGTTGAACGTGGCGATGGCTTTGCGCTTGATCCACGAGACGCCCTGCAGCTTGAGGATCTCGTCGGTGGCGCCGCTCAGCGACTTGTTCTGCGCGTGGGGTGAGCGTGCGGAGGTGAGACTCGGAGCGGGTGGTACTGGGAGGGTAGAGAGGACGTACGTGCAGGAATACGCCAGCGAGGTTCTTAGTGGTGACTTCGAGCGGCGCGGACATGGTGGTGGTCGTGAACGTGAACAAGTTGAGCTGAGCGCGAACGCGAGGGGGGCGCTGGCGACTCGGGAGGCCACGCTTATAGACGGGTCGGGACTGCGGAGCGCGGGCCTGAGGAAGGTATTCACATACCTGTGCGTGCGCTTGATCGTTACATGATCCGGAGCCCTGAAGCTGCGCCTGGGTGGTACGCGTGGAATGTGAGTTTGGACCACGATATTTTGGTGTGCAACGTGCAACGTGTAGTGATCACGGTAAAACTTGACCGTATGATGTCACCATTGAGCGCAGCGCTCCCTGCGGACCACTGATGCTGCGAAGGAAAATCAACGGCAGTGTTTGAGGTGAGTGAATGGATTGTCCTGGTCCACAGCCCGCGAAAAACGTTGATGTATCAGAAGGGGAGGATCCGGGTCATCATTGGAAGGATGAGAACCTGGTTCTAGGGAGAAATCTGTTACGAATAGACGAGAAATAGGATCAGGTCGAGTTTGGTTAACCGTGTTGGCGGCTAAATGTGTGGTCCGCAAGCTGGGAAGCGATATAAATGCGATTGGCGAGCGGTAATTAGCCCTCGTGTCCAAGTGCCAGTGAAGAGTCATTGTGGCTTACATGTCATCCCGGGCTGAAAGCTGCCAGTCAAAGAAGAAGAAGGCTCTTCAGGCGAGCCACTCGTTTCCAATAAACATTGCCCATGCATTCATGCATCATCATCGCAGTGGTTGTGGTGAAGTAGTGACAAGACGGGTTGGCGTCGCGGAATCGGAGAAGACCACGCGATACGCGACTCCGCTTTCCGTTGAGCCCCTATTACTCTATTTTCTCCCTAAAGCGCTCCTCCAAGTCGCCTGCTCATCTTTCTCGAATAATTCATTGCATACATATGGTTCATTGGAGCATATAGGTATCTATAGCTGTGGATATGAACACGTACATCGAAAGCGGGTACAAGTTCGTGCGATGGTACATGACTAGGTGTTGACGAGGTCGCCGGTAGGAAGATAAACATGGAAGTCCACCACGGCCCAGTCATTGCTCGAGAAGCGCGACGTATCTTGCGCAGTATCCCTGCATCTCCGCCACGCACGCCGCCATTCGCACCAAGCCTCCCTAGTAGGAGGTGGAGATGGAACCTCCAATTCTGAGCGATACTCAGCAACTTGGTCGTCGTTGAGCACGGAAGCATCCATAACGCTCTCTGCTACATCCAGAGCCCACCCCGAAACACACCGGACGTACCTCTGCCCAGGTTCTGAATCTTCCTTCTCTTCTTCAGGTCTTGTTCTCTCCTCGGGAGCATAGAGCTCGCCCTCAGGTCTGTGTCGCTTTGTTGTCCTAATACGTTGCACAGGTCTCCAGAGTGAAGCGTGACGTTCTTGCTTCCACCGGAAAGTCGCTACGCTCACCATATCTAGGTGTTTTCTTGTGTCGATAGCGGTCAAATGGGGCGCATGTAATGCGAGTATTTCGCGGACCGAGCCATGCATCTCCTCGTATTCCCGGCTATCGTAAACCTCATCCAACTTTTCTCCCAAGTTCCAAGCGACGTAATGAGGTCGAATATGGCTCCGAAATGGCCCAAGCGTGGCAAACGGATATGTGTGGACGGTGCGAGGACGTCTATGAGAAGGTGTCTCAGTGATCACTTCGTCACGCATGCTTCTGCGTGGAATAAGATAATAAAGATATGGTCCTGAACAATGGTGACGAAAGTACTGCAGCATGAAAGTTAACCTAGCTCAACATAGAAGGAATTCTTTCAAAGCCTCACCTTGTTGAGTTTGATGGGATCGCTCACATAGGTTTTCATGGCTTCGTCGTACAATTTCTCGATGATGCTTAGCTCTGGGATAATGAGCCACTCTCCATCGTTGAATAGATGGACTATAGTCGAGTTCACTGTCAATCAGGGTTGTGTCAGATGCAGGATTACAGTGTGATGTACTGTATTTGCTTACAGAAGAGGGCATTCAGGGGGCTCCCAATGTTTAACCGGCGCCAACCCATTCCCCACGCATCTTCCAATTTTGTGAGCTATTATGATTTCATTACAAGGACACATACAGAGAATTCAAGAAGCAACGCACTGTTGAATCGTCGGTGCTCAAAGGAACCAAATGACATAGTTCTACATTTAAATGTTCTTCTGTGACAGGGCAACGATGTTTTCGACGGAAAGAAAGTGGCCAGTTGCCACTGTGTTTGATGGATATGAGGGGTCTGGATGGCACATAAGAGGGTGACAGAAGTTTAACGACATCACTGTCGAGTTCATCCCCAGATGTCGCAGAGTCAAAGCTGTGAGAGCTCATCTCCGTGTATGATAGGGTTAAGAGGATGACTAGGAAGCGCAAATCAAGGCGCAAATAAACCGTGGTGGTAGTTGAGGTGGTGGTGAGTTACTTAGATCTAGACGCGCAAGCTAACTGCATTTTTTATCGTGTGAACGCCGCTGTCAAAATACACGTGGTATCATCTTCAAACATACGCACCATATATCTCAACGACTATCAAACGAGGCAGCAGTTATTCAAAAATTCATGATACAATCCTAAATATAGCACAAGATACTAAACCTACGAAAACTCGCTAGCTAGCAGGTTCAGATGGTCAAGGTTCAGTGGTGATGGCTGGGATATTCCACCATTTTTTAAGTATGGTAACCATCATCTCGAAGCAATGATAAGCCAGTGTACGCCCCTGACCATCGACCAGAGCATTAGCATCGATACGCAGCTCCTGGCGGTAGCGGCTGAGGACCTCCTGCAAGTTCTTCTGCACGGTTTGCTGTCGACGAGGTTCAAGTAGTTGATATTTGTTACATGCGTCGTAGAGCACATAGTTCGGATGTGCGTGGCTGGTGTGAATACCGAGCCCGTAGTAAGGAGGAGGGTGCGTCATGATAATGTTATCTCCTCCAAGTCGGCCAATGGGATTTTCAAAGTCAATTGCCACGAAGATATACCGGAAATTTCTTCGTTGTTTGTACGTCTGTATTGTCCAACTTAGTAGCTGGCAAAACAAAAGAAGCATTTATGAATATTTACCTCCTGATGGTTAGTTTTATCCTCTTTACGCGTATGTGCCCAGATTAAAAGCTCGTGAATATCCTCAGGTACGGGAACGAGCATCCAGGAGCTATGGTCGAACTGCCAATGGATGTCTTTGCGCACTATATACGCATTAGTCAATGAGGACGATTAAAAGACAGTGAAACGTACGGAAAATCAAGTTGTAGCGAGTGTCCAAGTTGACACCTTTCCTATAGCCCCATGCAAGTTTCATCTGAGCAAGCTGATTTATGGCATGTCATCGTCCATCGTTTGAATAAAGCCGTGTTCATGACTCACGACTCGAGTATTTGACCACATGTGATTTGGCATGAGGTGGCAAAGGTCTACACCTGATTTGAAAGGCGCTTCCAATGTGATAAGGCATCTGCCTCTGCGAACCACGTCCTCTTGCAAAACTTTCTGTTTGGCACCTTTCCATACATTACGGGACCTTTTCTTAGCAGGTGTCAGACGGTCCTGAATCGCCTGAACCTCTGGGCTTTGTGCAAGGTCTGAGGTCTCTGAAACTGTGTGGTAAAGAATGACCCCATTGAAATTAATGACGGCCAAAATGGGCGATGCGAGGTTATCATCGTCGAAAATTAAACCTGTGCTGCCAGGTGATGGCAGAATATTGTCATTGGTAGTACCCTCAGGACTGTCCGGGAGAAATTCCAGGCGACGACTTGCAAGTTGCTGTAAAGGTGTTTGAGGCATCACGGACATCGTACGACTCAAACCCTATAGCAATGGTAAGAACATGAGTTGGTTCGGAGGACGTCGTAATCACATTACCTGAGGATCTACCTGAGGACTCTGAGTGTTCACGACTAGAGACCTCTGGTGGTGGTTGCCGCCCCGGGGCGCGGGTGCGGGCGTCACCGAATGATGTTGCTGCCCATATGGGTGCGTCATGTGAGGATTCTGAGTGCTCGTTGCGTGAGATCTCGGGGGATGATGGCTTTCGCCCCGACCAACAGGCGTAGGCGTCGTTGGGTGATTATGCGGTCCATGTGAGTGCGCTGGTACCTGAGGACTTGGAGTGTCCGGGACCAGAGATCTCAGAGGGCGGCTGTTGCTATTCCGAGGGGCAGGCGTTGGTGTCATCGGAGTGTTATACTGTCCATGCGGGTAAGGGTACGACATTGTGAACTGATTAACTTGTGGTGAAATGACGATGCAGAGATGAGAAAGACGGATCTGAGAGGACTAGCTTGAGTATGAAAAGCATTTTCCCTTGACCAACTTTTATACTGTAGGACGCTGACGATGGACTGGCGTGGAATAGCAAAGTGTATAGCAGGAAGGACGCCAGGCAGGTGGCTGGTTTGTCCAGTGCGAAGTCGCACAAGGGGAGTATGCCAGTCGTTCTCATTCGCCACATCCTACAATAACTCGTCCAAGTCGCTTGTCGGCCGGTCCTGTGCGATACTTGATACACTAAAGCCGTGACAAATTTGCTCGAAGAGGTTATAAGACGCCACTCAACGCGAATAAGCAACACCGACGACGAGATGCAAATCAGCCATATACGTCAACTTCCACGGTAGAGTGAACGTGTCATACAAGCCATAAAACTAGCAGACTTACGGCCAAATGCGCACCCAGTCTTCAGTTTCAGTCAGGCTTTGAGATCGACCGTGACCGAGAACATAACCGAGGCTACAGCATACGTGACAGAATGGGGACGCCGCCAGAGCCGTCTTGAAGTGGGTGGCGAGATAGCCGCTCTCATGCGACGCAGACGCCGATAACCTGCTCTCTGGACCAGCAAGTGGCGGCGGAAACAGCCTGAGACCCACATGAGGATAAATTCGCGCTCTTTTTCTAGATGAGCTCCAGATGGGGTTGTCATGTTCGCCACCGCGGGGGCTTGAAGACACAGGTGCCACTTTGCCAGTCCTGACCCCGCCGTTCATAGATACCAACATATTGAGCTTTTGCAGTCGCATTAACGGTGCCAGAGGGTGCCATGACTTCATAACGTCGCCGTTGGATGAGCCATTGAACATGTCGCTCCCCGGAGCCATCAAGATTTCTCTGTGGCGTCAAACCACCCAATGGATGCCACGGCGTATTCTCCTGCCAAAGCTGCAAAGGCTTACACTGATGGCGTCGGAAGATGTAAGACGATGAGATCGGTTATTGTAGTATTTTGCGAGAGACGCCTGATAGATCATCGTTGGCTCTTTCAGGATGAGTTCAGAGCATGGAATCGACGTTATCAGTGGTCGAGTGATGCCCCCTCGGCGGCTCTCCCTGACTTGCTCCAACTTGCATCTTGTACAGGTGGCCCAGAATGGTTGGATGGTCAGTACAGACGTAGTTGATATTCCTGAACATATTATGAAGGGCCGTGCTGAGTTATAGCCCTTGCCCAGAGCGATGCCCGTCACCGTTCGGAAGGGAGCCACCTGAGCTCTCGCTGCTGCCTGTTGTTACTGCCGCCCATTGCTCTCTGGAGACGATGCAGACACGCCGGAAGGCGAATCGTGGGTGAAATGGCGGTGGTCTGAGGAGAAAAGGAAAATCATGATGCTGGGTCGCCTTTGCAGTGTCCATGTCCCTGGCTTTGTGTCAGCTGGAGTCAGCCTGGACAATGCCGCCATAGGCCAAACCCAGAATTTTCTTCACCAAAAGTGCACCGAATTGATAGGGGTTGACCTACTGTAACAACTAGTGGTTGGCGGTTATGTCAAGGAGTTACGATGCAGCCAAGGTTATGACGTTCTTCGCACAATAGCCCTTAAGGTTAGGGGTTATTATGACGTTACTGTACCACGTCAATAACCTCCTTTGTCAAAGCTTCCACCCTCGCAGCATCACAATGTTTGAGAAGAGATATAATTACTCGAAGGTCGCTTTATAGGTAGTTCATGTCACATAACAATATTAGCGTATTGGTAAAAGTATACAAGTTCGACGAATACGTAACAAAATCGGAAGCGGCCCAACAGCAAGTTGACAGCACATCTCGATTCTCGATCACTGCATCTTAATTCTCCCCTGCTTCTTCTGCTTGCGAAGATATCGCCTCACTGCAGGGACACCAAACTGTAAAATGGTTGTCAGCCTTCTATGACGTTTCACGACAACATATCACGCATGACGCACCCTCACAGCCGGATACAGCACGAGCAGCGCCCCTCCAACGCCCCACGCCCACTTGACGTACGTTGGCAGCGGTTCATCAAACTGGCCCTTGCTCCACTTGAGAATGACCAGCAGCTCGGTCAAAATCGTCGCAAGCAGCAACCAACAGTGCTGGCCCATGCGCTTCGCCCGCCTGTACAGCGTCAGCCAGTCATCTCACAGCAACGGGGGCGCCCCATGACAGAGACGACTCACTGCGGATTATTAATATACTGATACAACTCCCTCACAGCCGGCAGCCCACACAGAAACACGCCCGTGAGCCGCATAATCACGATCGGATGGTCCGGCTCCATCCACAGCAGAAACTTGAGGTAGAACGGGTTCAGCTCCGCCGCGAGGAACAGCGCGAGGAGCACGACGACCGTCGCGTAGTGCACAAACGACGCCGTGCCCTCCCACTGGAACGCGGTCCAGTCGTGCGGCGAGAACTGGCTCAGCACGCGCCGCGCCTTGGACCGCAGCCCGCGCGTCTGCCGGAGCCCGCGCCATTCGTATGGCTGGTGGATTGCGTTTTCATTTTCGTTCCGGTTATTTCGGGAGGATCAGCACAAGTGCAGGGGGTGCGTCATGATCAGTGATACCGGCGAACAATCAGTCAGCCAGCTGGTCCAAAAGAGAAATGGACGAAAAATAGCGGAAGCAAAAACCATCCCCGTACCTTGGCTTCGAGATATTGGCATGTCTTCAGACCTGTCAAGAAGCAAACATTTTCTGCGTGTCAGTGGACGCTCCCAATTTCCAAAACATAGGACCAAAAGTGAAAGCGTCATAAACGACGCAGCGAACTCGGGAGAGCGGAACGGGCATCCCCATGTGGGCGACACTCATACTTCGCCCTCCTCAGGGCTGATGCGCGCACGCAATGCATATGACGGAGAGCTTACCGAGATATGTTCCGATCCAGTTGCATACTAAAACGTCCATTATCCACTGTTTGGAGAAAAGGCAGGGACATCAGCGCCAACGTCAGTGGTTAATCTCTGCTGGGGTCTGATCGAACGAGGGGTGCGCAAGGACTTACGTGGTCCCACCAACACTGCAAATAATTTCAATTAGTTAGCATCAAGGGCCAGTGAGTGGAATTAACAGGTGAGCGAGGCGAGACAAAGAGAGATGCAAAATGGAGAAGTAATCCAAATTGGAGGAAGAGCAGGGAAGAGAGGCGAACGAACATGATACACACCTCAGCAAAATTAGCCAGCTGATGCTGCAAACTATACTCCGCCAGCTCAAACGCGATGCTCAGAATCTAACCACATCTGAATCAACACATGCGCAAAAACTCCGTCGTAAAGCGAAGTCACGGAGGACGCAAGAATACAACGTACCCAGCAGAACCAATAATCCCTCAGAATCATCGCCTTCCCAAACCACCCCAGCGCATGCGCAACGCAAAACACATCAATCGCGTCCCACACGTTCGCCGGTGTCAGCTCGCAGTGCTCCGCGTAGCTCTTCTCCGGCAGCGGCCTGTTCAGCGCCGGGTCGAGCAGCGTCATCATGCGCCGCGCGGAGCCCAGATCCTGGAAGAGTAGGAACACGAGCGCGAGCTCGTACAAAAGGTTCACGCCGAGCACGATGCGCCAGAACGCGGGGTGCGGCCGCAGGAAGGGACCGTCGCGGAACTGAAGCATGGAGAAGGTGAGGAAGGCGGCGATCATGGCATATGCGCCGCTGAGGGTGTGTTAGAACGGACGGTGCAGATATCGGGGATGGGAGACGTACATGCGCCGCTTGTCCTGCCCCTCTTCGAGAATGTCTTGGGTGGTGGCGACATACGCGAGCGCGCAAAGCGAGAGGGAGAGCGCGGTAAGCGTGATGGGCTTGTAGAAGAACCTGTATCGACACGCCATGGTCAGTTGGTAGGGTAGAGGAATGGGGTAGGGATAAATACGCACTCGACGGACGTATCGTGCTTCTCCTGAAACGGTGTCGTCTTTGTATACGATTCCGTGCGGTCTGCCTGCATAACCACACATCTCCGTTAGCACACCTCGAAGTTCAAACAGCATGTATGCATAAATCGCGAACGTGACACGTACATCGTACCCTATGGCAGTAACAACACATTAGCAACGACACCCAACGATTGGAACACCAAAACACAAGCAGCCACCAAGGTGCGAGGTACTCACAGCGAACTGGCGCCCCGTTCAGCCCCGGCCGCGGCTCGGGTTCGGGGTCGGGTTCGCCACCCAGCGGGGAGAGCGCGGCGTCGGAGGACTCGTCGACGGGGGACGTGGGCGATCGATCATCCGGGTCAGACTGCATTGCTGCTTAACGCTTAATGTTGACTTTGGCTGGCAGTACCTAAAGGCTATCGAGAAAGAGAGGCTAGTGCGGAGAACAGACGGGCGGGCGGGCAGGCGATAGATAGGTCGTGGTGTCAAATATAGCGTGCTAGGGGTTTACACGTTTAGGCTTTGAGATCTTGCGTGTTGCAGCTTTGGCACTGCGACGTATGGACGATCGACGACGGATGGGTGCAGTGCGGAATGAGCAGAGTTGGGTGGATGTATGCACCTAATGTGGACTTTGGGAGTCTGGAGAACACGCGCACGTCGGGCTCGAGGACGTGTCGCGGAGTTGTCCCGGGTGTAGGCTTGGTTGCCGCAGTCTTTAGCTTACGACAAGAAACTTGAGCTTGACTAAGGGGCGTTGGTCGTAGAGGTGGGTGGTGGAGATGGAGGTAAGAGCAGAGAGTGTTGTGTGCGTGGAGGACGGACATGGCTCCACGACGCCGGAAGATGGAGGCTCCGGCCGTTCGACATCGCTCTTATGACCTCACCACGTCGCGGCGCAACCCACGTTCACTCGATCCTCGCACTCTCCTTATGTTTTCAACGCACATGTCATCCTGTATGTTCTCTTATAAGACCGCGTCAACCGGACAAATTTCCCAGTACTCGCAGCGAACTCACCAGTCAGCGTCGCGCACGTTCCTAACGCATATACCTTCCGGTCGTGTGCAACAGCCCTGTCCCAGACGTGGATGCAGCACCTATTCAGAAGTGATCAGGTCATGACAAAGCCCGTCTCTAACACTCAGCATGTGCTGACATTGCCGTCTCCACCAACCGTCCCCGCCCAACTCAAAACTGCCTCTTTCAGGATAAACTCAATACATGAACCACATGTCTAGGGCTGGCCTTGCGATCAACGGTATGCACCGAACCCTTTTACATCCCGAGGGTGATCCCCAGAATCCCAGGTTATGCATTACGTTCTAACGGCCAAGTCGCGCGCTTCAAGCTCCAAAGCTTGATATATCAAAACCGGTGCAGTAATTCGAGCGGGCCTCGAACTAAAGCAGCATTGGACGAGCTTCCAGTCGCAGGAGGAGAATCTCCGAATCCTACTATTACGTGGACCCCCCCTCCCCAGCGCTCCGTCATTCTGCACCCATCTTCTGGCCTTACATCAACTTCGACTTGGGGCCAACATAGTATCATCAGAAAACGGAATCGAAACTGTCACGAGACATTAAACTCTCGTGAGGCTTTGCTCTGGCTATTTTAGGTCGCCAATGCGCATCCTATAGGCATGTTCCTCACCCCCACTTGCACCAAATTAACTGTCGCGGTCATGTGCTGCTGTCCGGCATCGCGCGCATGTACATAACATGTGCATGTGGATTTTCAGACGTCTCTTCTGGGCTTGGAAGAACTCGGAATCGAGCGAACTGCGAACTCTCTTCTCGTGCATCGTGCATCATGCATCAGCGCCAAACTTGCGAGCTGAAAATGCCGTGTTATTCTAGGAGAAGATACTGTTACCAAACGCTGCGCGCTCTGCGTATTTCCGCCGACTATCACTGAACTTAGCTGCAGTATTTCTGAGGCTCGCCGTCTTGGCCCGCGGCAAGCAGCGCGCCATGAAAATGCACATACTTACCAGAAGCTTAAGTAAATGATCTTCTAACCCTTTGAATGTTCATCGCGCACCTGACCTAGACCTAGCCACCCCCTGGAAGCCTAAGATGGCCGCCTGTGCAAGGCACAACGGCCCCCAGAGCTAGCCCAGCTCCAACTGGACCGATTCAACATGTAGTATAGACTCCCGATGTCTCCTAACGTCGTGGACTCATTCATCTATCATGCTTCTGCTCAGAGTCTTCTTCTATCAGCCACGCCCAGCCTTTCCTTCTTTCCCTCGTATTGCACAGTGCCTGAAGGGGTTATCCTCGCCTTCTTCGCAATATGGATGTCGCTTTCGTACCCTCTTCGAAGCCGAGGGCAGCCAACCACGACCTCACCCGGCATTGCCCATCTCAAGTCGAGAAAACACAAGGATACATGCTGGCGCTCGCACTGTGTACATACGTCCGAATCCGAACTTGGTGCGATAGTCGCGATGGTGCAGGGGAACGTTCTCATCAGAAACTTATCTACTAACAGAATGTTTACTATACAGGTAACTTCCTCGAAGGACGGACGCATATGTCGATCCGCCGCTCGACGTCACAGTCCCCGTGGTGCTATCGCACCTTTGTACTAAACGAGGATAAGAACGCGTGCCCAACATCACTTCCGCGACTTGCTAAGTATGACTTCAGGTCCTTGGATGGCAACGATGCAGGCAATGCGGCAAGCGAATAGCTAATGACACGTTAGCAACGGTGCACGCATTGGGGCACCCACTGGGCGGCTGCTTCTCTCAATTATGTAGTAAGAAACGAAGACCGCTTCCTTATGCATATTGAATTTCATTCTGAGGCTGTTGGAAACCGGAGCGCTCCGCCTCGCTGACGCTATTCTCGTATTACTTCCGCAGATCAAGGACCCAAGGACCCACCAACCACCAGAGCGCAGCTTTGATGCACGCATACATACGTGGTGAGACTAAGTACATGGTCAGTTTCTGGAAAGTGCTGCGCAGCTCGTGCTTCTGAACAGGTTCGCTCTTCGCTCCGATGATACGATATGGCATGATATGGTATATCGTATAGCATGACACAGCGAAAAACGCGTGCCGGGACACTTTACCAATCTATTCCATGGTTCTATCGCGCTCGCGCGCACCCCAAGTTCTCATGCTCCTCCGTTCACCTCGCAGATGGAGGCTTTTTCTGGCTTCAGCCTAGCCCTGCATCAATAGTGTTGTTAGTGCATCATCGGTGCACCGCGGGGCTTCCAGCTTCCTGAACTCATACTGCTTGTCAATGTTCAATAGTGGCTTCGTTTGTTTTACACCACAACTTCCATACACTGATCTTGAGTCAGCAGCTTATCGACTTCAACACAACCCTGCGTGTTCAGAAAGTTCATTCATACCGTGAAGCCGGCGCTTCCGCTGCTTCCTACACCTCGTGTTGATCACCGACGCTGGCTTATGCTAGCTCTGGTTACTTATGAGCGCTCCTTGGCTTTTATGAACCGGAACTCTCTCACCGCTGTTCGGTGCTGGGCAGCTAGTTGGAGTTACCCCTCTACTTCAACTTTGCGAGGACTGACGGATCCCTGATGCTAATCATACTTATTTCAGGCTCGTTCTTTAAGTCAGCCAAAAGGCACCATTTCAATACCGTTGCAAGTGCTTTATCTACATACCAAGTTTTCACATTACAGCGACCGTGATGGCTCCAACTTGGGACGTCCATCATCGGACCTATTCACCGAGTCGGACGCGCCACTAGCGGAGCCCCTATTCCATCCTTGACTGGCGCGAGACACTCAGAGTCAGAAGAGGAAGTCCCTTTGATCCCGTTTCTTGAACTTCTTCCCGTTCTGCTTGGATTGTGCAGCAACGAACAACACCGGGCCTGACTGGCGTGCGACATATTTCATGTCCGAACGTCCGGATAGGTCCTCTCGTGCCCCTGTCTGATCGTTGATCCTTCGTTTGACGGCGACTGTGATTTAACGACAATGAAAGAAAATGTGGGTGGGTGGATTGATCATCTTTGTTATTTTATTCGAGATTGTTTGCAATTTATTAAGCGCAGCTACGTCTTTGGTGTATGGATCTCCGCCGACCTGGGCCGCTTATTCTTTGGCTATCATGCGACGACGTTCCGGACGAGGAACGTTCGTCACACTGGCGGAGCGACATGGCGGACGCGCCGTACGGGTGCAGATGTGCAAACTCCTCCCGCAACTCCTCCACCGCATTCCCCAGATTTGCGTACCTAGTACGCTACAGCCTACCGCACATTGACGGTGATAGCGCAAAGTCAATCTCGACGTCTGCAAAGTGCCTTGTAGGCGCACTGCGGTCTTACAGCTGCCACGATCTCGCGAGCTCGCTGATCGCACCCACTGCAGATGCTTCCGCGTCGTTTGCGTGGCTCGGTGGCTGCTACTGCATCCAGTAACGCCTTCTTAACCTCGCCGCCCCCGGGAGGCCCGTCGCAGCCAAATCTTAGAAGATGCAGCTTATCACCACCCAGTCCGCGCATAGACGTCGTCCTCGATCGATCGGGCGACCTCGCTGATCTCACCCGCCATTGTCGCCGGCGACATGGGCGCTCCCAGCGCGCTCAGATCTGCTCCCGGTGCCCTGTTCCGTCTGTGCCCCTGAATTTTGTCGGGATGGGCTGACGCTGGCGCTGGCGCGTTCCTGCCTGGCACTGCAGTATCGGTTGAACGCCAGATGTTGAGTTGCGTCCAATGTTGGTCTGCTCCGCTCACCCGCTTCGACTGCTGCCTTCCCTCTACTCCTGAATGCGCATTGATGGTGTCCGTTACAGCTCAGGGTGTCTCCGTCATCGTCCCAGATGTCGGGACCTCAGCTGTTGTCCTGCAGGCATGGATCGAATGGATCCGCCACCCCCGGACTTCGTACCCCACCCCTGGCGGCCGCAGCTCTCCCCGTCGCATCGTCGTGAGCATCTACTAAATTACTGCCCTCGGCAGCGGACAACTCAGAGCAACCACCTTGTCAACCCACACCCTCCCACACCACACCTCCTGCACGCACCTATTACGCGCTTGTCAGCTTATCAATTTCGGCGCAGCACGCGCACGCGCACTCGCTACCAATCCTCGCGCGTATGCATAATGCACTCTTACATACGTATCTCAAGCTCCTCGGACACACGGGCATGCCCCCACCGCAGACGCTCGCTCGCGCCTCAATGTCAACGCGCACCGCAGGACCCGAGCATGTGCACTCGCATCCACCCTGAGCAGGCGCCGCACCGTGTATGCACTGGCACTGGGATGGAACGCACGCCCGCGGACACGAGCCCGCGACCGCACCGACGCGCCGGCGCAGCGCGAGCAGGCGGCATTGTCGCCATTTATTACTGTATTATGCACGCTGTGCAAGACTGGCGTCGTGGACAGCGGTCAAAATTGTCAACGTTCGAGTGTCAATTGGGCCAAGTGGCATGGAAGTAAAGATGTCGCGATGGACTGGGCCGGTCCCATGGCACCCACGCGCGCCCGACCCTGAGCGCCAAAGGCTGCGAGATCTTGGGCGTAGATCCGACGAATCGGGATCGATCGGGCGAGACGAAAACGAACTTGAGCAAACCGGACGGACGGGATGAGTTTGGGCAGATCGGGCGCAGCTGCCACAAACGGATCCGGACGGAGATTCAGAGTGTCCACTGTTTAGGCCAGGAAGGCAGAAACTAGGGGGGTGCTGCGTTCGTTCGCTGACGCGATCCATATATAAGCCAGCCAGCTGGGGCATAACACATACAGATAACACAGATTCTGAAAGAATACATACAGTAGAATTGAAAAAGGGACCACTCACTTCTCGCGGGACCATTTTGATGCACATCGTCAAGTTCTCTCGAAAGGCTTGGCGTCGAGAACCTCGACTGAACGAACGAACGAACGAATGTGATTCGGCCAGTTATCGGTCGGTCGGCCAGAGAAGCAGAGGTCCGCCGGGGCTTCGCATGTGTATGTACATGGGGCAGGCGTAATGAACTCATACGTACACTTCATTACTTGTGTGCTAATTACTTGCGCAGTGCGGTCCCTCGAAGCCTGAAGCGTATGTACTCACGGTGGGCGGTTCTCGAATGTCTCGTCTTTTCCATCGAAGCGATAAAGACTGCAGTCGAGGAGCATGGTATTATCCCTCTGATGAGTGGCGCGCTCATGTGAATAAACCAGTATAAGTTTCACGGAATCCCCGTACCAGTGGTCCTAGCTTGTTAGTTTGTTTGTTTCTTGCACAGGCTCCAAGATCCAGCACTGATCAGAATACACACATACGTACCAAAGACGACCGCGACCGCAAACTGACGAACGGATGAACAAGCGGACTGAGTCACGGACTACGCGGCCGTGCCTCACCGGTTTTGTGTGTGTTGAGATCCGGAAAGTTCCCCGCGTTTCATTTTGTGTGTGTGGGTAATTTTCGAATGCAAAGCAGGTCCATCCTGGGTGAACGATAATGAGCGAATGTCGAATTGCACTTGTTTCCGTCGGACAACGCCGCGACGGGGAACAGGAACTGAGCATACACGCCCATATGAAGCTTATGAAGCTAGGAAGCTGGCGAGTTGTATATTTCCATTTTTCCATCACGCATTCGGCCGCGTCGGAACAGTGTCATTCGAGCCGCCCGCTGGGCTCAGCAGGCCCCAACCTTGAATACGTGCGGGACCCTTCCTGGGCTGTTCTCGAACGCTGGTCGAGGTATGGCGAGGCCCGAGTCATGAAGAGGAGAGTTCCAACATGAGGTTACACCTGCGCCTACCTGCGCTTGTGTCCGGCTTGTGTTTTTCGGTCCTTTCGCCGAACGGATTGCTGAGTCGGACCTCCTCGAGACCATGTGCCACGCTGTCCAAGCCGACGATCACCTTTGATGCATGTCTCCTCGGCTATCGGTGGTTTTTCGCGTCCATTGTGTCGTCGCATGACGGTTGACAGGCTGATTCTCTCGTTGCTCGAGGTCAAGTGTTGCTAAAAGGACCTGCAACAAACATGGCCAACCGTCCTAGCTAGATTGCAAGGACGCTCTCTCAAACTTCATACGATTTTGAAAGTAGCGGTTCTGGCATCCTCTGGCACCTCTGGCCTCATCAGTTAGCCTTGCCAGAGATCTCTGCCCGTATGAGCATGACGGAGCGCAAGCCCAGACGGCCAGGGCCGAGGAACCGGTAGGTTTCTCTGCCAATTCAAACTCAACTCAGTCGCTTCTCTGTCACATCAACCTGTCATGGATCAAATTTTCCCGACCAGGGCGGAGGCTAATACTCCCAAGCGGAGGCGTGTGGAAAAAAGACGCGGACTTGACGTTGGCGTTGCCGCGTCGTCCTTTAGTTGCGTAGCTATTGACGTATGTTTGAGATATGATCTCAGCCAAAGTGCGTGCATACGTATATCACACCGTGCCGAAGCCGGGGCTCGCCAGCCTATCTTGACGCTGCTCGCTTTCGAGAGCTGCATTCACTTAGCCAAGTTAAGAGTGTGCCTTCTAGATTGGGAGGCAAGCGGAAGTGAACGGAGGCTCAAGATTCGCCCGCGAGGCCGTCTGAACGAGGCAGGGGATGGGGGTTCCTCGTCTCCATTAAGCCTCGAGTTTTCTCGATCGAGAGGAACAGGACGAAAGGTGAGACAAAGACGCACCACTGCAGTACGTAAGATGTCAGCGTTCAGGACCGTCAGGAGCAGTTTTCTTTTTCGTGGAGAGATCAGACACCAGTCAAGAGGCCTGCTTAGCCGACGAGCAATCATATGATGACGGGGAAGGGAGCTTCGTAGTCAGGAAGAGGATGCGGTCATGCTCTTTTTTGGGGACGGGCACCAGGCCCGGAAGACTGCCCCGGAAAGGCGAGGCGCGTTCCCAGGCAGTTTTGCCTTTCTGTGTTTGGCTTCATCGGCCAGGAGTGATGGAGCATAATAGAGTCACCTGCGATTGGGTCTCCTCCGCCGACTGTTTTGGTGTAAGTTCATACTTGGTCCAGGGACATTGAAAGGGAAGGGGAGGCTCCAGGGAGATTCACGCTAAGCAAACCTCCGCAACTGCCAGTGGGTCAACATGGGTTAGTCGCATCATCCTCTCGGACTCGAGCGGAGGATATCCGGGAGGAGGGTAGCAACGGTACTTGAAAAACGAGGCGTAAGTGGCCTGGTAAAAATTGCCTTGCTAGGCGAGTTTGATGGGGAGAGAAATTGGGGATCATTTTAGGAGAGCAGGTGTCGAAATTAGCGGAAGTATTGGTTGTTTCTTTGTTCACACAGTGGATGATATGAATGGTTGGAGGGATGGTGATCAGATTTCCGATTGAAAGAGAGGTGGATGGGCACCGCATTTTTTGAATTTTAGGCTCCTTGTCTTGTTTGAGAGGATTGCAGGGTTAGTTCACTAGCCGTTGTCTGCTCACACGATGTATTTACGTCTGGCCAAGAGGGGAAGGTGGTCTGCAGGGCCGGGTCACGCAGAGATCGCGTTCGCGAAGAAACTTGTAATATGTCCTGCACATCTGTCAAATGCCGACGACCTGATCTCGATCTCCCGGGTTACTTAATGACCCCGCTCGACAGTCCATTTTTTGTGTCGCCTTTCCTCCGTCCCTTCTCTGTTCCTCCATAATCTTATATGTCCGCAGACTCCTATCAATCTCCCCTCCAGCTCAAAGGCGAAGTCATGGATCTCGAGTTCACCGTCGACACCGACCACCGCAAGCGCAGACGCAACCGCACCACTCAGTCCTGCCTCAATTGCCACACCTCCAAGCGCAAGGTACGCCAGTGTGCTGCGCACCCATACGCGGTTACAGAAAGCTGAACGCGCCCCCTAGTGTGACCGCAAACGTCCTTGTCAGCGATGCATCCAGCTCGGACTGGTGAGTTTTCGGCGAACGCGTCGTGCGCCCTGGTCGCCGTCGCTCACCCCTCCGACCCCATAGACTGGTCTCTGTGTTTACGAGATTGACGACCCGGCACTCCGGTGAGTGTCCGCATACACGTGCAGCGTGGTGGTGCATCGCTGACCAATTTATCCAGAGATGACCCATCCATCGACGAGACGACCAGACTGCGAAACCGCATTGCTGAACTGGAGAGCCTTGTACGCGAGTTGCGAGGTTCGTGATCACTGCAGTGTATGTGTTTGATGGAAGACTGACGGTCTTGTTCCAGGAAAACCACATCCACGTTGGGCCGATGCCAACTTTAGAGACGGTGATCCCGCCGAGCGCTGGCACTCACGTGCCGCGAAGAACAGCAGCATGCAGTTGCGCCGCCGCGGACGGTCCCCAGATCCCCCGGAAGGTTCCCCGACTGAGCCACGCGGCATGGTCACCCCCTCGGGCGTTCCATCCATCAAGACAGAGCCAGGAGGAGACCTCTCCCAGCCCAGCCTCTACCGCTTCTCCTCCAACTCCCCCCCGGGCTCCTACCAGGGCTTCCAGTCGGGCACCTCCTCCCCCATCTCCACCTACGACCGGAACGGGCACGCCAGCTATCCTAATGGCGCCGTCCACCCGAACGGGCGCTCGTATACTTACTCCAACGGTTCATATGGTCACCATTCCAACGGCCACGCCCCCGGATCGACCCTCCATCAGAACGGTGGTGCGTACCATGCACACGCCTTCGCTCCCGACTCGCCGCCGGGCTCTGGCTACTGTCCTTGTCGGACGAACCCCGCCGCGAACCACGCCTTCCTGGCGCTCGGTCACCAGCTGCAGAACACCGTCGACTGTCTCCGCCAGTTCGCAGTCCACCCCGAGGGAGCACAGTGCCGCCTCTACAGGCGGATAAAAGAACTCAACAGCATGATTCGGTACGTTTGTTGCGCTGCGTTTGCTCGTCCGCAGTTTAGCTCACTCCCCCTTTGCTTCTTCTTCGCGTGTCGTCTTACGTGTGTGAACGAATCAACAGCGACGACCCAGACTCCGCGTCTGGATCGCCATATGGCACGCTTCCCACCCCTACCGAGAGCGAGATCATGTCGACGCATTCATCGTCGAATACGCCGTTCCATGGGGCTTCGAATGGGGCTGCCGCTGCCGTACCAGAGTGGAATACCACGATGCCCCCAAACGGCTACAACCCATACTTCCCTATCTCGTCGGGAGAACAAAACATGTACGGCAACATCATCACGTGAGGTGTTCGTGTTCGCCGCGGGGCGCGTGCCGCCTTGTTTTCGGAAGGACATGATCCTGTTCGTTGGTTACCTTCGCCTCCGTCCGCGCAGGGCGGCTAGATATCCCAATCATAGACGCTTTCTTTGTCACGCTGGCGCTGATATGATATTATTACTCGCTGTGCCCGACATCGCTGCCCTTTTCTCTGATAACCGGAGGGGCAGTAGCTCATACCATAGACTATCTAACAAAGCCTGTTGCATTGTACTTTACACATGTTGTATTCGCTGTACCACCCGTAGTCTACACGAGGCATGATGATCCACTCCGCTCTGTCAATGGATGTAGATACCCACTTAATTTAATTCAAGTTTAAACTCATGACGCCGCGGACTTGAAGTCGCCAGTCGAGGTGCTCCGTCCTCCCCTGTCTGCCATCTGTCCTTTTCCAGGAAAAGCACTCGTCCATCACGTCGTACCAGGATGACAGTGGCCAAGCGTGTCCCGTAGGGTGTATGTGTCGCCGACTCGGATATCGTCAGCGGGTCTACTTGTATCGTATTGCGCAGCTCCGCGCGGCAGGTCGGAGGCTTGTCAGCGGTTTGTCTTTGATTACGAGGTGTGTTAGATATAACAGTAAGAAGAGGAAGTAGGAGTGCAAATCGCGCCACCCACTCCAGAATACCGAACAACTTCTCTGCTAGCATATCCTCGTCCACGGGTCCAGGATCGAGCACGCGTTCTCTGAAGCTGGCGCAGCCGTCCTTCACTTTCGGCCAGTCGCGCGCACCGGCATCGTCGATACCGTTGGACATGCCTCCCAGTTCTCTCTCATCACTCCGGAGCTGTCGCATGATGATACTGTCTCCCTTCACTTCCCCAGCGCCTTCCTCCTGACCCTGGCCATGGCTGCGGTTCGTAACGAAGACACCCTCGAACCCCAGGAGGCCTGCTTCGCCCGTGCTCGACGGATCTGCAGCAGCAGCAGCAACAGGGGCGAGGAGAAGCATATTGAACCCTGCATACGTTCCACCGCGTATGTGCTCATCAACGTACGCGTCCATGGGTAGCGAACCCGGCCCTTTGAGGAAGTTCGAGACCAGTGTCCCCCGCGAGGACGGGTAAGCACCGTACGGTTCTGTGACGTTCGTCCTGGAAGGAAACAACGTTTAGTTTATCTTAGTTTGCACACACCGCGCTTAGCCGATAGACATGTGTGATCTCTCTGCGGCGCGCTGGGTGCTTTTTCTTTCTTTTCTTTTGCTTCGTTCTGATGATGCATGTTCTGATAGTAATGTGCTTGGTACTCACAGAACGGCCACCTTTCCGGACCGGGAGACGCCCAGCCACGTTCCCCCGCCGACCGTGTCAATGCCAGACAGGACGCTGCCTCGACCGTTATCATGGATATCATGATCATTGTCGCCGCTTGTCGTCCCGCCGCCGAATGAATGAAAATGCGCGTTTTTCGTGGACCTGTTCAGGTACTCGTCGCGATTGGTGCACAGGATGCTGTGGAGGCCCGCGGAGAAACCGTGTGCGAAAAAGAAAAATCAATTACTGGGCAAGTTTGACACTCGCGCTAGTGGATGCGAAAGAGAGTTCTGACGGGGAGGTTAACGTACAGCGCGTACTCGGGGTGTTCCAGTGTGTACAGGGCGATGCACATGTCTGGATCTTTTTTTGTGTTCAGGAATGTGTCTGCAGCAAAGTCTCTTTCTGTTGTGTTGATGGATCAACGCTAGGCGGCACGGATCAATCGGGGTTTGGCGTTCAGAGCACGCACTTTGCTTGGGGTGGCCCCAGATCCGGGACAACGTGAGAGAGAGGGCGGAGGGAGTTGAAGCTAAGAAGAAGGACAATCAAGCACCGTTGCTGCGACACGATTCAGACGTATGATTGACTATGATTTCATTAAACAAGATCAGGAACGATAGTCAGATATGCGGCGCAGCGCTTCGTGCCCATCGCACGATCCAGACATCCCACCAACGCCTGGGATCCCCGAGTGCCCCCAAGAGCGCGGAAGATGAGAAAACACTCACGGCAATAAACTGTGGCTCCTCTGCTTGGGAATTACTGTATGTACACGCGGAGCCTTCGAGAGGAGGTGACGGGGTTGCAATCGTCCAAAGGCAATGATCAACGTCACGGTCAACGCGGACGGTCCCCGAGTCTGCGATATTGCTTCCGCGAAAAATACGTCTTTTAGGAGACACCGGGCCGGAGCCGACCGTGCGGTTTTCCCAGGTCACGGCACTGACGCACAATAGTCGCGACTTGCCTCTAACGCCTCGGCGGCTGACGCGCAACGCGTCTGATAGTGCAATGAACTCAGGGCCCATCGCCGTCCTCGACAATGGTGGATCGACTATCAAAGCTGGCGTTGTAGTCGGCGAAGTACCTGAAAGAGAACAAGCAAGGTGAGCGTCTTAGTCTTGACATCTCGCAAGCTCCGTGACCCTCAGACGCGGTGACGGGGACGTAAAGGCTCGTCCCAAACGCCGTCGCGCGTTCAAAGGGGGACAAGACTACCTACTTTGGACACGAGCTCGACCGGTGCCGCGATTTTTCTGCCCTGCACTACCGCCTGCCGTTCGAAAAGGTGCGACGTGCTGCCTTTCTCAGAACAATGCTTGAAACAGGTTTAGCGTTCGTAGGGCTACCTCGTCGATTGGGACGCCCAGAAAGCGGTGTGGGACGGACTGTTCTCCGCCGATGCCCTGGGAGTGAGTTCAAGTCCAGATGACCGAGGACGCCCCACGTTGTCTGGCGTACTTGGAGCTGCAGCGGTACTCACGCTGGCGCTACCCTAGATCAACACGTCCGAATCGCGTCTCCTGATCACGGAGCCTTACTTCAACCTGCCAAATGTTCAGGACGTTTATGATCAGTTCGTCTTTGAGGAGTACGAGTTCCGATCGTACTACCGCTGCACACGTGCGTCCGCCATCTCTGCTTAATTTGGAGTGGTTGACGGACGCCACTCCAGCCGCTTCTTTGATACCCTACGGGTCGCTCTTCAGTGAAACAAAGCAGCCTGCGCCTGAATGTATGCTCATCATCGATTCGGGCTTCAGCTTTACGCATGTGATCCCATTAATCCAAAATGAAATTCAATGGCACGCTGTGAAAAGGTCGGTGTCTTAGTAAAACGATGGCGTGAGTTTTGCAACACTGAAGTGCCATTCATAGACTCGACGTCGGAGGCAAAATCCTTACTAATCAGCTCAAGGAGATCGTCTCGTACCGACAATGGAACATGATGGACGAGACGTACATCATGAATCACGTCAAGGAGACATGCTGCTACGTCTCCAGCAACTTCATGGACGACTTGGACGTGTGCAGGTAAGGTAACGTTTGCGAGAACGTTCCGCTGATCGCCGCCTTCGCTCATCTCATTCTAATTCCAATTCCAATTTGGGCGCACAAAAAACAAACAAACGCAGGACAAACCCGAAGAAGAACCCGATCGTCAGGGAGTACGTGCTCCCTAATTTCACCATCAACAAACAAGGCCGGCTCCGACAGCCCGACGAAGAGATCTCGCAGGCCGAGCAGATACTCACGATGGGGAACGAGCGGTTCACGATCCCAGAAATACTCTTTCGTCCCGACGACATCGGTACGTCTTGCGAAGCTGAGGCCAGTATTCACTCATTTCACCTCCCACCCCTTGATGAATGTTGTTGGACCCCCACAACGTACGATCTACGTGCCTTCAGGACTGGACCAATCGGGCATAGCCGCTACCGTAGCATCGTCTATTAAGCTGCTGCCAGAGGACATCCAAGGCATGTTTTGGTCAAACATTGGCCTGATCGGTGGCAATACAAAGTTTCCTGGGTTTTATGAAAGATTGTGCGTCTGCCACCTCTGCATCTTCTTGTGAAAATAATGACAAGATGCGTTCTCGGTTTGCTCATTTCTACACCTCCGCATGGATGGGTTAGGATGTCTGAACTGCGTTCGCTCGCGCCCGTCGACTTTGATGTGCGTGTGCATCGCTGCGAAGAGTACGTATCCGGCCGTTTCTGATCCACACCCGAACCCCAAATCCCAGACACTCGGCTACATCGTCTTCCCTCGCCGTATACTCAGAAGAAGCTCAAGCTGACCCCCACACTTCTTAACGCATCCTACAGGCCAATCACAGAAGCGTACCACTCCGCGCTCCGGTTTGTGGGAGAAACACCGTTCGCGGCATGTGCCGTAACACGGGCAGAGTACCTCGAAAGCGGGAGCAATGCCTCCCGGCGCAAGTTTCGTGATTGGCGGGCGAACTCTGCTGGAAAGGAAGCCGAGAAGACCAAGGCAGCGGAGGACGAGGACGAGGACGCAGTGGCTCCACCTCCGCCTCCCAAGAAGCTGGCGCGGACGAAGAGTAAGACCGGTGCAGGGGGCTCCTCGAGTCGTCGCCGCTAGATCTTTCTTTCTTGGATACGTCATGTACAGTGCGAAGTTTGTCGTTATCAGAGTAGGCTTGCGCTTGTTTATGCATCACTTTGTGTTCGCCGCCTATTCATTTCATGTGAACTGCGCAGGTCCTTTGTAATTCAAGATACGGTTCGTTCTAGAAGGTTGTCGACAAACACGTCGCATACTATCATTCCGGGACAAAGATAATTTTGATAGCCTTCCGATAGGTTGAGTCCACTTTACAAATAAGTATACAGGGCACCGAGATCTTGAATCGCTGCGACCTCGTAGTCACCACAGCACTGGCGAGGACAAACAAATTACGGCATGGGTGTATGTCCCCGGCGTTTCACGATCAGGATCAGACGACACATCGAGCTAGCGCGTTTCTGTCGTGTTTCCGACCCCGAGCCCCCGAGGAGTTTGAGGATGTGGCCTGCACGATGCATGATGATGCGCCACCAAAACTCACGACGTGTAAAGTGTAACCTTGGACTTATTCAACGCGTCAACGTTGTCCTCCCGGGAAAAGCCTTTGGTGGCGCAGGAAGTAGGTGCTTCGGAGCACCGCCGCTCACACTTTGAGCTTATCGGTCTCCGAATGCTTCGGTCGCATCGCTTGTATTAGTTATTCATAGCGCGACCCTTGTTATTGATCCTCGAATGTAGGTGAGTCAGTAAGGATATCAGATATCTACATTCACGCTAACCCTTCGTTTTTCTTTGGGGATACAAGACTGGGGCTTCCGTCCATAATACAACGACACAACACTTCTTTCATCCTATAATGAGCAGCATATAACGCAACCCCTGTTGTCAATTGAAAAACGGTCCGATCTGTCAGCTCATACGGTACCGACAAACCGTCTGGCGGGGATATTGACAACGGTGAAACAACTACTATACATTAGGCTACACGTGTCGTGCTCATCTCAAAGACCTTCCGAGGGAATCCCACTCCAAAGACTCTTCACACCGTTGTGTTCTGTAGGCGCGCGCTGGACACATGAATCATAATTCACGACCAAGGAAACTCCACTTGCTGAAATCTGAGCATGGTAGCATTGCAACACGAGCCGAGTAGATGGCGGCGGTGGCGTTCCTGATACAACTTATACATAGAATGGGCAGAATAGAAATCAGCTAGAGGAAGCTCAAGGTGTTTCTATACGTGGCGGCGGCCACGCAACGCACAAAATTGAAGTTCGCGCGAGTGTTAGGCTTTCTACCAGTGGCAGATCTTTCCCAAGCTGCTCCCAGGGGACTATTCTGCATAGCGACATCGAAAAGGTCGAAGTCAATAAAGTGTTGTTCCAGGAGATTAATGGATCGCGTTCTTTCTGACAATAACACGGTCGTCGGGACTCGGCGGCCGCTAGCGTTTTTTACTTGACGCAGTTTGAGGTACTACGACGAGGATCGGTGGCTATACGTGTTTGCAAAAGTACTTGGCGGTACGAGTCGACAGTCTGTTCACAGTTTCAAGTTCTCGGCCAATCATCGGGCTATCTTTGGACTATTTCTTGCACAAAGCTCGACAAGAACATGGCAACTGCCAGAGATATAGGATCCGCTGCAGCCTCAGCTCAATGGGACTCAATACAAGATTATCTTCGGGCTATTCGAGGTCCGGACTCGTCGCTCTCCTTCGAATGAGTACGGTTTCACACTTGCCATGCGACCTGGCACTGTGCTTCGATGTATTGCAAACACGGATTCACCCTTTCGGTGGCGCTGAATCCTGTCGCACAAGCTCTCGCTGCCTGTGGCCCACGATCTCTTCAATCCTACAACCCTCACGTTCGGTACTCCAACTTCTGCGAGACGCTCGCTGGAACTATTTCCCCATAAGATTCACAAAGATGGCGAGAGATGACATCACTCTTTGTGCATGCCTCGGTTATAATATGGAGTAATTCTCGAAGGTACTGGATGGGTACTTGACAATGAAAACGAATATATCGTCCTTCGCGACTATCGGGATGCCAGCCACAGTTCCTACGGCGCATTGCAAGGCCAAGTAGCAACCGCAACGTCTTGCATGCCGCCTCATTCAGTTTTGCGTGATAAAATGTATGCACAACTGTTGCTGTGTGCAAGCTGAGACTATCGTCCATAAAAAGTTCATCGCTCTATCACGGTTTGCGTATCTATCAGCAACACCGCAATGTGAGACTGGTTCGCCGACGATGTACACTTGTTTGATCTGAGGTTGCTCGTCGTCAACTGTCGTGTCAGCCACATGGCCCTTGAAGAAGAGCTTAAACGTTGCCAGCTTCAACACCCTTGGGAACTTATTTCGCAAGGTACGATAAACCCGCAAGAAACTGACATGCGCGGTCGAGGTCAGCAGTTGATAGTCAACAGCGTCTTCAACGGCGAGCACGAAAACATTGAATGGCCTCGGTCTGAAGCTGAAGTTTAAGCCAGTGCTATCGTTGGAATGTGCCAAAACGACGAGTCCACGGGCGTCGACGTGAGGAAGAGGTTCTCAGAGATACAGACAAGGTGGCAAAGCCCGGGGTAGGGCACATCGAGATCAGCAAGATTGATTCATGTATGTTTGTACCGCTGTGGGAACTCATTAGCCCTCACACATATTGACGATAGCGCAATGGTCATAGAGTACACTGCAATGGCACGATCCGTGAAATGATACAGCAGGTTAATCGAGCGAAATTTTGATACCAGAGTCATCTCTGCACGCGGCCATGAGATGGAATACCCCGTTGAAGGATTAGCATGTACCTCTCGAACGTCATGACTTGCTACGATTAGCGACGCGCTTGCTTTTCCCTGGCCTTTTAGTGCCCCCGCTCTTACCACCCCTGCCTCCCCTACCACCCTTGAAGCCGCCTCTCCGACCTTCAAAGTCGTCCGTCGAGGCTTTGGTGTTTTGTTTTGACCGACGTCCATTCCCGCCGAACCCAAATTTGTGATCCCGACCCTCGCGAGAGACCTTCTTCCCACCACGTCCGCGAGACTGTTTCGAGGGGCGGTCAGCGATCGCGTCCTCGACTGCGACGTCAAAGCCGTCCGCGTCTGCCTCGGCGTTGTCTAAAGCGCCTTTGCGCTCTGCACAAGCAAAAAAATTCTCGTCAGTCACATTTACATCAGAGCAGGTGGAAAAGGGAGGACGCACTGCGCTTCAGATTCTTGAGCCTATCTTCCATATCCTTCTTGCTCTGCTGGCGCTCCTTGAGTTTCTCCTGCTGCACCTGTTTGCCGAACTTTTTGCCCTCGCGCTCGCGGCGCTTCTCCTCGGAGCGCTTGATGCCCGCGCCCTCGTCGAGGAGGCGTTGCCGGATGCGCTCCATGTGCGCGTCGGATTTGACCATCTCGGCGAAATAGTCGTTGGGTCGGGTGAACGGGAAGGAGTGCTTGGCGGCGAGCGCACGCGCAGCGTTCGCGCTATGAAGGGCCTGCTTATAGCTTGACGGACGGGGGAGTGTAAGCTAAAAGGATGCAATTTGGTGATGATATAGTTAAAAACGTACAAAGCAAGCTCGCGGTTGAGATCGTCATCGACGTCAACCTCGATAGTTTCTGGGTAGCTGACCACGAGCGTCTCCGTCCAGGAGAGCGAAGGGTCGAGCTGTATTGACTCGCGTATGCGCTCAAGCGCAATCTATGGCAGACGTTAGAGTCGAAGAGGTATGGAAAGACAATGCATCACCCACCTTGTCGTCGATTTCGACTTTTTGCTGAGGAACCGCGTCCGCGTCCAGTTCTGCATCCTCGAGCTCGTCCAGAGCAACGACATCCTCGTCGTTTTCTTCCTCCTCTTCTTCATCTCCTTCCTCCGCGTCCTCTTCCTCTTCCTCGCTACCGCTTTCTCCAGAGATTGCTTCCTCACCTAATCCAGCTTCTTCCTCGTCCTCCTCGCCATCATCTTCCTCTTCGTCGTCGTCGCCAGCCAACCCAACCAGTTGCGCCCGATCGAAGTCGTCTAGCCCTTCCTCGCCCAAAAGCTCCATAATCCGCTCCATGCCCTGTTCGTACTCGCTCTCGCTCTCCTCGTCGTCTTCATCTTCACCTTCCCCGCCCTCTTCCTCGTCGTCGCTTTCCGGAGCAGCCAGCTGTTCTTCGTCCGTAACCTCGGGTTGGACGTCAGCAACTTTTGGTGCGGCCTTTTTGGTGGCAGACAACTTCTTCAACGAGATATCGCCATTCGCTTTTTCGGCCTTCGAAGGTTTCACGGTGGTCTTGGACCTGGCCATGGTTTTAGTGTAGGGGTGCGATGGCGAGGTTTGTGTCTGCAGGAAATTTCGGTGCCGTGCGCGTTGCCCCTATTGGGCGTACATACCAAATTTGGAAGGAGCAGAGTCAGCGCGGAAATCTTTTCGCCGCCGTCGCAGGAGACGACCGGCACTGTCTTACCATCTCAAAAGTCCTACAGCATGGTGGGTCTGATTTCTACTGAACTGCAGTCTTATCTGAATGGTGTCTTATAGCGGCCTATTCTTCTTCAAGGTAGATCAACATTGCCGATCACTTGTTACAAGCTCTGAACCGTATCTTATCCCCTTCACCTCCGCATTATGAATAGGACACGAGCGATCGCTCACACAAATCAAGTTCAACAGGGAGGGAGATCTCCTTTTCTCATGTTCAAAGGATCACGTCATCAATGTGTGGTTCTCGCACAACGGAGAGCGGTTAGGAACATACAACGGGCACAACGGCACTGTGTGGACGATAGACGTTGACTGTGAGTCGACGCTCCCATCGTCGTCCTTCATGCGACTGACCTCAGGTTCCATTACCCCTACCGTACACGAAACATCTTCTATTGGCTCGTGAACGCGCACAAAGCCCAATCGAGATACCTCGTCTCGGGCTCGGCAGATAACACGCTCAAGCTGTGGGAGGTCTCGACGGGCAAATGCCTCTTTACCTGGGAGTTCCCAACGGCAGTGAAGCGCGTTTCATTCAGCGACGACGACGAGCAGGTCGTATGCATCACGGAGCAGCGTATGGGCTACCAAGGCGCGATCCGTGTGTTCCGCCTTAACTTCGACGGCGACGGCAAAGATCGTGCGTCCAGTCTCTTTAAACCCACGCATGCATTTGTTCCTAATCCTTACACTATTGGTTTTCGATGATCAGAGGATCCCGAGCCCGAGCGCTTTTTCAACCCTATTGGATCCAAGGCGACCGTCTGCGCGTTCACCTTTATGAAGAACCTAATTGTCACGGGCCACGAGTCGGGCAAGGTCGCACTCATCGATGTTGCCACCGGCGACGAGATTCAGACGAATGAGCGCGCCCACATGGACATAATCACCGATCTTCAGATGGGCCCCGATGGGACGTACTTCATCACGAGCTCAAAGGATAAGGTGGCACGGGTATGTTCCCAGCTCGAAATGGTCCCATTCGAGGAATATCATACTCATCGCTTGGTGAAAAGATACACGACACGAAGACACTTCGCGTCTTGAAGACGTTCTCAACCGAGACTCCTCTCAACAGCGCAGCGATCGCACCTAACCGGCCATATGTGCGTTGTCATGCCTCGTCTTCCGCACTGTTTTTCCGCATTTTACCTGTACTCCTACGTTCATGCAGGTTCTTCTTGGTGGCGGTCAGGAAGCCATGCAAGTCACCACAACTTCGCTCCGGCAGGGTAAGTTTGAGACGCGGTTCTGGCACAAGGTCTTCGAAGAGGAGGTCGGCCGCGTCAAGGGCCACTTCGGGCCTATTAATACGTTCGTATATGCACCTTCATCCCAAGCATGGCTCGCTGATATGAACCGTTTAGTATTGCGGCTCATCCTGCCGGGACCGGCTACGCATCGGGCGGAGAGGATGGCTTCGTGCGCATGCACCACTACGATGACTCGTACTTCAAGTCAAAGCCTTATGGTGATCTTGAGATCGACGAGTAGAGCAGGATAGAGGATGTTGTGTACGTCACGATGGCGTTGTGCGATTAACTATGTACCCAAAAGCCCTGAGCTGAGCGATGCCCGCTCAGTCATCTTATTCATCTCGTGTGTTTCGCTTGCGATCGAATGTAAGCAGTGAGCCTAGAGGTGAGAAGGGCTTTACAAAGGCGCGAGTTACTAAGGTTGAATTGGTCCTTCATTGTGCCAAAATTTGCACCTCCAGCACTGGTAACTCTTGTTCATCGAGCCACCTCGAAGGCAAGAGAAGAATGAGGAGATGTTACAAAGCAAACATCTTCCAACAACGCTGACCGAGAGAATTAGACCATTGTCAGCGTTTGTCAGACGGCAGCAGTCTTCGTAATCTAAGAGCGATGCTTCCAGGCGTTCAAACCCGGGTTTAACAAAGCGAAACCGGCTATGTTGTGGGAGTCGGTACAACCTCTGTGGAACGGCAATGTCCGGCGGCCTTCGAAAATAGCCTTTAGGAGCTCGGTCCTCGGCCATTCGACTCGGTTGCGACTCGGACTTCCATGTGCAAAGTGTCTACGTCCCCAACATCATTGGCTCACGAGCATATCCTCGAGGAGAAGATCTTACCGGTAATGTCGAGTACCTTCCGGCGACTCTGTCGTCGTCGGTGCAGCTCAGACGGCGACGATATCCGAAATCTCATCACAGCCAGGCGCGGCGATGGACGCGCATACACTCATGCTGATCTGCGACCGTTGCATGACAAAGATCAGTACAAAATAGTTCCTGACGTAGCTCTGGATAGAAACTAGACTTTGGCTCTCAGATAAAAGCCAGTTTTGTGCTGCGACATGAAGCCAGGAACTCGCAAAAATACACTCGCAAAAGCACCTAGATCCACAAATGTCTTCCACTCTGAAGCGCGGTGCAGCTTGCACATCTTGCAGGTATGAAACTTCAATATGCGCCATGCTAAATATGATCTGACGTTCTCACTAACTCGCGACACTTGTCAGACGCCGTAAAGTTGTACGTCTCCTACCAGACCTCATGTATCGTCTCAGCCAACCCGATGACGCTGTCCCCGTGCAGAAATGCAGCGGCGCCCGCCCCGCATGCGACCAGTGCACCCGTGTTGGTATCGAAGCCGACTGCAAATACACCGATAACGCCAGGCTATCTCACACGGAGACGCTCGAGCGGGAGATCGAGAAGCTCAAATCCCGTCTCCAAGAGTTGGAGCCACCAATGCCCATTATGCTGCACGACCCATCTGCTCAGGCTTATACCTCCCCTACGGATACCGTTGCACCTCCTGAGACGCCTTACTCAGAGGAAACTGAAGAAGGCGCTATGCACGGTGTCCCGGCAGCATATGACGATGGCAGGATGACTTCGGATGCAGACATGTACTTCGAGCTGCGCCCTGACGGAGAGCCAGAATCCCCTGTAGAGGTAGAACAGCCCCAAGCTTCGACGGCTGTCGGTTGGTGGGATCTCGACCAACCACCCCAGGACTGTATCTTGAAAGCGTAAGCAATATCTTCTTGAGCACCTTTGGTTTTTTAAAACTTTACACACAAACTCGATGATTAATTTCGATAATCACCAGGGTCCCCTTATTGTCCCCTCAAGCACCCGGGTTTGGCTTCTTCCTCGACCCCGCCAACGAATTCCACACGACCGACTTCTCGGATGATCTGCCTACATACAAACTCCTCTTCTGGAACGCCGTCGTTCTCTGGGCAATCCACGTCGAGCGCGACCCCAACCTGTCCGTGCACGAGCCCGCCGTCCTCACGCGCACGCTGTCCCAGCTACGAGACGCCGTCGGGCATATCACGTCGGAGAGCTTCCTGTATGTTCTGCAGGGCGAGATCACGGTCGCGTATTATCTCCTGCGCGACGCGCGCTGGCACGAGGCGAGGTACCATGCGAATGCGGCGGCGATGCTTGCTCTTGATTTCGGGATCGGGGCGATGGGCAGGGACGATGCGAGTGGGGACGACTTGGTGGAGGTCTCGGCATTCCAGTTTTACCCTGGAAGAAGCTACTTCCGTTTGGCGGAGGATCTGGATAGGGATATTTGCACTGACGCTTTCTACAGCGTGTGCATTCTGGATAGGTGTCTGGCGGTCTTGCTGGGCACGGAGGCGGTGATCAGGCCAGAGGTGAGCGGTTGATGTTCATGGCGTTGGTATGTTCTGGAGCTGACTTTCGTGTTAGCTCACCGAGGAATTGTTCCTTGTACCTGGGCATGGTGTCGTGCAGACAAGATCTGCCCTCTTCCTTGAGGCGAACGCATCCGACCTTTTGTACCGCGCGACGGTAATTAGTAAGCAGGAGAATATCCATAACAATCCTGGTATGCATCTTACCCGTTAGTAGTGTATTGACTATCACCAAGGCTAACTTCTTGCTCTCAGAGGAACAGGCAGCGGCACACGACGAGCTCGATGGAATTATCACATCCTTCCTCGAGCACGTCGACGCGAATCGCGCACCTGCCGATCCGGGGCTTGAGGATCGGACATACATAACGCTCAAGTCGTTGCTGTTGATGGCTCGTATTCAGCTCAGGCTGCCATTTGAAAACAGCGGCGACGACATGATCAATGAAGAGGACGCTGATGTTCGCCAAGCCCGCCATGACAATCGCGAGATGATCGTCGACGCCCTAGTTGGCTTCTCGTACCTCTTGGCAGAGTCGGATACGCAGCACATGAGCCCGTTCAATCCAGTCTTAGCGGTACCATTTCTTTCTCGTAACCTCCCATTCCAATAAATCCGAAACTGATGCGCCCATGGTCTCTTCAGAACATATGGATCGCTGTGTGCCACTTGCTGTACGTCGAGCTCAAGCACGTCCGCGACGGTGACGGCGCGGACCAGTCCAAGCTAGAGAAGGCGACGAGGCTGACGGACGCGAGCGTGCAGCTCGTGCATGAGCTGCTGGCGCTTGGGGAGACCATCCCTTTGAAGAGTACGTTCTTGTCGCCTTGTTGTGAGTCGAAGGTAGCATCTGATGTGAATTTGCTTTTAAACAGGTTTCCGAGAGAAGTTCGAAGCGGTGTTACCGTTGATGACGTCCCTTGAGGAGGCGGCTTGAGCGATATGCACGAAGGAAGGTCAAGCGACTTTGTGATCGATTGAACACATAGAATATAGATGCGTATGATTTCGAGATGTTCCTGTACCCATTAGAGCGTCGAAGATTTGTATAAATTAGCTGATCGCGAACCCCCCTCAATCACCTGAGGTGTCAATACAAGGATACCATAGGAACGCAACCAAAACCATTGTTGTCCACTCGCCTCACTCAGCTAAACCAGGCTATACGTCGGCAGTTGCTCCCCATTCATGCCCCCACCCTCCTCCATCCGCCCGCCAACATGCCCCACAGGACTCCACGCTTCCTCATTACCCTCTTTCCATACAAACATATCGGCCCCGAAATTCACCTCGAGCTCGCACTCGCCCTCAACACCCACCGCCGCGTACACATCGTGCTCCCGCGGAGGCATGAACACCGCCGGATACGCCGTGACGTCGCCGAGGCGCCGCCCATTGTGCGTGAAGAAGAGGCGGCCGGGGTGGCGGATGCCGCATCCGACCACGTCGCCCTCATGGAGGGTCATGTTCTGCGTAGACGGAGTGTTACAGTAGTCGTGTCCACCGGTGGGGTCCTCGTAGAAGACGCGGAGGTCGTCGAGGTGGAAACCGGCGCTGAGGCGGTTCCACCCAGGCAGGCGCCAAAGGGGGTAGGGTTTGCATGCGAAGCCTAACGTTTCGTCATAATGTCAGCTCGGCCGAGACCCACGTAAAACGGCAAAGAGCGAAGGGAGAACAGCATACCGACTGCGACAATCCCGTTTAGGCCCTTGGTCATCCTGATCACCTTCACCTCGTAGTACACCCCTTTCTTCCCACTCGCGTCGTATTTTCCCGCCAGCAGGGGTATATTGCCCAACAGGCAGAAGTCGCGCTCAGGATCCTCCGCGTCGTGGAACGACCGCACGTGCGTCACGCTCCTCCCCTCCCCCTCTGCATTTGGGTTGCGGATGAATCCTCGGAACGACGTCTGCGCGTGCTCGTTCGGGTAGTCAAGCCCCCACATCCTTGCGCCTCTCGCGTGGATCGCGTCGATCTCGTACGAGGCGAGGAGGCGAGGAGGGTCGACTGGGTATGAGGCGCACCATGCCTCTGCAGCTTCAAAGGCGGCTTCGGGTGCCTCGTGTATGGCGCCGAATTGATGCGAGGGGGTGGTGGAGGGGGTGTAGTCTGGGAGGGCACTGCCCGACGAAGAGAGATCGTTAGCATAGCCTGGGCGATTACCAGAGCTAGAGCCTGTCCCAGAGGACTTGGAGGACTGGTGGCCCATGTTCGAGCGAGCCTGCGGTCGAGGTGATACAGAGGCGGCGGGAATACTGGAACGGACTCCGACAGCAGATTCGAGGCGTGTTCACAACGAGCGGTGTGGCAAGGCAGCAGTGGCGATAGTCGTCTTCGTGCGGATTTTGGTTCCTTCCAAGTGCGAGCTACTAAGTCCAAGACAAAGAAAAAAAGTGCCGTCAGAGCGAGCTGTACTGGCCTGTGTGTTACGATGCCGCTAGCGGATGAATCAACTTTGAAGCTCACCTCAGTATTCTTTGAGCTGCTCCGCTTTTTAACTTCAGAGCCGTGAGATGTGGTGGACGTGGTCCATGATTAAGTGAATGAGGAGATACTTGCTGTAGACAAAGGCTGTGTGTGCAGGCTCATGGTCACAAGAGCATCATCGACAGCAACGACTGACACCCGTGCCAGCGGTGGCGGTGTAAGCTCTCTTAGTACACCGCCATAGTCCGCGCAAGTTGTAAACGCCCGTTCAAGCTAGTCGGTTACATATACTCATAAATGTTCCGTGCAACCATCCTTGTCCTGTATAGCGATCGAACCCCTCAAGACGTTCACAATAAGTAAAATCGCACAACCACATCTCCTTGCAGAAGATTGTCATATTGTTAATACAGATTATTCGTTTACATTAATATCGTTCCTAACAGCGTCATAGTCGTAGCTTAGCTAGACACAGCTCAGAATGTTCCAGCTCATTCAGAAGGGAGCTGGCTGTCCGCGTGGGCAGAAGCCTGCCGCTTCGCCTTCTCCTTGTCGATGGCATCGAGCTACAAGCACAGTGCACGAGCGTGACACGTTCGTCAGCTCGTGAGGGACCAGTCAATATCGGAGGGGTACTCACGCCCTTGGTCTCGACCATACGGTCGATGAAGCCACCGCTGAGTGTAGCGCTGTTTTACACCGTTAGTGAGTGTCGATGACACGGAGAGAGATGGATGGTCAGTACTCACATCATCTCCTTCGCCTTGGCGTGGCTGTCGGGGTGGCCCTGGTCCTTGACGTGCTTCTCGTACGCCTTCATGGCCTATATCATGCGTGCATGAGTTCCTGCCGCCAAAGAACCGTTCAAGAACGGGAGACGAGACATACCTCGTAGGAAGCAGCAGAAGCGAGGAGCTCGTGAGAGAGCGCAGCCTTGTGCGGGGAGTTGGTGACCTACAGAGCATCTGTTAGCGAGAGATATTCGGAGTTTGAAATGCTCTACGAACCTGGTCATGGGCGTCAGCGTGTTTATCGTGGTGGAGGAAATTCATGTTGGTTGTTGCGAAGTTAAGAGATGGGGGTGTCTTAGTATAAGTCTACCCTCTATGGGCTCGATGCAGCTCTTTATATACACCGCGCTAGTGGTGCGAGCCCCGCAAGGGCGGAGAGAGGTGACCTCATCAGCGAAGTCATCAGCGAAGTCATCAGCTACCTCATCCCTTCCCGAAGTCGGGGCGCTGCGCTGCATTTGGGCTCCATGAACGAGCAGACGTGCACGGGGCACCGTAAAATTGGTCTGACCAATCGGAGGCTGCACTCACTACTGTGGTGTTCAGAGCCGGTGACGTAGAAGGTGTGTTCTGCAGTCGGCGACATTCACCGCAAGTTCGGGCCGTGCCGACGGTGGCAGTATAAGGTTTCTGGTGCTCCTCAGCGGGAGTCTGTCCATGTTATACAAGGCGGTGGATGTGACGATTTTGTAGCGAAAAAAGACAATCGAGCCAAGTACTTGCTGAAACATACGTAGTGGCGCGACTTTCGATGATAGCAAGGTACGAAAGATGAAGAAACCACCAACATGTTTTCTGTCTTGACGCGCAGGTTTGAGTGCACATGGCGTCTATTTTGAAGATGCGATCTACTAATACAAAGTTATCTGCAAACAAATGCCGTCATTCAGCTAACCACGAGAAGAACACCGCCGTCAGGCGAACTTCGTCGACGACTCTACACCTTTCCCCCGCCGGCCCCAACCATCTCCATCGCTGGAGCGCTCTGCAACGCGGAAAGAATCCGACTCCCTCTGATCTGCGCCGCAATGCGCATCGCAGCAGCAGACGGTCCCGCAGCAATATCCACCAGCCCCACACCAACCCTCCCCTTCGACTGTGCATCATAGTTCCGCTTGTCGTGTTGGATATTCATAGCGACTCCTACGCCTATCAACGCTACTCCGCCCACGAGCGCAGCGACATCCACAGCGGCGAGCGCCCCCGTGTGCTGAAGCAGCGAGAACACACCACACGTATACGGCCCGTAGATGGACGACTGCAATTTCGTAGCAATGGACCCGCCTATAACGCCCTGTTGTTGCCAGCCGAGTACGCCGAGGAGGATCACGCTCGCTGGTGGTGCTGCGAGGGCGATTCCGATGCCGATTGGGATTGCTGAGACTAGGTTGGGGTGGTTGAGGTAGAACCTGTGGACTGCAGCACGCGTGCGTGTGTCAGGATGCGGGTCCGAAACAGCACAGTATATAATAACGCCACGCACTTTCCTCAGCTGCCATGTTCGCAAACTTACCAACGTCGTCACCAGCCTGAAGTAGCGTAGCGACGAGGTGGGGATTGTTGCGATAGAATGTATGCGCTGTAGCCAGAATTACACGTCAGTCCGACTCTCCTGGCGAGCTGACGATGGAATTGAAACAGCGAAATACGCACCCTCGTTGGCGAGCAACTTGGCGACGTCTCCAACTCCCTTCTCAGCTTGAACCGCCAGAGACTGCACAACGACAGCCGCGTTGCCTCCTCCTGCAGCCCTTTTCACTTCATCGAGCACCTTCCAAGCGTCCGATATCTTGACGGAAGAGGATATATCGGCGTGCGCCTTTGAGACGAACCCGGCTGCTTGCTGGGCTGCTCCCTGAGCAGCCTTGTTGACATCGTCCGCCGCGGTCTTGAGCGCTGGCTGTGCTGTCCGAGTCGCCCATGACAGGATGCTTGTGGTAGTTGAGATTAACTGGTCGACGCAGTAAAGGAGGGACTCACTCTTTGAACGGATCCTGGCTCATCGTTGCGTAGAGAGCGGGGAAGGAAGGGTGTGAGGATCTTGTCGCCGTGAGCCACCTTTAATGGCACGATGAGCGCCCTGAGCTTAATGCAGATACAGCAATACCATATTGGTATGAATGCCATTGCAAACATATCAGGCAAGTATGAGGCATATGAGGGTCTGCAGGGTTCTCGTGCGATATATTCGATGCACAAGGACGCGTTTCTCATCCTACAACTTGGCCTTCACCAATTTCACCCTCCGCACCGCACCCTCACCAGCTCCTTGCAGAGCGGCGAGCATCTCGCGCCCCGTCGCACTTGCCGCAACCTGTACGGCAGCAGTCAACGAATCCCGCGCAACACCCTTCGTCGCCTTATGCTGCCCCCACAGCGCCATTGCCGCACCGACAAGCGCTGCACCGCCCAAAAGCGCAAGGACGTTCGCTGTACCAGTCGAGATAGCCAAGGGAGCTACAGCGCCGGCGGACTGCAGTAGCGAGAACACGCCGCATGTATGCGCGCCGTATACGACAGATTGAAGCGCGGCGGCGATGGACCCTGCGGAGACGCCGGTGGTGTCCCAACCTAGTTCTTTCAGCAGAAGCATGCTGATGGGGCGGCCTGCGAGGACGGTGCCGACGCCTAGCAGGACGGCGGCGACTAGGGAGGGATGGGTGCGGTAGAACGTGTAGACTAGATGAAGGAGGTGTTGCATCAGTATGAAGAGAATGATAGGGTAGTAGGAAGGGGACGCACTTTCTTCGGCTGCTAAACTAGCGAAATCAACAACGGCGACTTTGGCTTTAAGTACGACACTGAGCAGTCGAGGGTGCTTGAGGTAGAAGCTATGCACTGCAACCGGCGCTGGGTGGTCAGCGTTCGACGGAATGTCCGAAAAGCCATTGAAGCGTACCTTCATCCACGACAAGTTGACCAACATTCTCAGCACCTTCCGCCGGCTGGGCGAAAAGCTGGGCAACGATCTCTGCGTCTTTGTCTCCATGGTTTGATATCGCTGCTTCCTTGATTGCATCATAAGACACAACGAAGGTAGACGTCACTTTGGCTGGTACGCTGATAGCGGCGAATGCAACTTGCTGAACCCTGCCTCGTGCGGAGCCGAGACTGTGCTTGATAGCACCCAATGCACTATCCTGAGGTTTCGGGCTTGGGGCATGTCTGTCATATCGTCATGAGAGTGATGAGCTCAGCTCACCTCGGGTAGTTCCCCATGGCTAGGTAGAGAGAGAAGGTAGCAACAACGGTCACGCGTCACGGACGCCCAAGTAAGCGAATCGCATCGCTGGCGCTTCCACCTATCCGTTTGACCATTCCAACTTGCGTGAGCGCTTGTGTGATGAAGGAAGGCGTTTCGGCAATACCCGGACAACCATTCAGGGGTTGAAGTACATACACCTCAGTTTAGCTTCCAACGTCCTCAACGTTGCTACCGGTAATATCGAGCGCATCAGGTGCTCAAAGCTGTCTCTCAGTGTCTCTCACTCATATCATAGCTAAAGATCGTTGTTTTATTGATACATCTTGCTCATTTACAACAGATTTCTTCCTAACAACGGCGCAATCCTAACGTACACCCAGCTCAGTATTGCCCAGGGAAAGCAGCAGGGAGGTGGTTATCCGCGTGGGCAGTCGCCTGGTGCTTGACCTTCTGCTTGTCGATGAAGTCGAGCTATAAGGATGTACGCAGCACATGCGTAACGCGGTCATCATGATCAGCTCGGTGCTCGTGAGAGATCAGTTGATACTGGAGGGGTACTCACGCCCTTGGTCTCGACCATGCGGTCGATGAAGGCACCGCTGAATGCAGCACTGGGAGGCAAGGTCAGTCGATCGCATCAAGGGTAGCGAGGCGGGAAGAGGTGGTGTATTCACATGAGCTCCTTCGCCTTGGCGTGGTCGTCGGGGTGGCCCTGGGCCTGAACGTGCTTCTCGTACGCCTTCATGGCCTGTATCATGCGCGCGTTAGATCCTGCAGCTCAGCGAGCCATGTGAGGACGGGAGATCGTACCTCGTAGGAAGCAGCGGCTGCGATCAGCTCATGCGAGAGCGCGGCCTTGTGCGGGGCATTGACGACCTGCAAAAGCATCTGTTAAGCCAGAGATCTATACACCACTCGCATGCCCTACGAACCTCGGAGTGGGCGTCAGCGTGGTTATCGTGGTGGTGGTGATGCATGTTGTTGTTATGAAGAGACGAGGATGTAGTACCCTCTCGATGGAATCGATGCCGCTCTTATATATATAGCGCGCTAGTGCTGCGGACCCCGCCCCGAACAAGGGCAAAGAGAGGTGACCTCATCTCTTCCCGAAGTCGGGGCGTTGCGATGCAATGGGGTTTCACGGACACAACATGGACAGGACAATGCCAAGGGGCACTGCAAAGCTGTTCTGGCCAATCGGAGGCTGCACTGCCCCGCGTTTCAGCAGCTGGATCAGGGGTTCTTTTGCCATATTGAGGTATTCTATTTTTACAACTGGTGTTCCGACGAAAACAGCGAACTTCGGAATCGAGGATGCATCAATAGGGGCGGTAGCGAGAGGTGCGATGCAACCCAAGCGTCCGTGGCAGTTCAAGTAGGTTCAATCTCACTGGGCCTGTTCTCGCGGATTTCTATCGCGCATATTGCTCGGGTTGGGCAAGACCGTCTCTGGATCTGAGGCTTAGGGCGAGCTGAAGGACACTTTAGAAGAACACAAAAAATGGGGTGAGCGACGGCAGACGGAGAGTGCCGAATCTAGGCCCGATCAAGGCGACACAAGGCGACATCGTCCTGCAGGATGTTCACAAACCCCACCGCCACGATGTGACCCCACACACTGCCAACGCTTCTCATCAAGTCACGACGCAGCTTCTGAGCTTGGAGCGTGCCGATGAGAGGGCATCTGTTACCAACGAGGTCGATTTCTTCACGTGCAAGGGCTTCTTACATTGACCTCACCCATACAGTTTCAAGATCCACTTCACAGCTTAGCGCGAGCCTCCTTGACGAGCGGCGCGCTCATAAACAAGGCCATCAACACCAACGTCAAGACATGATGTGCGTGACACCCGTCAACGGAAATGTATTTCACGTTTCAACAACCAAGGATGAGATACGAAGATGCAGAGATGCCAAGGTAAACTGATGATCTAAACTCCAGACGGCGTCCGGTGATCGCTGACGGGGGACGGAGGATCCCGAGGTGTGTCCTGATTCGCTCTTGGGGGTTATGGAAGTACTCCTGCCAAAAGTGGTCTTGGGAATGCGGGTAGCAGAGGCAGCAGTGAGCGGTGCAGAGAAGATCGCTGTTCCAAGGATGCGAAATGGCCCAGAAGACAGAGGACGAGGCGAGACATGTATCAGGTTCCCAGTCGCGACCAGTAACGTAACCAACGAGGGCGAGATGGACGTGGGGTATGGGCACGGCTCGATATCCCCAGATGAGCGGTGAGCGACCGAGGACCCAAAGCGTGGAGCGAGATGCAGCGGACCGAAGGAGGTGTTGCACTCGCCCTCCTAAGTATTAGCGCTGGCGAGCCAACAACGACAAAGACCAAAAGTCACAAGGATGGATCAACGGGATGAGGAAGGTGCGATATGGACGGGAGTTCTTATATGAACCCCAACGAAAGCAGCATCAGCTATGCCATCGGGTTCTCCACCGCTCCGCGAATAATGCAGCTAGCAGGACTCACCCAATAGCAACTACGCCCGCACCTTCGATCTCGGCGGACGCAGCGTCCCCGTCATCCATCCCCTTCTGCGCCTGCATATACAGCAATCGCCCCACGACGACCACGCACGAATCCCCGCTTGGACTGAGGAAACCTGTAATATCGTTTTAAAAGTATCAGCGTCGATGTCAGGTTCCTCAGTGGAACCGACAAGATCCGTGTCCTGCACGCACGCATACATTTTATCCACCTCTCGAAGGCGCTCCAACGAGCGCGGGGTTCGCAAGGCAATTTTTGTACCTATACAGGACTAACGCGGGGGTGGGGAGAGGGGGCGCAATTCTTATCGTGCCATCCGAAGCGCTGCGTGGTAGTGCGTGGGGTGGGGTCAGCGAATGATAATGTGCCATCCGCTGCTCGCAGTTAATAGGCGTGCCTGAGCATGAGAGCCAGCGACGGGAGGATGTGGGCCGCGGATGGGGGTGCTGCGTCTGAGTGTCCGAGCGTCCGCGTCAGGAACGGGGGAGAACAGTGCAGAGCGTACGCAAGTGCAGCTAAGTTGGGATCGTGGACGTGGTGTACGCGTCCGCAGCCGCGCAGGATGAGACGGAGACGGAAAGAGACAGAGGGCAAGAGAGCGAATTCGAGAGGGATCGGTGTCGTTCCAAAGTCGATGACGAGGCCGGCTTGCGTGTCCTATTAGCATGTCCTGTTCTGGGGTTGGCGCGTCCACGTCGCCAATCAAGGTGAATTTGAAAGAGGGTGGATCACGGGAAGCATATCCAACCGCAAGCAGAAGCGCCATGATCGATGCTGTGGACAGATTGCGGTGACCACCTTCAAATACTTAGCGTTCAGTCGACGTGAGGCCGTGGCTGTCGGAACGAAGCGATACGCGGTGCGGGAGATGCGATGAGCCGGAGGTAGAGAGAAAGGGAAAAGCGAGGGCAAGATGGGTTGGAGGAGTAGTTATTGGATAAAAGGTGGGATGCAAAGCGAGATGGAAATGCAGCTGGCGGACAGCCACAGCTTGGCGGAGGGGTTGCACATCGAGAAACGTTCAACGGGGCGGTCCGAGTCGGCGCTGGTTGCTACGGGCACTCGTCGCCGAACGATTACCGAGCCCCGGTGCCTGTAGTGCCGACGACGATGATTGGGCGCCCAAGTGCGGGCACAATGAGCTGTACGCGGTTCTTCATTTCTGACTCAGTCCGATTCGCATCACGCGGAGGCAGCTCACACGGGAGGGTAATAACGCCGTGGTTCCTGCGCACAACAGCGCAGTCCGCGTCCTTGCTCTGTTTCTTGTCTGTAGAACGGGGAATGGTGGACTGGCTGGAACGGACTGGAGTATAACGAGTGTCCGAAGCTGGCGATAAGTTTTGTCGAGGAATGCTTCTGAAGGGAAAAATATTGCCGGGGATAATATTTGTGTGCCTTTGTCAGCATTGAAAATTCTTGAGCGCCTAATAGCAGTGCCTCTGTTACCCGAAACAGCGGGATGGCGGTTCTGAGCTTGAAATCATGCGGGCCCTTCGGCTTTATAAACTGGCATCGAGTCACTTCCCGCCCCGTCATCCCTCCCTCCTAACCACCACCTCTAGACACCAGCACTACCCCTGTAGCTGCGTCCGGTGTCGTACTGCCCTTCCTAGGTCAATCCGTGAGTGACTCAATCCATTTTCTCTGTCTCTCTGTGCCTACGTGGCCTTTTTGTTGTCTGCTACGGCTCCGCGGTTGCGCAGTCGACTCGAGATCGATTCAAATCGACTCAAGTTTCATCATCCTCGTCTTCATTCCGTTCCATTATGCACACGATGTCTCCCGTCGTCAAGCACGAGCCGCTCCAATCGAGTCCGGCAGACGTCTTGTACAATGCTCCGGGACCGTCGCAGACGAGCGACGCGTACAGGGGCTATTCGGCTCATGCCCATTATCCCTATCCCGCGCCCCATATTGGCGGCGCACTACCATATTCCTACGATGCTATCGACTCCAAGCATGACGTGATCGGAGGGCTGACGTTGTCATCGTACGATTGCAGACTTTCCAGGCCGCAAGACCTGCTGCCTGCCTACAACCTCGTCGATAGAACGCTGCTTCCCCACACCTTGTCTTCTTCATACAACCCCAATAGCCAACATGTTCCAGATCGCGTTGACCCTCTAAGTCACCCGTCGTCTCCCGATCGACCCCATATTTCGTACACCAACTACCAGCATGTCTCCCCTCAGCAATCTCTTGAAAGTACCCAACTTTCAAGCTCTTCTACTCGCCATGTCGCGATAAACAGCAACTCTCCACGTCCAAGGACGTCCTCTCAGGTTTTCAGTAATATTTCGGATCTCGCCGCCCATTATGGCATCCCTCAGTCTCTGCCTCGCGCACCTCGTACTACCCCTCGTAGACAAGAAGAACCCGTCGACTCTTCCATCTTGCCCGACTCTACTTTCGATTTCGCCAGCTTGTGCTCCAACTACCTAACGATGTTATCCCAAAACGCCACCTCTCATGGTGCACCCGAGGAGACTCGGGACTCGGCGGCGCCTGCCACGGAGCAGGTGACCGATGCCGACGCCGTCCAATCGTTGATGGACGTTTTAAACAGTGAGTCACGTCGGCCCCAACCTGTTGCCGACTCATTATTCACACTGGCTTTGCGTCGTCGTACAGCCTCGCCGGACTTCCCGATGGCGCACAGCTTCGATGATTACGAGGAGTTTCTCACCTCGCCTCTCATCGACTCGCCACTGGATGACGACCTCCTCACCACGCCGGCCCTCGGCTCGGCTGACATCAATGCGGACATCTACACGAGCCCACTCATTGCTGACTATGGTCCTGACTCATTCGGAGACATGTCCCCTCTGTTCGATGATGTGGCTATTTATATGGACGCCAAAGCGCCCTCTGCTCTCCCTGCGCATTCCTTCGATGGCATGTATTCAATCTCCCCCGATACTCCTTTCCTCGACTCTCCCGACACCTCCCCTATGTCCGTCTCCAAGCCTTCTCCTGGCCGACGGAAGCCCTCGGCTACTGGTACTCGCAAGAACGTCACTCCTGCCACCCTCGTTCCGGTCGACGCTCCAACACAGACTCGCAAGTATGTTACTCCTTCGGCTACGTCACGCAAGGAGCTGCCTGCTGTGTTCGCGCGCAAGCGTGCTCGGTCGACGGCCTTCGCCGATGAGGAGGACCAGCTTGACGAGGAGGACGTCTCAATGAAGCCGACGATGACCGAGCAAGAGCAAATAGAGGCGAAGCGGCGGCAGAACACCATCGCCGCCCGTCGCTCGCGGAGGCGCAAGCTCGAATACCAGCGGGAACTCGAGGACAATGTCGAGCACTACAAGCGGGACAGCGAGCAGTGGAAGTCGCGCGCGCTGATGTACCAGGCGCTGCTGCGGTCGCACAACATCGAGGCTCCGGATTTCCCTGAGATCTAATCTCTGTCGGCGTTTCATGGTTGCTGCGTACTGTCGTTCATCTTTTTCAGTCTTGTCTTGTCTATTGTTGCTCGCGTTTGATACCCTTCCTCATCATGGTCTCATTTGAACTTTTCTTTTTGCAACGTCTTCACTTTCTATTCCTCTGCGTAATGGCGGCTCGGCCGCATCTTCGATGCTCCGTGTATTCTTATATTCATCCATCACCATTCCCCTACCCACTGGCCAGGAGTATCGTCGTATCCCCCCTCCCCCCAAGCCCGTTTCGTTTTTTCTTATCCTTTCATATGGTTCCCTCTCCGATAAAGATGAAATTTCCGATATCATCCCCGTCTATTCGAGTGCTTCGATAAAATACTAAAATCGTATCATCTACTCCCATTACCTCCCCTCACCCACTTGATCACGTCCCCTCCCCTTATTGCGTACATGTGTCTTGTCTTACATGCCACTTAGGCCAATCGAGTTATTTTGCGAACCGCAATCTTCTGGCGTGATTAATCGTAAGCCGCAATGAGTTTGTGAAGTGCGAGTGAGTCAAGGGGGGAGGTGCTTGGACTCGATGAGAGCGGTATTGTCGCGTTGGCTTTCGCCGGGTCGTGGTGATCGTCGAGGATTCTGTGCGACGTTCCTGAATGCCGAGAGATGAGTTGGCTGGCGAGCTGGTGTATGCACGCGTGTGCTCGAGCGTGTTATATTTAACGCATCGAGGGTATGTCTCGCGGTGCCTCGCGGTGGTTGTTTAAGTATGTTAGCGTGGTGGTTTTATGACGATGGTGTTATATGTCACGCATTCAGGTAGCGACTCGGACTTGGGTTGCAACGATGGAACGATGAATCGCAGATTACTGACTTGGGTACGGCTACAATAGGGGTTCACGACGAAGGCGTTGTTAGTGTGTTGCACGCTCAGACAGCAACTTCAGAGCGAAATGACGATTGATCAGTGTGAACATGGGGAATGAATGAAGATATTGTTTGTGCTCCCCTGTACTTGAGGCGTGCCTGATCGTCGAGGGTTGGCCGTTGAGCTGGCTCTTAGGCATGGAAGGCGAGTGTAGGGGATGGTGATGCATGTACAGCGTCTTTCGCAACTCGACGGTGTTCTTGTTAATGGTTGGACGTCGATTTGGGTGAAGGGGGCTTATGCTTGTAACATCTGAAATAACGCGGCATTATTTACGCTCCCCTGTGTTAGAGGCCCATGAGCACCGTCCGTTATCTGAAGACATGATTGGGACGTCGTGGTCGACAGCTGGGTGCAGGGGCGTGAACGTGACGAAGTTGTGTTTGGATGCGTGTGGTGAGGGAGGTGAAGGCGGTTTATTTCTGGTGCGGACGAGGGTAGCGGGCGGCCTTGTGATTCGTCTAGGAGGAATGTAAGCGTGTGTGTATTATTGTGGCATGCAGCGAGCAGCGAGAGCGAGTGAATGCTATTTGAGCGACGGCCTGCGACGGCGGTGTGATGCTATTCGTGGCGATGAGTAAATTTGGTTCGCAGTGCATGCAGTAGCTGCAGTAAGAATAGACTACGAGGAACGCATGTTCAGGTCAGGTACCTGGTTATGGCGAATTTTCCGGAGGAAAGTCGAGGGAGAAACGGCGCATAATGAGGATCACGTTAAGGCTATTCGGCGTTGGGCATCCGGGCCGTTTTTGGTTTGCCTATTATTATCGGGCAGCGCGTGGACGCGTTGGGCGCGGAGGGTCAGCTGGCTGCTGGCTCAGTGGGACGAGATTGGGTGGGTGTGGTTACATGAGCTATGGAAGGGCCTCGACGACGACATGGAGGAACGCATAGCTAGGTTCCAATGAGATAAGTGGCAGGGATCGAGCGCGCGACGGATCTGACGTGAGACGGAGAGACGCGTCGCCAGGCCCATGTGGCGGGACTGACGCCAGCAGGGTGGACGAGCCGAACGCGGCGAGGTGGTCCTTGGCTGGCTCGTTGGAGCTATCAATCCACTCGCTAAGCCTTGCTTCTCGGCCCATCTCGCAACTCGCACGCTGGCTTCATGTTTCGTCTCTTGCTTGTTGCCTTCCATTACAGTCAGTCTTCATTTTCCTCCTCTGCGACGCACCGCAGCGACCAAATACAACAACGTTGTGAATACACTCGAGAAATAGGGTGACATCGGGCAGGAGAGGCCGACCACCTGGACTTTTGTTGTTGTTATCGTCGTCGTCCTGGGCCGTCGCCGCCGTCGGTACGTTTTCTATATTCGGGATGCGAACAAGCCGGTCGCTAATCCATATTCCGTTTCGATGCATGGGCCTCCCACCACACCCCTTCCCTTCCCGTTTCCCTCTCCTCGTCCCTCTGGCCGGCCCATACTCCTCCATCCCATCCCACACTTCCCTCCTCCCCTTCATCATCCCACCTTCCCCCATTCCATCCCACTTGCCCCCACACTCGACGCACGTTGCAGGCACGCATACACACACCCGGCATAGGCTATAGCACTGCACGCCTCACCACCGACACAGACCCAGGACTCGCTTACGGATACGCTCGCACGCATTTGGATTCGGAGAAGAGGCCTACATAGAAACCCATTATTGGCCTTTGGGCTCGAGCATCTATAGAGAGATACCACAGCACTCACATTCACATTTACTTTTACCCTCCTCCACCGTTGGAGCAGGACCCGGACCAGACTCATCAGCTCATCGGCCCATTCGCTGTCAACAGTAACGACAAATGCACCGCCCACACTCCTCGGCATTCCATTCCATCCGGCCGCGCGCCCTGCTCGCGCTCGCCATCCTCGCTTCGCCCGTGTTCGCATCTCTCCCCTTGCCCATGCCCGCTGGCGAGCCACCAGCACCGCCGCCGCAGGTAGATGTCGATTTCCTGGAGAGGCGGAAGACGCCGTCGACGGGGTACTACGACCCGAACAATTCTGGCGGTGCGATGCTCACTGTGCGTGTCCCCTCTTCTCTCCCCTCCTCACATGCCCTCTTTTTCGTCTATTCGCACGTGCGTGTGCTGACCGAGGGTTTGAATCCGATTTAGCTCGTGAACAACACGTATCCCCCGGGCCTGCACGAGCCCATCAACGTGATCATGTCCGCGTACTCGGACTGGGACGTGCTCCAGCCCGTGACGACCGACGGCGGGCTCATCAACTGGTTCCAGTCCGTCGGGTTCTCGACCGAGTGTCTCGGGCAACATTCGGGCGATAATCAGGCGGCGAATTTGGGCGATGGACATGGGTACTGTGCGTATCTTCCTATACACTATCCCCGTGCATCTCCTTTACATGTAAATTGACGTCCGACGTGTCTTTTTAACGTACAGTGAACCAGACGGCGGTTATCCGATGGGACTACGGCGACGCGACGGTGGGGACGTGCGAGGAGACGATTGAGGGAGGGGACCATATTCGGTATTGGATACAGAACGGGCCCAGTGCGGACAGGTGTGTGTGCCACCTCTCACCGTTATCTCTTTCTCTCTCTTTTGCGCCTGGGCGGCGTGGAGGGCGGTGGAGCAGCTAGCGCATTTTCTTCCAAGAACGTGTCTCAGCGTCTGTCCGTCCCGGAGCGCGCACTCCACCGCACGTCATTGCATCTGCCTCGCGCATCCGTGTTCACGTAAAGGCCATCATGAGCGCTAACTGTGATTGCGTTTTCTGATATAGCGGTGCGGTGTTCATGGCGCTCTCGTATGAGATGCCGATAGCGCGTAAGCTTTCCTTCGTGTTCTGTTGCGCTTAATCGCCGTCGCTGATCACCGAGCGTCTTCCCTCTCTCTCGCCCCTCCTTTGATGTATGTGTGTTGATATGTGGGTGTATGGGGGTGTTATACAGAACAACACAATATCGTTCCGAACGGGTATAATCTCGGCCGGGACTGGTTCGTGGGCAACGCGACGGCGCAGAGCAGTCTTATTCCGTCGCTGAACGTTACGAACGCGTCGTCGTATTCGGGGGAGACGACGTTTAATGGTGCGTACGCGTTTTGGCTTTTGTTGCTCTCCCCCCTGCTCTCCTCCCAGTTTTCATCCACTCCCTTACACCGACTGTTTCATGACAATTTGAACGACGGATGATCGGCTTGATGCTCATATGATTGTTATTCCTATATCTGTTGCAGGGTACACATACTCGAATAGCGTTACGTACGTCTCGGGGCTCCTGCAGAACACGTCTATTGGGATCAACCACAACGACAGCGTGCCTATCGACGGGAAACCGGCGATCGATGGGCTCGTTGCGGTCGTGGAGGTCAAGATTGTGGGCAAGCCGGCGAACAGGTTCGTACAGTGCTCGTCTGACCCGCCCTTGGGTGGCGCTGACATATATTTTCAGTGGTGCACTCCCACAGCTGGGCTTCTCGACGTCGCTCCTCACGTCGCTAGCTATTCCATTACTCCTCTCCGGCTGGCTAGCGCTCGCACCATGATCGTCTGCCCTGGATGTTGTTGTCGTGTTGTCCTTCTAGCTATAGGATTGCTTGTTCGTCCGGCTATCTGACTGTTTATTGGACGCTGTCCTCTATTATCTCTTACTATTGCAATGCCCGCACATATTCCATCACATCACACGGAGTCTCTGTCTCTCGGACTGTTCATACTACCCGCCGCTCTGCAACCCTACCCGATTTTCAAGTTATTTCGGAGTACATACCTACCTACCTACCTCGAATCACCGACACCCCGTCTACTGTCTACCCGTCTACCCCGTTACCGTTTACCGCTTTACGAACCCATCGCTCGATGAACATAGATCGGTCACCCCGTTTGGCGTTCTTTACTTCCGTTTCCATCCCCGCCCTGCCCTTCACGTTGCCAGCGGTGGGCAGGTGGGGAATCGCAGGGAGCGCCGGCGGGCACCATAATTCTTCTCTGTATGCTTTCTCTCAGCGCCTAGCGACGCGATGCGAACGACGTACGCTTGTTGATATTGTGCCTAGGCTGGGTTGTGCTAGGTTTTGTGCTGTGCTGTGCGTACGCTTGTGTCTAGGTGGAGGGAACGTGTGCTTTTTATGAGGAGGGAAGTACGTATAGCTATATGGTGGTGGTTGCACTGCAAACAGTTCATGATGATGCATATGAGTTACTTCGTAGTTTTCGTGAATGTTACTGTGAGCTGATTTCGATAGTTTGGTGCGAGTTGATTTGAAGTTAAGTACCAAGAACCAATCTTTTTCATAGTTCACAAACAAACATTTCTTGATAATAGTGACCTTATTATTTGAAATTTATTTTAATTACTAAGTTGAACATGTCGACTTAGGTTTCAATAACAATTTACCCATTGTTCAAAACATTCATCAAATACACGAAAGAGAATTGCCTGTCAATTACAGTTGAACAGCCCTACCTTAGATAATATTTCTAAATAACGAAGAACTAATCATTGAAAACCGGGTACTCACGTTCACCTTATTAAGATCCTATTCAGACAATGATGCCACTATTACTGAGAAATTCTTGCAGTGAAATGAGCTTTCTGTGTCTGTGGCTCATTGTAATTTCACATTGATTGGGATCAAATTATTTAAATCAGGTCATAGAAATGTTCACGATAATTCCAAGGTAATTCATATCATACATTATCGAGAATTGTTTCCAGTGTTGATGGTTTCTGGAGTTGCTTGCAGGTGTTGGATTCGGTTCGGAGATTCGGTCGGGGTCTGCTCTACGAGATCTCTATTCGACGACCGAAATACCGACCGTCGACCGAGGTATGCGCCGCAGCGGGCGGGGCTGTGTCGAGCGGAGAGCGAACACTGGGTTTGCACTGGCGCCGCGCATTACGACTGCGTCTCTCCGTCGGCACGGACTCGGACGCTCACTGGGCCCGGGCTCCAATTTCTCTCATCTTGTGGTGAGCATGAAGTCATTGCATAGTAGGATACTGCAAGCTCTGCGCAGTTGTGGGAGTTGAACTATAGTAGCAGTGGGTACTGCGGTCGTGGCTGTGGCTGTGGCTCCCGTGAAGCCCATTGCAGTGACTTGGCAGTGATCTACGCTCCAACTGCCCCCGCGTCGGCGCTAAACTTTGTCGGGTTGTACGGGGAATTGTGAGGTCATGGTTCGGAGCGCTGTGGCTGGAGGTGTATATAAAGGCTCGCTCTCTTGGGTCTGAACTCATTACGACTTAAGCATCTTATTTCTTTAACATGACGCATCATCACCACCACCACCATCACGACAAGCATTCCGGGGCACATGCCGAGGTTGTGAATGCCCCACACAAGTCTAAGCTGACGCATCAGCTGGTTGCGGCTGCTGCTTCTTACGAGGTACGTCTGTCTTGGTCTTGCAGTGGCAAGACTACAGTATTCTGACGTGGTACATAGGCAATGAAGATGTACGAGAAGCACGTCGCGAAGCAGGGGCACCCGGACGACCACGCTAAGGCGAAGGAGCTCATGTGAGTTTGCTCTCCGAGTCAGCGATTGTGAGCGAACGTGATTGCTGATGTTCTATTCAGCGCTGCATTCAGTGGAGCTTTCGTCGACCGGATCGTCGAGACCAAGGGCGTGAGTGCCTTCGTTGCTCGCGTTTGACTGCTGAGACTGACAGCCATCCTTGACCTCAGCTCGATTTCATCGACAAGCGCAAGGCTAAGCACGATGCTACGGCCCATGCCGACAACCATCTGCCGGCTGCATATCCGCAGCAATACAGCTACTGAGCGTAGAACGATCAGTGAACGCGATGGACGTTTCGAAGTTATGTATATGGCACCTTATGAACGTATAATGTTCTAGTTACGGATTCTAATTTATACCAACCATGCTTCAGTCCTCTGTTTTGAATCTGAAATCTTCACTCAGTCTTGAGCCCGATCAGATCCTCGATACTCTCCACGCATCCCGAACCTGCAAACGTCATGTAGTCATTAGTGATTCGCGCATGTTTCAAGCGACGAGAGTGATAGGCTTAGGGTTATAGGTAATAGCCATGGCCCGAGACCACATACACTCGAACAATTAGCCGCAAAGTCTCCTTGTCCGAGTCCACTCGGGAGTGCAGACGGCCCGAAGAGACTAATAATAAAAGTGGACCGCGCATGCATCGGGTAGCCACGGCGGAGTTGAGGTGGAGTAGGCTGGCGTCTTCCGGCAAAGCCGGTCTTCGGCAAGACTTTGCGTGTTTGCGCAAGTTTCAGCTCACTTGGCTCTTCGCCTGCGCGTCCATGTCAAAGCTCATGCGATATTCATCGGGTTCATCTGGCTCGTAAATAAGTATCATCGAGTTCGACCGTCAAAGTCTCTCGAAAGGCCATCTAGCCCATGGCCCACTACTGGCTTTTGAAAGCTTCGTAGCCAAGCGACTCGGGCTGCGGCCTCGGTGTGGGCCTCGGTCTCACGCGGGGATCAAGCCTTGGGCGCCTCCAGCTCACCGACGTCGGGCAACAGGGTATCCACGACCTCAGTTTCAGCCCAATTTGTAACGAAGATCGTCGGTCTTAGCATAGAAGCGATGGCCTCTGATGTTGATGATGATCTCGCAGTGCGGTATGTCAAACCACACTACATGTCTCCCGACACGCAAGCAGAAACATGGCCGTTGGATGGAGCGGTGCCGGTGGCGGTCAAGGATATAATGCGCGTATGTTTGCGAGATGAGCCCACAGAAACCATCATACCCTTTCGCTAATCTCGCCTCGAGTAGGTGTCATATTCGAATATGTCGGTACCTCTTAAACGCGGTGCAGCGTGCCTTCCCTGTCGGTAAGCGCTATCAATGCGGGTTATCCGGCATCCACTCAATTCATCGTTTCAACCACCCTCATAGGCGCCGAAAGATTGTTAGTCACCCATGTCTTACTTGTATGCGCTCGGTGATGCTAATGGTGATGCGAACATAGAGATGCAACGGCGCACGCCCCGTGTGTGACCAGTGCAGACGCATTGATCGGCAGGCCTCTTGCCAGTACGGCGGGACAGGCCAACTCTCCCACACGGAGTTGCTTCAGCGGGAAATCGTGAGGCTCAAGTCGAGGATACAAGATCTCGAGCCTCCGCAGCCCATATCGCTCTCCGATCCTTACGTTTCACAAGATACTTCTACTCACATGGCGAGCTCTGTCATGACCACTGAAACAGAAGAGAGCATGCCGTATGTCGCCGGCCCAGCGACTGCTTACCCCGACTACAGTGATTACAACTTTGGCACTACGCACCTTATCGATGCCATAGACATCGAAACGCCGCTCAGTTTCGACCTCGAGTCAACGTCTACGTCGAGCCCCGGGCTGTCGCATCCTGAATCAACTCCTCCGCAGTCATGGTGGGAGCCCGAAAAACCACTCGAAGAACGCGTTCATCAAGCGTGCGTAGGCACCCTCATCCGCCTGGTCTCTTTATATGCGCTGTTGCTGACGTCCTGCTCTGAACAGCATAAACGACCTGGCCCCGAACGCTCGTCAATTCGGCTTCTTCCTTGATCTCGCAAGTGAACTCCGCACTTCACCTAACGCTAGACAGCACGGGCTAGGTCAAGAGCACGAACAGAGCCACAGTCGGGACGAAGAACAAGGCGCCGGTGGATTGCACAAGACAGTCCTCAGGAACGTCGTCGTGCTCTGGGCAGTCCACTTTTCGCGCGATACAGCCCTCAAAGTCCAGGAGCCTGCGGTGCTGGGGCGGACGCTCGCGCTGCTCCGTGATGCCATCACCGACATCAGCGCTCCTTCCGCCGCCCTGTACGTCTTGCAGGTAGAGTTGGCACTTGCGTACTACTTCGTGCGCGATGCGCGCTGGTACGAGGCCCGGCACCATGCGAACGCCGCGGCGAGGTTTGTGCTTGACTTTGGAATCCCTGATGTTGCACTGAGGCAAGCGAATGCTGAGGATGGCGCGGAGAAGAGCTTCTCAGCTTTTCGGAATTATCCTGGATGTGGCTGGTACTCTGGGGGTGTGGCTCGCCTCGATCGTACTGTCTGTGCGGATGCGGTGCATAGTGTTTGTATCCTCGACCAGGCACTCGCCTGCTTCCTGAGCATAGAGCCAGTGCTGAGTGCAAAGGTATTGGCCGAACTTCTTTTGTGCAAGAGTTGCTGGCGCTGATAATATATCTTCCCAAAAAATCAGGTTACCGAGCGCATATTCCCCACTATGAACCACGATACTTTGGATGAAAGCACGGCTTTTGCCCGCGAGGCATGCGCATCTGTTCTCTTGTACCGTGCAACTGCTGTTTGTAACACCAAGAAAGGGAGCACCGCGTCAGGTACGATGGTTCCTTAGCCTGGCTCTCCTGTTGTCGTCCAACATTCACATCCGATCATAGCTTCAGAGCTTGAAGCCACAATATCTTCCTTAATCGACCATGTTGATACATGTCGAACTCTCGCGGGCTCAAGCAGAAATTTGGATGATCGCACGTTTTTGACACTCAAATCGCTCCTTTACTTGGCGCGAATTCAAATTAAGCTACCTCTTGTGGACAAGGACACTGCCGCGCTGGACGGAATCATAGAGACGCTCGTCGGCTTCGCGGATACGATGGCGAACATCGACGTGCTCGCAATTCGTCCGTTCAACCCGATTATGGCCGTATGTGCACTTCTTGATGTTTTACGTTGCCGTGCCCGTGCCCGTTCCCTGACCTTGTGTTAGAGCGTTTGGATCGCAATTGCTCATCTTCTGAACGTTGAACTCCAGCGTGCACATTCTTCCGATCACCCGCGTCCTTCGGAGACCGCCGCGGCCGGGAGGCTTTCAGCCGCGGGATCGCAGTTGATACAACAGTTGCTCATGCTAGGGGAGACGATACCTTTGAAAAGTACGCGAAATTTCTGGTCGCGTATGAGCTAGCATTGACGCGTCTTTTCTTTATAGGTTTTACGGCAAAAGTTGAGTCAATGATGCCCCTCATGATGGCCCTGCAAGGATGTGCATAGGTTCCGCTAGATATTGTACGTATGCATACCGTCATGCTGTATGTTAACACGGATATGCCTTCTCCGAGCCCGAGGCTATCCCACAATCACCGATGTTTTTCTTCGCCATACCTGCAGCGCGATTACAGCGCGAGTATCCTGGGAAATACAATGGTGGCGCCAGGGACTACAATGTTTCCGGTATCCAAAGCGGTGATCAGAGGGAGCTGCGGGGGCTCGCGGCCACCCCGGCGGTACCCGAAATGGCTTCACTGGCATCAACCGAGGCATCCAAAAGGGGTGGCTGTACCGCTTCCGCAGTGCCTTGTGAATCTGAGCTCCTCCGGCAGAGCAAGGTCCGCGCCCGAGGATTCGTTTCACGTTCTACGAACTCCTCCGACATTGTTTTTAGATTTGTGTCTATCTCGGACTCATCTCTGAGGCTTCTCGCCTCGTACATGCTTAACTCGGTGCGTCACGGACAGCGAGGGTCACCGTAACTAGTTTTTCACGACGCAGACTGCTATCATCGGCATTATGTATGATTACAACACTTCCACTCTCAGCAAGTTGGAGGCTCTGATTCGGCACCTAACAGAGCCATGGAGCGAGTCGACCTGGAAGATAAATCCAGCACCGTTGGCTGGTGAGTGGAGTCAAGGCTTTGACGACTTTTCTCCACCTCTTCAGTAGTTTGCCTGCCACATTTGCCATGTTGACGTCCCTCAAGCGCGGCGCTGCATGTGCTTCTTGTCGGTCAGTAAGCCGTCTTGTATCCTCAACATATCTAACATCAACAATCCGAACTCGACGTTGCTTGAACAGACGTCGCAAAATAGTGAGTTTTGTGCTCAACCCCGTAGCTCTCATTCATCGGGATCGAGGTTAATGAACGATCTTTAGAGATGCAGCGGCACCCGACCTACGTGTTACCAATGCGCACGTATTGGTCTGGAGGGCGAATGCGAATATGTCGACAGCACTCGCGCAACTCGATGTGCAGAACTCGAACGAGAAGTCCATAAACTTCGAACTCGGCTGCAAGAATACGAGCCACCAATGCCGGTTATGCTTCACGCTGCCTCGTCGTCTCAGAGTGCAGCGTCCAGTAGCACAGGATCCCCAGACTGGTCGTACAACGTCCAAAATGCCCCCGTGAGCTATACAGGCTCTGTACCAACTGCCTGTGACGACTTTGCTCCGATGACAGGCCCTTCGGGTTTTCAGGACGTCGGAACCACGAATACTTGGAGCTGGGGCTCAGGAACTGCCATGGATAATGCACAGCTGCAGTACTCCTACCCAACTCCTCAATGGTGGGAGCTCGAACAGCCGACGAGAGATTGTATCTGGGCCTCGTACGTACCCGTTGCCATTTTTCTTCTTAGCGTTTTCTCAGCGCTGACTTTGACCAGTGTCAACGGCTTAGCACCTCATGCCGTCGAGTTCGGCTTTTTTCTCAACCTCTACGACGAGTTCCAGGGTGCCGATGAGCACGGTGCAGTCAACATTGGAAAAACTTTGTTTTGGAACACCGTCGTTCTGTGGGCGGTTCATATATCAGAAGAAGCAGACCTCAAAGTACACGAGCCAGTGCTGCTCGCGCGTACGGTGTCCCAGCTCAGGGACGCTGTCTCAGATTTAACTACGCCCTCCACCTTCTTGTACGTTTTGCAAGGGGAGGTGGCGGTCGCGTACTATTTGATGCGTGATCGACGCTGGTATGAGGCAAGGCACCACACAAACGTTGCGGCTATGCTCGCGGCCGACTTTGGGCTCGGTGAACTAGGAAGAGTCCGAGATACAAATAGAGGGGGCGATGAAACAGGGACCCGAATCAACTTTAATGTGTTTCGCCTCTATCCTGGAGAATGCTTTGCTCGTATAGTAGAACATTTGGACGTCGACACGGCTACAAGAGCATTCTATCATGTTGTCTTCTTGGATAAATGCCTGTCTGCTCTCCTGAACAAGCAGTCTGTCATAGAGACGGAGGTAACCTTTTTTTCTTCTTTCTATGTTTCCCACCGTTCTGATCCAAAAATACTCTCGTCTTCTTTTAATGTGCAGGGTACTAGCAGCGTGTTCCCATCATTGGGACATGGCCTGATTCAGACGTCCTCTGTGCTTTTTCTAGAAACACATGCGGCAATACTGTTGTATCGGGCAACGATGATCTTTAAACAGAACAGCGTTAGCACTGAGGTAATCCGCGCTTTAGATGAAACGATAGCATCTTTGCTTCAGAACGTGGAAGGAAGCCGTTTGCTTGCTTCGACAGAATTAGGCGACCGCGAGTACCTCACACTCAAAACTCTACTGGTGATGGCGCGTATCCAGCTCAAACTGCCCTTCGAAAGCACTCATGCAGCCGCACACGAGGACACCATCGGGATGTTGGTCGCCTTCGTGCGTTCGATACCAGGCCTCGTGGTCAAGCTATCTAACCCGGCCATTGTTGTAAGTTGTTTTTCTCCCTTGAAATATCTTGTTCAAGGTTTATTCCGAGGTCAACATTACTGATTTCGGACTATACAGAACATTTGGGTCGCCATGTACTCTCTCATACACACTGAACTGCAACACGCCCAGTCTTCCTCATGTCCATCATGTTCTCCACAAACGGCTGCCACACTTGCCGATGCAAGCTCACAACTTGCCCATATACTGGCAGTTCATGGAGATGTGACATCTCCGCGAAATATGCCTTTCATATCTTGAGTACATTGGGGGCTTTCATTCGTAGGTCCGTTCAAGAAGGGCTTTTGCCATATACCTACCTCTGGCAATACGAAATCAGCATTTAGCACCTCTCAGCTCATACAAAATAAATAGCCATCCGTTATAGCTTGTAAGATTTTGGAAATTAGACAAAAACACATCGTAATATGCACCGTAAGACTAAAACAAATCCGAAACCGTTGCTGTTACATCCTTGTCTTACAATGGCCGTACCCAGAAGACATAGTCAAGGAGTTCCATATGATAATATACCATTAAGCAGAACCTATAAACACAAAGAGACTCACAAAACGCCCCGTCTTTTACGCAGGCAAGACGCGGTACACCTACCCAAAACAAATCAGCGAATAGCAAAAAAAAACGATATTTAGCGCTCACCTTCACCTGCCCACTCTTGAGATCCTCCAGCCGGTAACTCACAGACTCGACGCTCTGAAAATTAGCAAGACTCGTCAGCAAGACTCTCCTCGACCGCCACGGAACCCGCATCTGCTGCGACGCCTGGCGGCCCAACACACTAAATATGCCAACCTGCTGCCCGACTTTCTGGTTCGCCTGGAACACGCGCACTTTGAGCTTCTTGTGCTCCGTCTCGTGCACGATGCCCACCAGCGCCTCCCCGCCCATGCCCACGCTCTGGCTGTACGCCTGCAGGCCCTTGTGGCCCTTCAGCTTGGCGTCGACCAGCGAGATGACGTCGCCCGGCATGATGTCGGCCGCGCGGCGGGACACGGCGCCGCCATTCTGCGCGTACACGAGGTAGCCGAACTCGCTCGAGCCCACGGGCACGGAAGCGGCAGAGGGCACCTGCGCGAGCACGGCGCGCACGAACCCGGTGTGCGTCCCGTCGCCGACGAGCGAGCGCTTCGAGCGCTCGAACAGCGCCACGGCGGTCTCGCACACACGTGAACCGACGGTGCCCCAGATGGCGGTGAGCTCCTCGGAGGAGAGCGACTCGGGGATGTGCATCGTCGACTTGGCGGAGGCTGCTTCCTTTTCCTTGAATCCTGGAACGCTCGACGTGGACGCGAGCGTCGGGTTGGACGAGCCCATAGACGGATCCGTGAGCCCGAGGTCGAACGAGCCGCGGTCCATCGTGGGTATCTCCCACTGTCCGCTACCACTCAGCGCATCCCCACCATGCGCACCTCGCGGCTCAATAGCCGAGGGCGGCGGGGCAGGCGGGAGCGGTGTGTTCACCGACCTCGGCGGTGGCCCACGTGGAACACGCGAAGGCGGTGGCGGTGGCGCGTCATCATCTACCACAGGCGTCTCCGGTGTCTCAATCATCACAAACTCGCTGTTCTCTTGCTGATCCTGCATCGCCGAATCTGACGGCACCGTCTCGAGATGTGGCCGCTGTACACGAGGCGGCGGAGGCGGTCCACCAGCGACAGCCACGGCACCGGGCGCGGGCGCACCACCGTCCGAGCGCGACTTGGTGCTCGACACGGACGACCTGCGCGAGAGCTGCGAGCTTGCACGGCGGTACTGGAACGCTGTCGGAATGTTGGGCACTGGGGGACGTCCGCCCGAGACAGGCGGCGAGCGAGCGCCCGTTCGCGGTGGTGGCGGGGGTACAACGAGGACCTGGGATGATGCTGAGCTCTGGGTCGACGCGCGGCGGCTCGTACGGTCTGGAATAGCGGGTGGTGCTTCCTTTGTGTCGTCGTATGTCGATTCCTCGGCCTCGCTCTGGCTTTGCTCTGCCTCAAACTGCACCCCGTCGTCACTCTCCACGCCCGGATCTACCGGAGGCGGTCTGGGCGGGGGCACAGCGCGCATAGGCGGGACCGCACGTTGATACGGCGCAGGAACAGGCAACGGAGGCGTATCGTCTTCATCCTGTTGAGCCTCCTCTTGGTATGTCGATCTCCCAGACGTCTTCCTGCTCCCAGGCACCGCGGGCGGCGCCCCCATCCCATGCGGAAGCATACCGAATCGCATCCCACCCATATTCGCAAGACGTGCGGCGATACGCGCCTTACGCGCCTGCTCGTCTTCCTCCTGTGGCTGCTGTACCTCTTCTTCCTGCCTCTCCTCGCCACCATCACCACCCTCTTCAGCTGGCTGCGGCGTCCTTGGCGCAGGCGGCGGCCGCATCACTGGAATCGGCGGAGGTGCACCAAACCTCACACCTCCAAGCCTCGCCATACGCTCTGCAATCGTCCTCCTGCGCGACGCTTCTTCATCCTCTTCTTCTTGCTGCGGCTCCGGCTCCTCCACTTCGGGCTGCATAATCGCCTCCGCCTCCGCCGTCAAACTCGCCTCTCTCCTCCCCTCAGACCTCCCGCCCAACACCGGCTTCGGCGAGCTCGGCACAGGCGGAGGCGAAGCCGCTCTCTCAACAGACGCAATCGACGCACCGCCCGTGCTCGCCTTGCGCACAGGCGGGGGCATCGATCTCCGTGCGGGCGGCGGTGGCGGCGGGGACGCCAATGGCTCGTCCACGATATTCCTCTCTTCGATGTCTCCAGCATTAGAGAGCTGCGACAGCTGCGTGCTCGTCCGTCTCGTCACGGGCTTGGGCGACATGGGCACAGGCGGTGGTGCCGGGGACCGCGACGGTGGCGGTGGGGATCGAGCGGATGGTGGAGGCGAGCGTACGGATCTGGGCGGCGGCAGCGGCGGGGACGCTGGCGACATGGGTATCGGCACTGTAGCCGCACCCAGACTCTGGGCCGACGCGGTGCTCGCAGGCCTTGACCGTACAGGCGGAGGCATCGATCGCCTCGGGGGCGGCGGCGGCGGAGCCACCTGCTCGTCTTCGTCGATAGCCTTCAAAGCCGGGGTAGGGACCGCGCGATGGACACCCGTGCGACCTGGCATATCGCTCTCTTCGTCTTCTCCGTCGTCTTCTGCGTACTCCGGCTCAAATTCTTCCTCGTCGCGAGGTGGCACAAAGACAGGAGGAGGGGGCACAGGGGGACGCGCAAGGGGCGAATGCACCACCCCCTTTTCAACGCCCCCATACGGGTCCCCAGCATCAACATCTGCATCAGACGACCGCTCATCAGCCTCGTGTTGCACGTCTCCACCCTCGTCGGCGGGCGCTTCTTGGCCGTAAGCGCCAGCACCGCCCACATGGTGATCTCCACTTTGGACCGACGCGCGTCGTGGTAGCCCTGGAGATAAACATTCGCGTGAGATGCTCGTTCCCACACAACACAACACAGAAGCCAAGGATGAAGATAGGATGTTAAACGGGAATAGGTGAGTTGAGATGAGTCAAGGGAAAGCAGGCGGGATAATGGTTCAGGCACTGCAACCAGAATACAGCACGTACCTTGCCCTTGGACCTCAGCCTCCGTCCCATCATCCTCATCATCATACCCAGCACGGCCTCCCAGTGCCCCGTGATTCTGATCCTGATATCGGACATCATCATCACCTAGCAGAAACAGAAAAAAGGTAGATTGGATTAACGGTCGTCCTCTAGATGTACATCACAGAAAAAAGAAGAAAAAACGCAATGTGGTGTTCGAATACAACAGAAAAATCAACGAGATTCACCATCGTCTTTCTCCTCCGTCATCGCTTCGTGGTGTTGACGCTCCTCTGCCGGGCGCGGGGGCGGGGGCGGCGCCGCTTCTCCATGCTCTTCCTCTTGTCCTTGCTTTTCCTGCGCTCCATCCTGAACTTCGAACTCCTCAGCAGCAGGCCTCGAATCGCGCCTCACAGGCGGCGGCGGCGGCGGTGCCCCCGCGAGCGGGTTAAAGCCGCCCATCTGCGCCATACGCGCCGCAATGCGCTTCCGGCGGGCCTCCTCTTCGTCCTCGTCCTCTTCTTCCTCCTCTCTGGTTTCAGCGGCGGGAGCGTCCTCGTGGGCTTGCGCTAATTCGTGGTTTCCCTGTCCATGGGCCGCCTCGTGTGCTTCTGGTTTTGCTGCTTCATGAGTCGCGCGTCGGGGTGGGACAGGCAACGCTCTCTCCTCTTTCCTCTGCTCCTCCTGCTCCTGCTCCTGCTCCGCTTCATGCTCAATCTCATCGCTCCCGTGCTCCACCACATTCCCAACCGGCTGCAGCTCGCGCTCCGGCTGGCCTATCTCCGGCTGCTTGTCCCCGCTCGCCTTACCACCTCCATATACATCTCCACCTCCTGCTCCATCTCCGGCGGACGGAGCACGCAACACGTCCTTGGGGCTCTGCACGAGCGCCGCACCGGGCGTAGCCTCCGTCTCGGTCTCGATGCTCTCCTTGAGCTCCTCAAGCTCCGCTTTAGCTTCTTCTTTAGCTTCTTCATCTTCATCTTCACCCCGAACCTGAGCTGCACCTGCATCCTCAGCGATCCGCACAGCACCACCACCCTCAATCTCGACCTCGGTGGGCTTCACAGCCGCTTCGTGCTCGTGCTCTGGCTCTGGCTCGGAGGGCTTCGCAGCCTCAGCTCCAGCCTCAGCCTCGAGCGCCGGCGCCGCAGGCGGCGTCTTACTCGGCGCCTTGCGTCGCGGCGGTGCCGCACGGCGCGGGCCGGCGGGGACGGGCATCGCGTTCGGCGAGCGCGCTGGTTGTCCGGGGGACTGTACGTCCGCGGCGGGCGGCGGTGGCGGTGGTGGGGAGAGCGAGGACGCGGAGGGTTTGCGTGGTGGGAAGTAGCTTTCCGTGTCTGTGTGATGAAGGGGGTGGGTGAGGATGGGTGGATGGATGCGGGTGATGAGGGGGGAGGGGGAAATGGATAATGATGAGGATAAGGATAATAAAGACAACAACGTTATAAAGGCAAAGATGCGATTGAGAATGAAGAATACATCACGACGACGGTGCCGAGTGAAGTGTGAAAGGTAAACGCGGCGCCATCGCGGGGATGAGGACGAGCAGAAGAATAAAGACGAGAACGTTGAAGTTGATGTGCGGGGACACGAGAAGGAACAACAAGACGATGAAGACGTGAACATGCAAGGACGGAGCGTGCTTACCCTGCTCGCCGGCAGGCTCTTGCTCTTGCCCCTCTGCAGGGTGCGGCGAAACGACAGCTGGCGGGGAGACGATAGGCGGCGATGCGATGAATGCAGCGCCTAGTGCATCGACTCAGCATCTAGATACGCGCTCAACGTAAACAGCATACGCACCTTCCTCGGTCTTGCCGCTCTTAACAGACGCCTTATCGTCGTCCTCCGTTGTCTTCTTCTTGGGCGGAGCAGTGTACGGCGGCTTCACGCCGAACACGGGCGGGCCCATCCCGACGCGTGCGCCGCCTAGGCGCGCCATGCGCGCGGCAATCGCGGCGCGGCGTTGTCTCTCTTCTTCCTCAGGGTCTGCTTCCTGCTCTTGCTCTTGCGCCTGTTCGCCGGCGCCTCCATCTGTAGCCTCCGCTGCAGGCTTCTCCTCGCCCTCATCGGTCGTCTGCGCCTTGGCGCCCTCCTCACCTCCATCCTCACCTCCTTCACCAAGTTGCTTCTCGCCCTCCTCCTCATCGCCCGTGGGCACGGGCGGACTCTTGATCGACGCAGGCGGCGACGTAAATCCAGCAGGGGGCGGCGGCGGTGGCATCCCAGGCATCCGGATCTCGCCCTCAACAGCGCGCGGGGGCGGCTTCCACCTCGGCTTATCGCCCGCCGGCCTCGGCGGCGGACTCGTCGCCCTCTCCCCCGCCCCGCCCGCCCCGCCCGCAGGCTGCTGCCCAAACGCCCCGCCCGCGCGAAGCGCAGCCATGCGCTCTTTCAACGACCCGCCGCCCCCCGCGCGGATGCTCTCAGCCGCGTCCGACGCGGACATGCCTCCTGCGCCCCCTGCACGCACAGCGTCTTCGCTCCCGCTCCCGCGCCTCTGAGGGGCGCTCGGGGCGTCCGATCCGGAGCCGGAGACGGATGTCGCAGTAGCAGGCGCCGCCGCCGAGGAGGATAAAGAGGAATCAGGCTTGGGCGGCGACGGCGAGCGCGGGCGGGGTTTCCACTGCATGCCTCCTGCCTTAGCGCGCGGGGCAGGGGGCGCGGACTTGTGCGCCGCAGCCGCCGCTGCGTCGGCCTGGCTCTGCTTCTCGAACGCGGCGATGCGCTCCTTGAGGGACATGGGTTTCGCTGGGGGATCTGTCATCGCTGTGAGCCGATATTGATGTCGTTGGTTCTGGTTCTAGGGGGTAGGTCTAGGCTGGTGACGATGTGAGTTTGGTTGGAGTGCGTTTATGTTGTGTGAAGCGGCACCTTTATGATATACAACACGAATCGGCTGCGATCGTCAAGATCGCTGTGCACTAGAGTACACTCGGAATGAGGAAGAAAAGGTGGAAGTGGTGGGTCGTGAGGCGGGTGGGTGGGTGATGATGTCGACCTCTGGGGCGGCGCACTAAAGGTGATCGCATCGTTCGCACGCTTTTCCCAGCCATACCTCCGCCTCATGCAACCACAAGCTCACTGCATCTGCCACGGCGGCGACACGCGCTACGCAGACAGGCAAACGGACGGACACATCCAGGGACACCAGCACCCATTTCATTAATGAACCGGTCGCAAATGAAGGCGTCTATCGCGTTTCAATAACCCCACCACCATCCCCTATCTCTCTCGACACCATGCAGGGACACCATAAAGTCTACGCCCGCATCTTCGCGTTATTGTGGCTGAATGAGCACCCAGCTGAAGCCATAGCCTCCTCATCGTCATCCTTGCGCGCGTTGCAAACGCGGTCGATGGGCTATGCGAGACTTCTCCTTCCCAGCCTGACACAGGCTTCGCGCCTCAATCCCAGTGAAAATGGGTCCGATTGTTAGCGACTTGCGGCGACTGAACTTTACTAAAATCTGACTGAATACGACTGTTAGTGACGGAGTGACGCAAAATGACTATCTGCGCCAAAATTGGGACCACTTTCCGTCGTGGTCGGTCGCTATACGTCGGCACGGTTAGACCAGCTCGACACATGCGCGTCAGGGCCAGTCAGAGTCCGACACCGCGCAGACAGACAGCGACATATAGCGACTGGCTATGACATATAGCGATTTACACAACCCATATATAGAATGTATCAATACATGAATTGAATGTCAGACAGTCGATTTCAGTCGATTTCAGTCGGACTCTAGTCACATGCAGTCGATTTCAGTCGCTAACAGTCGCTACACAAGCACAATAATGAATTTTGCAGTCCCAAATTAGTACACGCAGCGACTTCTAATGACAGCAAACGACGACAAACGACTGGTAACAACAGCAGATCAGCCGAACCAAAAGACCAGCTAGCACAACAAAAACGCTAAGGCCGGCGCAAGGATAATGCAACGACCGGGCCTGGCCGTCGGAAGCAGGGGACCCAGGTGACTCGTCCATTTTACTTCTGTCAACTCCATTGTCAGCAAAACGTCGCTATGGACTAGAGCGGAGAGGGTCATACCCGTATCTTAATGCCTCGAAGAATGCAGCTTTGTTGCAAACTAGAAACACTGGATGAACTCACGTGAGATACTGCTCGAGAAGGTGTTCTCGCAGCTGGGGTGACGGTAACTTGTTGTCTTCCAGGAATTCAGAGTGCGCCGTCGAGCTATCTCGCGCGCCGGGAGGTAACAGCGGCCACACTCTGGCCTTGGGAAAGCGCCCGAAGATATGAGGGTTAGTATCACAATACAGTCCACCCTACGTGGCGGGTAAGATCGCGCACCAGATGCCGCCCTCCTTCCTTGCCTTTGCCGTTGATTTGATTCTCCAATGGTAGAGTCTGCTGGCCTTGCTATGGTAGCGCACCTGTTCGTCCTTGTTAAGGCTAAGTTGACCTATGGCGCCGGTGAATTCGTCCTCGGACTCTGAGTCCACGGACCTGGAGCTATCTTGTTTGTATGAGGCCCCGCTGCCTCCATGGATGGGGGAAGCACCCGGATAGCCAGGGCTTGTCCTACGACTGATGCATTACTAGTAAGGTGCCCCCAGATGACGACGAAGTGTAAGGCAAGAGACACAAGAGAGCGCACTCATCTATGCGATAACGATCTTATCTCTTTTCCCACGGTCCTTTTGTGTCCATGCAGACGCGGCGCGTTTTTCCCTTGTGCATTCATTCCATCGACATGTTTGTTACAATACATGGTTCAAGGGTACGCATGAGTCTATGACTCCTTTGTAGTGTACATAGGATTCTAAGTGCATGTTCCAGTTGCGCAGTGCGCTAGTGAATGTACTGAGTCGGGACTTGTTTATCTCAAGTGCATCATCAACCGGTGGGGTTGACAAGTTCAGAAAACCCGGGAATTGGGCAAGGCGGCATTTGCCTTAGCCGCCGCGCGGTGGCGAGGCGGCAGTGGCGGTGCAAAAGCAAAAGCAACTAGCGCGTGACCGCCGCGCGTCCCCCCCGCCGCCGCGACTTAGATTACCTAGCACTAGTACTCGCCTGTATACGCACACTACCACAATGAGTATCGACGTTGCGCTTATTCCACATATCCTAGAGACCTATCCGCGCCTTCTCCCTATGAACACGGATCAAATACGACTATTCATCAACATATGCAGCCTCATTCGCGATGAGATCGCCCTGACTTACCCATCATATGTCGACACCGAAACCTCCGCTCCACCGTTCTTTCCAGAATCACAGGCCGAGTGGATATCTGTCTGCCTTGGGATAACAACCGAGCAGATAGACATCCTGTGGGCTGTTTTGCGTCACACCATCTGGAAGATGGACGATGCTGTAAGGCAATTCGAAAGCCTTGCCGATCTGTTCATGGAGAGCGGTTGGCGGGCGGGTATCTGTGAGTATTAATATACATCCCATTCTTCTATACCTCTAACCTTCATTAGCCTTTGTTTCGTTATTTCCTCCTTACCGCAAATGTCCACGGCCCGAGTGCAAAGACCGACGCTCGGAGATGCGCAGAGAGCATGTGCGAGACGCGATCGTCTTCACATTCGAGCGCGGCATACAATGGGCTAAGTCGGTTCACTTGACCTGTATCGGTACGCACATTCTCTTATTGCTATTTAACTCACATTAACGTTGAACAGGCTGCCATACGAACTATCGTCCCACCTACTATGTTCCACGCGTCAACGTTGGTAAGCCTAGACGCCATTATTACTCCAAATTCCCCCGCTATATACAAGTGGACGACCACCACTATGTCGAGACTAGAGTCGCCCATCTATGGACGCAATCCATGATGATTAGCGCGTAAGTTCTGCCTGTTATATTTTGTTTCCGAGGCCTCACTTCGCTATAGAACCGCAGCAACAAGCTGCGCGAAGATATACGAGCAAACATTCGCTCGTCAGCTCTCAGACATCGAGAAACACTACTTTACCAAGCCTAAGCTCCCCTCCGCTCTCTCTCGACTTCCCTTCTCGCCCAGACTTAGATCTGATCACGTCTGGACGGCCTTTGTCGTGCTCGCTCTCATTCGGGATGCTCGTGCCCATCGCCGGATTCTTCATGTCCCTCACACAGGCGAGCAACGTGTTCGTTTCGACGCTGCCATGCAAGATCGCAACCTGCGCACCATTGCCTTCGGTCAGCACGAGATCCGACATCATTGCAAGGCCTGCATGCGTTTCTACGAGGAAACAGATGAATCGGGCACTGTTATTATCAGTAAGTTCGATTATTCCATTGCGACGAGCCCAGCCCGCTGATTATTATCGTAGAGAGCTGCCAACCAGTTGTAAGCGATGGCCTTACAATTGGTCATCCCTGTTGCAAGACCTTCCGATGCACGATACACCTCAGCAAGATTCGAGACCATTACTGCGGCGAATGCGGCAAGCTCTACGCGAATAAATGCGCCGTCGAGACCTGCAATGAGGTCATCATGCTCACACCTGAGACGAAGAGGACATGCGCTGACGAGGTCCACCGGCAGATGGAAATACAGAACGTTCAGCGCGGCCAATCGCTGTTCGTGCTTACCAGTCGCCTCACTCGCCAACGAATCTCGGCCCCGGATTTTGACGCAGAGACCGACGACGACACTCTTATATGGTACGAAGTGGACGCGCAAAATCGCGTCACTCAACGCGTTAACACTCGCCCCGTCAATGTCGGTGTGTCCGACACCGACGCCGACAGAACTGACCGCCAAATCAACCCCCCAAACGCTACGTGTCCCAGCAAGACTCCGAAGCGCCAGAGAATCTTACTGGCTCGCCGTCGTACCGCCTGTGAGGTTACGCTCATACGGCCGTGCGGTATCATTCTACAGCGCGGCACCATGCACGGTGCAGAAGCTGTCTCAAATGTCCTTGTAAGTCGTTCATCACACCTTACATAAAACGAATCGCTGATCTTCTATTTAGCAAATGACCAAGGCCACGTTCTGCGTACCTGGCGCACGGAAGCCAGAGATCTTTATCTACGATACGGCTTGCGAGGCGAAGCAGCAGGCGATGAACCTCGACGACGACTGGTGGGACGACGTTCACATGGTCGTCGATCCCTGGCACCTCGTAACGAAGCACAAAACCACTCACGAATTTTGTCAGAAGTACTGTAACCCAGCAAGCTTCCCCGAGCTCCTGCGCGAAGATGGTAAGGGCTGGTGGTTTAATTCTTCAGTCGCTGAGCAGACGAACGTTTGGTTGGGCAGCTATCATTCCATTGTGAAAGAGATGCTGCCCATCAAGTATAATTTCTTTTTAGATGAGATGATTCGACTACGAAACATAGATACTATACAGACCTTGAAGGACAGAGGACGTTGTCCTCAATACTACCCTGTGGAGGACGATAGCTAGTTTTAATTTGTACACATGTTTCATTCGTATATATGTTTCAATAATATGCCGTCGTCGTCGTGAACTGTGCGCGTTGTGTGTTTTTCGGCTTCGTCCTCTGCTCCCTGCTCCCTGCTCAAGCTCTGTCCTCACTCGATCGGTTGAACTCTGTATTATCATCATTCGCTCTCAAGCTCTGTCCTCACTCGATCGGTTGAACTCTGTATTATCATCACACAAGAGGAACTGGACAAATCGTATGTATATTCGTGTACTAGAGCAGGTACAAAGCTAGTGAGTGTAATAATGACTGTATCTACAAAGGTTCAACCATAACAATGTCGTCGCCATCGCCCTCGATGTCGCTGCCCAGCTCTGCATACAGCGATGGGGGGCTGGTTTCGACGTTGATGCAGACCGCCTGGTGCATCTCCGCGACCTGTCGCCGAGAGCGCGTGGGCTTGAGCTTGTATGTCGCCGTGACTTTGTCCCAGAGGCGCTCCTTCTTGTCCATGTCCAAATCGGAGTCAGCGGGCGCTCGGATATTTTCCTTGAATTCTTCATCGGCCTGACCCCATCGAATCCTCGCATCCCGAAGAGTTCCCGGAGGGGAAGGGCTTCCCAGTAGCGACGTCCGAGGGCTTGAACCTTGGGAGCTCAGAGACGTCGCCACAGGCTGGCGCTGACGTGTTGCCAATGCGCGGATCGTCGAGGAGGAGTGGGACGGAGTGAGAAGGACCTGGAGGCTGTGGCCCACCCAGGAAAGCAAGATCGAGCATCTGCTCGGCTCGGTTTGGCGATAATACGAAGGGGGACACGGTGCGTAGTCGTTTGTTTGAGCGAGCATCTTCCGAGGCCTGCGAGGAAGATGGGCTGCCAGGGGAGGTCGAGGAGCTGGCCTGCGAGGACGATGAGGGCTCTGGAGTGGGTGACCTAGCGCGCTTGGAACGCACGGGCTCCTTGAGCTTCGCGCGTATCTTCAAGCGGTCGGCGGGGAGCCCGGATTTGTAGCAGGGGGACGTGTATGTCTTCTCGTCGACGCACGCAGTGGTCCCATTGATGCGGAACACGAGAACGTCCTGGTTCTTGACAGGGATCCGGTGGAAGGCGCTGACACCCTTCCAGTGCTTCCGGCGTCCGTCCCAGAACTCGACGTGCGTGTTGTGGTCCATCTTCGGAAGCTGGGGGGTCTTGTCTGCGGCTCCTGCGAGATCGAAGTATGGCCAGTGGGGGATGGGCGAGGTGTCCCTGTGGGACGGCACATTGGATCCCTGGAGAGCTAGCTTGATGGGCAGTTTGTTATTCTAATGCGAGATGTTAGTGAATATGAGAACGAGTGAATGAAAAATATAGAACACACCTCGATATAAGTAATCAGCTCAATCTCCTGGCAACTCTCCTCCTCGCGAGAGAGCTGCTCCTGCTCGTCCTTCTGGAGCAAGTCCTCCTCGACGACGACGTCGTGGATAACCTTCTGCCAGCTGTCGTTCAGCTGAGTAGTCGGCGCTGATCTTGTCGACAATCCGCGAGGCTGAGACGAGCGCCCAGTTCTTGCTGTTAATGTACGAGGCTGGGAAGGCGCGGGGGCGTCAGGCTGCGAGGGAGGGGGGGCGGACAACTGAGTCGGAAGGAAGCTAGAGGGGAGTGATGGAGGAGGAACGGGGCTGTCGGGTGGAGGAGAGTCGACGGACGAGAATGTAAATTCGGGAAAATTGACAGCGACCTCTGAGAGCACAGAGAGGTCGTCGAACTGCGGGTTCAAACCCCATTCTTCGTCAGTGGGATCGGGCCAAGACGTCAGCGACTGCGACGGAGTCGCTGGGGCAGCACGAGGAGCGCGAGGAGCGCGAGGAGCAGAGCTAGCGAGCGACGGAGTGGAGGACCCGGCGGCTGCGAGAGCAGCGAAGCTAGCCTGCTGCAGCTTGCCAGCGCACTCGGGGCGATGGTCCTTGGCGCTGGAACAGCCGATGAAATCTTGAATACAATGTTTCTTGCACATCGTCTTCGCGCAGCGTGAGTTCGCCTTGTTGGGCGCCGATTTGTTGCATTTGAGGAATGAACACTTGAGCTTTAGACCTGGGACGAATGGGCCGAGCGGTGGATAGGCGGGCTGTGGTGCGAGCTGACCAGCAGCCAACGAGGTTGATCTAGACAGAATGCTAGGAAGGGGAGGGAGAGTGGGTAGTGACGAGGTGCTAGGACCAGGATCGCCTCGAGGAGGAGACGACGAAGGAGAAGACCCGGGGCTACACGAGTTGTCGGCGAGAAGGACGATGCAATCAGGTGCACCGTTCAGAGGGTACCAGTGCCAAAACGATTGGCCCTTGCCAGTCGCTGTCAATGGATGGCCGGCCTTGTTGTCGCACTGCTTGAATAGTTAGTCCTGCTCATGAAAAGGTAAGGCAATACGTACGACGAGAAAATATCGGCCTATGTGGTCCTCGCGACCCTTGGAACAGAATTTAGGCTTCAACTCGCAGCCGCACATCGGACAGTGCGGCTTGCCATCAATATCGAGAGGCGGGAGATGGGCATGGCACATGCTCGCTATGCTCGACACCGGGGGAAGGTAGAAATGAGAGAGATAAATGAGAGACGAGATAAGGAGCGTCGACGGCGAGATAACGGTTTATATACCGCAGACATTGGCAGAATGCCATGGCTAGGTTAGTGAAGGAATACTTATCGAGGGATCAGTGGCTCAGGGGCGACGCGCCAGTCGCGTTCGCGATCGTGGGACTTTGGCTTTGGCACCGCCACTGCCGCCGCGCCGCCACGCCGCCGGCGGCACTTCGCCGCCTTGCCCATTTCCCGGGTGTTCTCGACAAGTTCGAATGCTTTTGGTTACACAAGACCTTTGCCCATTCTAACGCGTAATTCAGTCGGACCTCGGTATCTGCTTCCGAAAGCTTTTTTTGTTGTAGGTAGAACATCTACTGGCCATAAGTTTACATTTACCAGACGTGACTCAAGCTATATCGTCGCTCTCAGTCCCTTTCAGTCACACGCCGTTGGGACAGTCATTCTATGTCGCCGCGCGTCGCTATCAATCGGACCCAGTTTCACTGGGCCTCAATGCCAAAGATAGATCGGACAACATGATGGGTGGAAACAGAAGTGGCGGCCAGATCTAGTTCTCTCTCCAGTTGTATCCACAACCAGCACATCTACACGAGCAATGTTAGCCGCTCTGAAGCTAAACTGCGAGAACATGGGTATGAAACGCTTGCCTGTAGACTGTATGCGCGATCCAGCATGGCCAAACACATGTTGTAGGCACGACACAGAAGCACGAAGCACGGCATGCAACCATGACCCGTAATCATGCGGCACCGCACCGCGCCAACAGCGAGCAAGGATAGAGATCGCCCAACGAGCAACAGATAGAGGGACGGATCGTCAGTTCAATCAACCGCGCAGCAAACAGACTGAAAAACGCACACGTCGTCATAGGCTCGTCCGCACTCCGGATCTGGAGCTGATAGAAGTATGCACGGCCGTGATTGCACTTGTCGCACGATACTACGACGCCGGATGAGCATGCATTGCGACAGCATAGGAAATGGATGGGATGGGATAGACGTACTCGCAGTCGAGTCCGCGTGCTTCCACATCTCGTCTCCGCCCAGGACGTCATCCACCTGCTTGCGCTTCATCTTCGTCCGCGAGGTCATCTAGACGACGGGCAATTCATCGAAGATGATATGGTTGATGACGTTGAAGAAGTTGAGACGCAGGCGGAATGTGGGTGAGGACTCGTGAGCTTCATTGAAGAATGGAGGAGATGAAGAACGCACCTGCTTCGTAATCGGGAACTCGTACGCACAGGTGTTGCACGCCCACTTATTGTACCCCGTCTCCGCGGAGATGACAAGCAGATTCGCGCATGTCGGGCAAAAAAGCATACCGATCTCGAGATAAGAGGAGAGTATATGTACAAGCTGAACTTGAACAAAGGAAAAACGTTCAAATGTCACTGCGCGAATCCGAGTGTGCTAGTTGACGAAATCTGTCGAGTCACAGTACAGTCAGCTCAGATACCCAGACAAAATCGTCTGATCAGACACACATATACGCGCACCCACAACGTCCTCTGCCGCCTCTCCAGGTTCGTGTGCGTTAGACGTCAAGGCAAGCGTCAAAGAAAGCTTACACCGCCACCGCCGGCACGGCCCGGACATTGCACACCGGGCTTGGCAAGGTTCCCTGTTTGGACAGGTGCCCCTGGGGCCTTGGAGCTTTTAGCCTTCATCCATGCACGTCTGCGGGTCCACAAAACCTAATTGCATGACAACGCTCCGACTTGGGGAGAGGATGAGGTAGCCGATGAGGTCACCTTTCTCGGTCCCCGCACTAGTGCATTATTTATAAAGAGCTGCGTCGACACGAAGACTCTTCACAACAGCATGCATCTTCACCACCACGACAACCACGCCGACTCCCATTCCCAGGTTAGTAGCGCACCCATCTATTCTAGATATCTCATTAATAGGACGGTGTGCAGGTCGTCAACTCCCCGCACAAAGCCGCGCTCTCGCATGAGCTCGTCGCTGCCGCTGCCTCCTACGAGGTCCGTCGATCTCCCGTTCTCGAAGTGCTCTCTAACGGCGGGACCTAACGAATGCACGCGTGATACAGGCCATGAAGGCGTACGAGAAGCACGTCCAGGCCCAGGGCCACCCCGACAGCCACGCCAAGGCGAAGGAGCTCATGTCAGTACCCACCATCCATCATTCACCTCTCCCTTTGATGTGACATTCTAACGGCATAAACCAGCGCAACATTCAGCGGCGGCTTCGTCGACCGTATGGTCGAGACCAAGGGCGTGAGTAACCCTTCCACTATCATCCGCCCTCTCGCGAGCTCCAAGCTGATCATGATTCGAACGTGTAGCTCGACTTCATCGACAAGCAAAAGGCAAAGCACCAGGCGACTGCACACGCGGACAACCATCTCCCCGCCGCTTACCCCGGACAGTTCTGAGGCGTTTCTAAGATCTACCTTGAACTTGGGGGACGTTGCTCGGTAGGACTCAATTTATGTACACAACGTATTATTGTATCAGCATATAATCGCTATATTCAGCTATGATACGAGTAACAAGAAACGGCAGAGACACGCCATATATTGATCTTTCGGTGTAGTTGATATTACAGGCATATTGTAACGAAACACAGGTGTATGCACTTCAGCTCCTGCAATAGTTGCATGGGAAATGCCGAACCATCTTCCTTCAACCTCAGTACTACCTCCAAAGGGCTTACATGCACACCGAATGGAATGGTCAAACACATAGGTAGAGGCGCTAGCTGTAGCTCGGATTTCCGTGCCGTTTCCCAAGTCCGATGGCATTGGCTGTTGTCGAGCCTATCGCCTACATGAACCTTCTCCTGCAGACACTCAAGCAGCGCTCAAACGCTTATACTTGCTGTGATGAAGCTATATCAGCATATCAAGCGCTTAGTGCGCTTATTGGACAGTCAACCCGGTTCAACGCTGGCCCACGACGACAAGACGCTCCCGGCCTTGTTTTGTCGCCCTGCACTTAATACGTAACGATGAGCCAGGATCCGCTCAAAGAGTGAGCCCCTCCTCCACTGCGTCGGCCACCTAGCCTCGACTCCCGCAAGCATCCTGTCATGGGCGACTCGGGCAGCTTAGTCTGCGCTCAAGACCGCGGCGGACGATGTCAACAAGGCTGCTTAGGGAGCAGCCCAGCAAGCAGCTGGGTTCGTCTCAAAGGCGCACGCCGATATAGCCTCTTCCGTCAAGATATCGGACGCTTGGAGCGTGCTACTAGATGAAGTGAAAAGAATTGCAGGAGGAGGGACTGTGGCGGTCATTGCGCAGTCTCTGGCGGTTCAAGCTGAGAAGGGCGTTGGAGACGTCGCCAAGTTGCTCGCCAACGAAGGTACGTATTTCGCTGTCTCAATTCCATCCTCAGCTCGTCGGGAGAGTCGGGCTGACGTGTAGTTCTGGTTGCAGCGCATACATTTGTCGCAACAATCCCCACTTCGTCGCTGCGCTACTCCAAGCTGGTGATGACGCTGGCAGGTTTTCGAACATGGCAGCTGAAGAAAGTGCGTGGTATTATAATCCGTTGTCTGCTGCTTCTCGGACTCAAATTCTGACACGCGCACGCGTGCTGCAGTACACAGCTTCTACCGCAACAACCCCAATCTCGTCTCGGGAATTTCAATCGGCATCGGAATCACCCTCGTAGCACCACCAGCGAGCGTGATCCTCCTCGGCGTACTCGGCTGGCAACAATAGGGCATTGTAGGTGGGTCCATCGCTACGAAACTGCAGTCGTCCATCTACGGGCCGTATACGTGCGGTGTGTTCTCCCTGCTTCAGCACACTGGAGCGCTCGCCGCTGTGGATGTCGCTGCTCTCGTGGGCGGAGCCGCGTTGATAGGCGTAGGGGTCGCTTTGAAGATCAATCACGACAACTGCAACTATGACGCACAATCAAAGGGAAGGGTTGGTATGGGGCTGGTGGATGTTGCTGCGGGATCTGCTGCTGCGATGCGCATTGCGGCGCAGATCAGAGGAAGTCAGATTATTTCCGCATTGCAGAGAACTCCAGCGATGGAGATGGTTGGGGCCGGCGGGGGGAAGGTTTAGAGCCATCGACGAGGTTCGTCTGACGGTGGTGTTCTCCTCGTTGCTAGCTGAATGATGTCATTTGTTTGCAGATCACTTTGTAATACGTATTCGTAGTCTTCAAAATGGACACCACGCCCGCTTAATTGTGAAGCGTTGAACACAGGGGATTTATCCTGAACCGTGCTATCATCGAAGTTCGCACCGATTTCCGTCTTATTCGCAAGTTATTCTCTTCCCCTCCATCGCCTTTGTAATGCTAAGGGACTCCTGCTGAAAAGTGGGTCATATTCTGGTTTAAAGACGCCGAGGAGTAGCTGAGGTGAGAACAGAAACCTTATACCGCGACTGTCGGCACGGCCCGAACTTGTGGTGACCGCGTTTACATCACAGGCACTGAACGCTATTGGACAGAACAGCTTTGTGGTGCTCCATGCACGTCTGTGGGTTCGTGAAACCACAGTTGCATCGTAACCCCCCGACTTCGGGAAGGGATGAGGTAGCTGATGACTTCGCTGATGAGGTCACCTCTCTCCGCCCTTGCGGGGCCCGCACCACTAACGCGGTATATATGAAGAGCTGCATCGATTCCATGGAGGTTAGAATTGTACCAGAACATCCCCACCTCATAACTTCGCAACAACCAACATGAATTTCCTCCACCGCGATAAACACGCCGACGCCCACGACCAGGTTCGTAGAGCATCCAATCTTCGTATATCTCTCGCTAACAGACGTTCTATAGGTAACCAACGCCCCGCACAAGGCTGCGCTCTCCCATGAGCTCCTCGCTTCTGCTGCTTCATACGAGGTACGTCTCATCTCCCGCTCTTGGAAGGGCTCGCTGAACGGTAGGACCTAATGCGCGCATGATACAGGCCATGAAGGCGTACGAGAAGCACGTACAGGAGCAGGGCCACCCTGACGACCACGCCAAGGCGAAGGAGATTCTGTGAGTGGCTCACCACCCATCTCTCTCCGTGTCATCGACATCCTTGATGCCATTCACTAACGGTGTAAAACAGCGCTACACTCAGCGGTGGCTTCGTCGACCGGATGGTCGAGACCAAGGGCGTGAGTACCCCCTGGTATCGTCTGGTCTCTCACGAGCTGATAAACGTGTTACGCTTGTGCGCTGTGCTTATAGCTCGATGCCATCGACAAGGAGAAGGCGAAGCGGCAGGCGACTGCTCATACGGACAGCCAGCTTTCTTAAGCTGGAAAATTCTGAGCTGTGTATAGCTAAGCTAGGACTAGGACGCTGTTAGGAAGAAGAGTAATGTAAACGAATAAATTGTATTACAGATAATATGACTATCTTCTACAAGGACACGTTATTATGCGAACTGTTATATGTGAACATCTTGAGCGCGTCGAGAGCTATAGAGGAAAGTGAGGCTGCGCAGAACTCGTCAGACAATCGTACTAATGAAGGAGGATAGATGCTACTTCACAATCAATAACGTCTACATATAATGCGCACGGCGATACCGAGCCGCTGCGAGAGACTTCGTATTTTCGCTGCTTTGACACACCTGCCAAAATTTAAGAAGCGGATAGCGGGGTTCACCACAGACAAACGCGAGTTTTGGGTCCCGGAATGACCTGGAACAGTTGCCACATTGGTTGCATGCTACCGGGAATTTTCCTAAGCGCGGAACATGTCAGGGGTCGCTTAACCTTTTCCGAACATTCACCCCAATGGAAGAGACGAACCTAAATTGAGCCTAAGCACACATCGACAGCGACGACGAACCCATAGATAAGAAGCGGACAGAAGGAGAAGAGAGCGACAGAAGGAGAAGTAACCGCATAGCTAGAAACAAAACAAAAAACGAACAACCACCTCGCCAGCGTCCCCGACATCATTGTCGTGGGCCGATATCACGACCTAGACCTGGGTCGGGTTGCAGATCGGAAAGAGGTAGGAGCGGGGAAAGGGCTTCTTGATACACTCATCGAGGGAAGCATAACCCGAGACATACGTAACATCAGTCAAGTCAGCCTGGCCAGCACCGCCGATAATCATACCAACAATACCACAGCTGGCCTCGCCGACAACAGACCCAGAATCCCCAGGGGCAGAGAACGCGCCGTCCCCGTTGCTATAGGCGTACACAGCAATCTCCCTCGCCGTCGAGCGAACCGCGCCGTCCCCAGTGTATTCACGAACAAAGGACTCGATACCGGTCGCGCGACCGAGCGTAGCACCGGTGGCGGCACCGTTCTTGACGACTATGAGGCACCACTCGCCGTTCGCGTCCAGCATCGCCGGGCGGCGAAGCTCGTTTGGTTGGACAACGTCTCGGAGCTGCATCAGGCCACCGGGCGGGTACTTGTATTTGGCGCGGGTCAAGGCGTGAGGGTACATCTTCTTCATGAATTGGTAAGGCGTGAGTTTGGATCCTGGATGTAATAGTTAGTCCAAAGACTAGACGACCCCAGTGAGATGGATTGAAACTTCGCACCGAGATGAATAACGTTGCCTCGGAAAGTGTCCCAGTCGAACTTGCCGCGGTTGAGCTCAACGAGAGCCCAATCTTCGGTACACATGCTGTCGCCGGTACCGACGGAAATTGGAGGGGCGTAGACGACGTGTCCCAGAATGCGCTGGCTCTCCGCGCTCCAGAGGCTGGTGATCTCACGGTGGAACTCAGATACGCTTGCCTTCGACGCCTCCGCCTCTTCCAGCCTGTACTTAGTCTTCTGCCGATTTGAAGTTGTCTTGGGGTCCTCGCCCTCGACGCGCTCCCCTAAATGCGCAAACTCTTCCTCGTAGCCGTCGACCATGTAGCTCCAGTGCCCAATCCTGTCCATGATAGCCTCGAGAGCATTCTGAAAGGCCCGGCTGCCAAGATGGACGACCTCACGACGAGGCATGCTGTTGTCCTTGCTGTGGTAAAGCTCGTTCGAATACTGGCTAGGCGGGAGAACAACATGACGAGCGGTGAGAAGGAAGATCCGATCGCTCTCACCGCCTTCGCAGAGATAGAGACATCCCGTGCCTTCGAGGTACGGGAAGGCCTTGGGAGCAATCTGAAGACCAAGTGCCGGCGTGAAGGGACCGCGTACGTCGGCTGTTGCGTCGACGGAGGGGACATGGTCGAGCAGCCGCAGTCCGGCGTACCGCGTGTAGACAGACTCACGGAACGCAATCTCAACGTCGGTGATCGCATACTCCAAGAGAATCTCCTTGCAGTGCGCACCCGGGCCTTTGGCGTCGTCGGAGGAGAGAGTGCCGGGCAGCACGCCCACCCACAAGAAGAGGGGACCGGGTTCCTTTTCGGCTTCGGCAAAGCGGACAGGGTCGATGCTCGTCCACTTGAGCTCGATAGAGTCGAAGAACTTGTAGATTTTCTCGCCCAGCTCGTGCCACACGCTTGAGATCGCGTGGATACAGACTGGGCGGGCCTCTTTGGGGACGCGCTGGGCCTGAGGGCCAGTAGGCAGCGGCCAGGCGGGCCCGGTGTGGTAGATAGAAAGGGGGCTGGAAGGGAGGCCAAAGAAGTCGTTGTGGGCCTCATCCAAAGGCATATGAGCGTGAATGTCTGTGATGGCCTTCTCGGTGTCGAACGAGTCAACTGCGGTGGTGGTCGGGGAGAGAGAAGAAGCAATAATGTTTATGTTGGAAACGTTGGAACGAAACTAAGATATATGTATTTTAGCCCCTGCAATAGATGTGCGGGAAATGCCGAAATGCGTTCCTCCCTGCGCGTGATGAATCGATGACGCCCGCCTTCCGGTGCAAGTGGAATGCCCTCAAATGATGCACCCGAAGACTAATGTAAACGAAACGGTGGCGGCGCCTACGTACTGCACCTCTTCTTATCTTAAAAGATAAACCGCCTACACCGTCTTTCTCTGCGTAGCGATGGGGAACGGCCCAGTTGACGAGTGAGCCGTTGTCTAGATTCATCCCCAAAACAAAAGTTCCTAACATACCGCAAGCCCGAACACCCAGGACAACACACCTTTCCGCCTAGACCTAGTTCTCAAGGCCATCTCAGAGAAACTTCGCGACGGGGCTCAGCAGGCGGCGCTCATCACGTCCGATGCAACGGCCACAGTGAGGTCTACCTTCCTTGCCGCTCGCGATGCCATCCATGAAGCGAGACAAGCGGCCGAGGTGGAAGGAGGCGGAGACGTGGCTGTGGTTGTTCACTTCCTCGCTCAAGCTTCAGAAGGTGCCGGGAACATTGTCAAGCTCGTAGTGGATGAAGGTACGCCTCCGTGTCAACGGCATACCCCTGCGCTAACCTCGAGCGTCCCGTGTGCATGTATAGTTCATGCGATCTACTGCAAGAACCCATCTCTCGTCGCCTCAGTTCTCCAAACCAACAACAATCATTGACATTGCTTCGCTACCAGCGAACGAAAGTACGTCTCGTATCCCGTCCCCTTCATCCCCAAGAACCAATCAAACATTGTCTGCACCCTCGCAGTCTATGCCTTCTACACCCAAAACCCCTCGCTCGTAACAGCAATCCTAACAGCGCTCGGCGCCGCCCTCGCGAGCCAGCCTCTTAGTATCCTCCTTCTCAGCGTACTCGGTTGGCAAACCCCCGGCATCGCCGCCGGATCCGTCGCAGCTGCACTCCAGTCGGCCACCTACGGTGCGAAAACGGGCGGCGTGTTCTCGCTACTGCAGTCCGCCGGCGCTCTGTCGACTGGTGTCGCTGTGAAATTACCGTCTCTTCTTGGCGGAGCGGTGCTGATGGGCGCGGCGCTGGCGCTATGGGCGCATCGCAAGGCGCAGGATCAGGTGGGCGGTGTGGGCGGTGCTCAAGGTCAAGGCCTGGTTGTTGTTCCGGACCTACCGGCCTCCGCCATCCGGGAGGTGGCACAGGTGAAGCTAGAGGAGTTACGCGCTGTGCTGCGGATGCGTGTTGGAGACGGAGTGAAGAGCTTCAGAGCTGTGAAGGCTAAGCTGTAGGACATGTGTACGTGTTGAAATGTCCTCGCCCACAGAGTCGTTAAAATGTGTTTGCCTCACATGGAATCTCGAGTGTGGCATAATATTACGGCGCGGATCAGAGGAATGAGATTCTTTGTGCTAGTAGAACGCTTGGTCAAGATGGAAGTTGTGTCCACTAATACAATCACTGGAAGACAGGTTTCTTGCTCGCGAGTGGCTTCCTTGTGGACTTCTGACATCATTGGGATGCCCGGCCATGTCCTACTGGACAATTTGTCCAATCCCAAATGTGTTCGTCTATTATGGCTAGGCGGTTGCTGCTCCTAGTGACAGTAGATTACTAAGCTAGCTTCCTTCCTAGCACAACTTCTCATGCATTACCTTTTTAAATAAACACGAGTCTCAATCGAAGCACGTTAGACGCCGTGACTATGAGTATTTTATGTCGGTGCTTTTAGCGCATACAAGAGGTCTTCATGTAGCGATCCTCCTTGGATTGCCACTTTGCTCTTCATCGATCATCCTCGCCCTCGAGTCACCCTTTGTCGCCGCGAATACAGTCGAGAGCATCTATGTTTAGGTTGCTGGCTATAAGGTGAGCTTCGATACGAGTAAAAAATCGGTGGTGTCAGGTTTTTTACTCCCTGTCCAGCTTCTTGAATCGTTTCATGGCCGCCTTCAAGGCCGTCATAGCCAGTGTATATCGTTGCGGTACGTTATCTGCGCTGCCCTGTGGAGATTGTACTCACTGGGCAGCTAGTCGTCAGCAACGCGAGACAGGCGGCGCAGGCAGCAGGCTCGTTCGTACGTCAAACCAGGGCCTATCAGCGAGGTGAGAGAAAACGTCATATTACTTCTCAAGTGTCGGCTGACTTCTTTCCCCCGTGTAGCAAGCGGTGTTGTGATGCCAGTCATCAACGCGGTCTTATACGTATTAAGGGCTTACGAAAGCTGTACGTGTGTCTGTCACCGCTTCGCTCCCACATGCATAGCTCTACTTCAGAAACGGTCAGACGCTAATTGCAGTACACGACAGACCGTACCTGGTGCTTCCGATACCCACTTCTGGCTTGGATCATCAGATGGATATGCATCGTCTTAGTCATTATAGCATGCGTCTATCTGGTGTTCTCCATCTTCGTGGTCCTGCTGCATGCCTTGGGCTGGCGCTCCGCCGGTGTCGCCGCCGGATCGTTTGCTGCGGGGCTGCAGTCCACCATCTGGAGAGCGTTCACTGGTGGCATCTTTTCGGTCTTGCAACGCTGTGGTACTACACTGACGGTGTCTCCGGTATGGACATTGCTCTCGGTGGTCGTTCTGGGAATTTGCTTTTTTGTAACGTGGGAATTTGGCTAACGTTGGCGTGACCGACGCGACAGGAGGCTCAAATTACCGTAGTTTACTCTTCTTACCCGCACCTCTACCTTACTCGACATACGCGTATCAGATAACAGACGTCGTTCATTTCAGTTTGGCCTGAGGATCGGATGGAAGGGTGGGCTCACTCTTTACATTTTTGGAGGCGTAATAGGCCATATATGGGGTAGGATTTGGATACAGCGGGGATAGACCTTACGATGGGCCGGACGAGGAGCTTCCGCTGTGAGAGATAGGTGTAGAGTGTAGGTAATACTTGAGTGTACCTTGATCTGCGCGTTGAACATTTCGGGCAGTGTAGAGCTGGTGTGGCAACCGATGTATAACAAAAAACTGCTCTTCCATCCACGAACCGGAACGATGGACTGAAGAACATTGTGGCTAGCGGAGCTAAGGTGTAGTAAACCATCCACGACGTCCGTCCCCTTCGTGTTAGCTTGAATCAATGGCATAAAATTTGCGGATCACTCTGAATTAGTTGGCTGAGAGCCCTCGATCAGATTGAAATTGGACACCTTGTCGAACTCAAATGCGAACTTGAAGACGAAATACTCTTTCGATGGTTTCCTTTGAATGTTTTAACCTTGCTATCATCGAAGCTTACCGCGAGCGCTCGTGCCTAGTGCGAGTGCCTTCTTTCTTGGGCGGATCCGCACTGAATGGTTCGGGAACTGCTTTTAAGTACATATTTTGACAACGAAAGTTCGCAGGGTTGAGGGAAGGTTCGGCTTGACCGATGTACAGCTGCGGGGTGGCTATTCATCGCGGCGCAAATCAAAGTGCATGAAATTATTTCGAAGCCGCGCTACCGAGAACGTCCACATGAGGAAATTTGACAAGTACTGCTGGTAGATTGTAATAGTATGATGTGACCTCGGAATTAAGGATAACGCGCGCACTCCTGGTACACTGATACATGAATAAGGCGGATCATTCCCTGGATCTCTTTGAAGGGGGAGCTTCTCGTGTCATTAGCATTAATGATATTCATTTTCCTATCAAGTTCATCTTCGCATGCAGCTACAGCGCTGTTGATGTAGCGACACTTGCCTAAAGAATCTATGCTTCGTGAATCAACATCTGCTGTGGTACTTTTCTTAAGAAAGAGGTATACTGATATCGAAGCTCGATAGACGCTCGGGCTGTTATTATTAGTATTCTACCTGGGACCATACAAGAGGTGTTTTTCGCAAGGGCCACGAAGTCGTCCGCTTTCCTCCCATCTTGCTTAATTGCTCAATATCAGATAGCGCTGATACTTCGACGATGCTTGGTTGGTCAGTCGATTCTCGCTACTACTAATACTAGTCGACGGTGTTGACTTCGATAAACTGCTCTACTAGGATCAATCGTGTACGCTTTGCTGTATCCGGCGTGCGCAATCGCAGTGGGTTATCTCCATTGTTATGTGTAATTTAGTCTCACTATATTGCGCTAGTTGTCAGCGTCGCGCAACGTGCCGCGCATGCTGCTGGTTCGTACATACGCGAGACCAGCGCATACCAGCGAGGCAAGCGAAACTACATGTTTTGTTTGAAGTGTCAACTGAATTCCGGCTTAGTGAGGCCATATGTTGAACCCGTCTTTGACAGGATTTATTCTTGGATATTGAATGCTCGTCATTGCTGTGCGTGTTCAGCTCTGTAGTTATGATCCAGGAGCGCCCGCTGACAGGTTTACAGATCAGCAATGGTGCGAGAGGCACCCCATTCTGGCTAGCACCGTTAATACTACTCTATTTATACTGCGTGTTGTGGCACCCTTTTTCGTTACCCACCCAGCCGGAGTCGCTCTTCTGACCATTATGGGAGGGATAGCAATGCTGCTATCAACTTGATACATGGAAGGCATGTACGTATATGTGCAAAGGTCGTATTCCCTCGAACTAGCTTTATTGATGTAGTCCTTGGTCTAGTTATGTGATGCGTAGTAACCACATCTAGTTCCCCACGACATATGAGATAGATATTATATGATATCGGTACGTCTTTGTACCCAATTGGTCCATGCACCAACACATTGTTCCTTGCTTGTGGCCTTGGAATTGATCTCTTCGACACTGAAATAGACCATAGTATGTCGTTTGGTAGCTCGGTAATGCCCACTTGCTCCCTTATCCCACCGCACTTTTACTGATGAGAACGCTCGGTCAAGATGGAAGTTGCGTGTACTAACACAATCGGAAGACAGGCTTCTTGCTCGCTAGTCGCTTTCTTGCGGCCTTCTGACATCATTCATCATTGTCCTCTGCACCACCAGGCCTTCCTACTGGACGATTTGTTAGATCCCAATCACATACACGTCTCTTTTGGCTCAATGGTTGCTATTCCAAGTGGCAGTAGATCCCTCTTGAAGCTAGCTTCCCTCCTAGCACAGCTTCGCCTTACCTTTTTCAAGAAAGATGAATCGCAATCGAGGCTCGCTAGACGCTGAGACTATGAGTATTCTATCTTGGTGCATACAAGAAGCTTCCATCGAGCGATACTTTTTACGTTGCCTCTTTTCTCTTTGTTCTCACCCTCGAGTCGGTCTTTGTCACTGCGCATACAGCCGAGAACGATGTTTAGGTCATTGGCTAGAAGGTAAGCATTGGCACGAGTACTTCGACGGTGTCAGGTTTTTACTCTCTATCTAGCTTCAACCGCCTTCGAGACGCCGTCAACACCGTCGTAACCGCTGTCTATCGTCGCGGTGAGCTAACTTTGCGGACCTGTGGAGTTTATGCCTACTGTATAGCTAGTCTCCAGCGCCGCGAGGCAGGCAACGCAGGCCGCGACATCGTCTGTGCGTCAAACCAGGGCCTATCAGCGAGGTGAAAGAAAACGCCTTGTCAACTCTGAAGGGCCAGTCTGACCTCTTTTCTCGCGTAGCAAGTGCCATCGTGACACCAGTTGTAGACGCGGTCTCGTCGTACGTGTCCGGGATATGCGAAAGCTGTACGTGTCTCGTCACCGCTTCTCTCCCACATACACTGTACGGCCTCTGAAACGTTCAGCCGCTAACTGAATTTAATGACAGACCGTAACTGGTGCCTCCAGCACCCAGTTTTGGCTCGAATCATCAGATGGATATGCATCGCCCTAGTCACCGCAGCGTTCGTCTATCTGGGGTTCTCCACCTTCGTGGGCCTGCTACATGCCTTGGGCTGGGGCTCCGCCGGTGTCTCCGCCAGATCGATTGCTGCAGGACTGCAGTCCGCATACTGGGGAGCATTCACCGGCGGCATCTTCTCGGTCCTGCAAAGCTGGGGTGCTACACTGATGGTGTCTGCGGTATGGGCATTGCTCTCGGCCGTGATTGTAGCAATCTGGCTTGCTTTGCGGAGGCGTAGTAGGCCGTATGGGTCTGGGTTCGGACACGGCGGGCCGAGTAATGGACCTTATGGTGGGTCAGACGAGGAGCTTCCGTTGTGGGACAGAGGTGGAGAGTGTAGCTAATGCTTGAGTGTATCTTGATCTGTGCATTGAACATTTCGGGCAGTGTATAATTAACTCTTTGTTCTTTCTGCGGCAATCGATCTGTGAAAAACACTGCTTCTCCATCTATGAACCGGAACGATGGACTGGAGAACATTGGGAATACTTGTAGCGGAGTTAAGGTGTATTAAACCGTCTACGAGGTTCGTCCTCTTCGTGTTAGCATAATTTAATGGCATAAAAATTGCGGATCACTCTGGATTAGTAGCCATGAGAGCCCTCGACCAAATTCAAATTGGACACCTTGTCGAACTCGAATGTGAACTCAAAGACGGAATGTTCCTTAAATTGGTGGTTTCCTTCGAATCTAAGTTGAACCTTGCTATCATCGAGGTTTGCGCCATGAGTCGAGGCGTGTTTTGCATTTCGGCCCAGCTTTCCTCTTATTCGCATCCCTTTATAGCTGCAGGACTACCAATTGCCTTCTCGCAGCATTCTGTCTTCGTTCATCTTTTGTCGCCCCGATATGCGTTCAGGATGTCATTCTTCGAGTTCGGCGCATACAAGAGACGTCTGATGTAGAGTCCACTAAAACCGTCGTCTCATTTTGCCTTCCCTCTTGCTTGGTATCCTTCCTTTGATTCGTTCGGCCACCTTTGAGGAGAATATTTGACTGGTCGTAAGTCTCGCTATGATGACTCGATGACTCTGGTCGGCTTGACACTTTGCAGAGCCTCAACCGTGTTTGCACCGTCGCAGACAGCGCATGCTAATGCAGTGAGTTAGTACTTCTGGAAGTTGCTTCTGGCTGTGTCTTATCAATGGAATCAGGTGCTAGTGTCGCAGATCAAGCAACGACCGCTGTCATCTCGTCTTTCTATCAAATACGAGTAATACACCAGCGCGGTGAGGGGTACATGTTTAAGGCATGGAACCGGGATGACTAATTTGTCGGGAACAGCTGTTCAGAAGCAGGTCAAACTTGTAGATATGGTCTGTTCATATTTGTCACAGACTCGTGCACATGAAGGCTGTATGTTTTGGTTTATTTGCACATTCATATGAGGAGCTCATGGTCAATAACTGCTTCATAGACCTTTTTTGGTGTTTCAAGTTTTCCAAATTAGCGTTGGCCATCGGACTCGTTCTCCTCTGCCTGATGGGTGTGCTTTGCTTCCGCGTAGCATGTGCTTCATTTATATTCCTGTTCAACGTCTTGGGTTGGAGCGTTGGCTGGGACTCAGCGAGCCCTAGCGAGTCTTTCCGTCGGCTCATCTTCGCCGAGGTTGCATTGTACGCAGGAGGGGTTTTATTCAAGTATCACTGGAGCTGTTTGATGGAGCTGAACGTCCGCCACCATACATTCCGCGGGGGTGCTACTGCCAGTAGTCGTTGCAGTAGCTCAGCACTGGCACTTCGTGGGGTCGGAAGTTAGAAGTGGCGAAGCTAGTTCTTACGAGTGGACTGACGGTTAACTCTTACTATGCTAAAGTGATAGAGCGTAAAAAAATTGAGCCTTACGTATAGCATGCTCAACGTGTTGACGTGTGGTGGATTCGGAGCAAACGCGTCTTGTAACTACTAAAGAATCGAGAGCTGTTGTGTTCGTATACTATAGGCTGGCCAGAGGGATGCGCTGTGCAGAGATCCGGTGCTGAAAAGGGTTCCAGTCGGGTATTTTTGGGACATTATCGCTGCTTGAAAGCGCTGTGGCGCTCGCGAGCGCGAGTGCAGTGCGGGTGCCTGATTTCTTGGGCGGAGCCGCACAGAGTCGCACTGATTGGTTCGGGAATTGCTTTTAGGTACGTATCTACAACAAAAGTACAGAGAGTTCAGGGAAAGCTCGGCTTGACCGACAGCTTCGGGTGGATATCCATCGCGGCGCAGATCAAAGTGCGTGAAATTATTTCGAAGCTACGCTACCGAGAATCTCCATGAGGAAATTTGGCACTGCTGGTGGATTATAATAGTATGAGGTGACCTCGGAAAGGACAACACATACACTCCTACACTGACACATGACGAAAGTGGATCATTGCCCTGATTGCTTTGAAGGGCGAGCTTCTCGTGTCATTAGCACTGATATGTAGCCAAGGTGTAACAATACTTCCCTAAAGAAGCTCTGCTTCGTGAATCAACATCTGATGTCGTACTCTTCTTAAGAAAGAGGTGTTGATATGGAAGCTAGATAGACGCTCGGGCTGTTATTATTCTACTTTATCTAGGAGCATACAAGAGGTGTTTTTCGCAAGGGCCACGAAGTCGTCCGCTTCCCTCCCCTCTTGTTTAATTGCCACTCAATATCCGATAGCACTGATATATTCGACAATGCTCGACTGGTCAGTCAATTCTCGCTACTACTGATACTTCGACGGTGTACACTGACTTTGATAAACTACTCTAGGATCAATCGTGCTCGCTTTGCTGTAGCCAGCGTACGCAACCGCAGTGGGTTATCTTCATTGTTCTATGTCATTTAGTCTCACTATGGCGTTAGTTGTCAGCGTCGCGCAACGTGCGGCGCATGCCGCTGGTTCGTACATACGCGAGACCAGCGCATACCAGCGAGGCAAGCGAAACTATATGTTTTGTTTGAAGTGTCAAGAAGTGCCTACTGAATTCCGGCTCAGTGAGGCCATATGTTGAACCTGTCTTTGATAGGGTTTCTTCTTGGGTATTGAATGCTCGTCATCGCTGTGCGTGTTCATCTCTGCAGTTATGGTTCAGGAACGCACGCCAACAGTTTTACAGATCAGCAATGGTGCGAGAGGCACCCCATTCTGGCTAGCATCGTTAATGCTACTCTCTTTATACTGCGTGTTGTGGCACCCTTTTTCGTTACCCACCCAGCCGGAGTCGCTTTTCTGACCATTGTGTGCGGGATAGCAATGCTGCTATCAACTTGATACATGGAAGGTATGTATATGTGCAAAGGTCGTATTCCCTCGAACTAGCTTTATTTATGTAGTCCTTGGTCTAGTTATGCATAGGGGGAGTAGCCTAATAAGTTCTCAGAACTTCTTCTGGAAATATTGTGGATGCCGTTTAATTAAAATTTGCCAGGACAGTGATACTTGTTTTGGAACTTACCAGGGACATATTTTGAGTAAGTTCTGGCAATTTCCCCTTGACACGGGCAATTTTGCCATATAGGGTAATTCACTCAAAATATGTCGCCGCTAAGTCCCAAATAAGTATTGCTTTTCCTGCATAATAAAACAAAAATACGTCTTCAACAAGTCCACCCTAAGTCCTAAGAGCTTATCGGGCTATTCCCTCTGTGTATGTGATGCGTAGTAACCACATCTAGTTCCCCACGACATATGAGACAGATTATATGATATCTGTACGTCTTTGTACCCAATTGATCCATGCACCAACGCATTGTTCCTCGCTTGTGGCCTTGGTATTGATCTCTTCGACACTGAAATAGACCATAGTATGTCGTTTGGTAGCTCGGTAATTTGCTCTGAAGACCATGGTGTACATGGTGTCGGGATCCGAGGATGCACCACCTTTGAAGCGGATTGGACGACTGGAGAAGGACGGACAACGGGAGAAGGGATGACGAAGATGGAAGCTAGGACGGGAGAAGAGAAGGAGTATTGGTGGAGCAAAAGCGAAGCAAGCGTGCAGGAAGCAGGAAAAGGGAAGCAGGAATTGTAAGTACTGTGGTGGTAAGCCGGCTGCTACAAAATCTGACTCGGGCATATAGGTTCTCTTTTTAAGCACATCGTTTCAAATACGAGGCTTCACAGGCGGCTCAGACTGTGAGTGTTCTTTTTACTCATTTGCTTGTAACGTCTCAGGATCACTATAAAGTGAATCATGGTGTAAAGGCCGTCTATCCTTCCCTTCTTCTCATTCACCGTCTGTAAAGTGGGTTAGTCCAACACATACAGCTTCGGAGAACCACTAACTGTGTGACAAGGGCTAGCTAAGGTCCCATCAAATTTCCCGCAATAAACAGAAAGTTTCAGACGCGGTTAGTGTCGATAGAATAACCTTTATCATGACTGTCACGCTGAATCTACTGTGGATATACGCGTCTGCCTCCAGACAAGGCAACCATCATGGTCACGATGATAGCTATGATCGTAAAATTCATAGTGTGGTTGGTTCGCTTGTTGGGGTGGGGCGCCGCGGGCGTCGCCCGAGGCTCGTGGGCTGCTGGAATCCAATCGTTTTTTTATGGTGCGTGGACCCGGGGTTTTTTCTCAGGCTTCCAGTCCTTCGGTGCTAGTATGTAAGAAGTAAGTGCTTTAGACGTTTCACGCTTGAAATGAAAGCTGAAACAATGCCAGTTGCCTCTTGACCTGTCAAAAAAAGACGAGGTGAACGAGTTTCCGACAGCCTGACCAGTATATTGCCGCGAATCCATCTCGTTTTGTCGTTTTATGTTTCTATGTTTGGTTGACGAAGAGAAGTGCTATTGAAATGTAGTGGTGTCTATGAACCTTTCTTGCATGCTTGATCTTCGTCACCGAAAACCGGCCCGTAACGCCTCCTACTGGTTATATTAGTTTCGCTCACAGTCATTCGTCGGATTTTCCGAGCTTCAGGCCCACATACAGCGCTTGTTAGGCACTCAGAGCTTATGTGAACAGCTCTCCATATTTGGTCCCGGATTGAGCATCTCGACACGTCGATTCTAAAGTCTGTAAAGGCCGGTGGTACCATGTGTTAGCGTTCACTCGTAACCAGGCGGGACCACTCTCATCTTTCCCTACCATCTGCATCTGAGTTGAAATTCACTCGCCGATACGTGCGGATGCCGTGCTAACACTCTACAACTTGGTACCTTGACCTCTTTTCCTATTCGTTCTTAGCTAAAGGATCTGTCACCGTGTAAATGGGGGCGTCCAGTCGTAGCCATACACAAGTCAGTGTCGCCACCGGCGTCAATCTACTTATTAGCGCACAGCCCCGCCTCGGCACTCGCCGCGCTGCCAGCGAAAGGTTTTGCACTTGGACGCATGCTGTCTGGCCATCGTTGATTTTAGGAACATTCGTGCAGCTTTCGGCGTTAACTATTGGTATTCTGAACTCTGCTCCGCTTCCGTCGCCCGCGCTTACAAGTCGGGTTTCGTGGTGTTTGTTTCGACTGGAGGTCAGTTTGCTACGTATTTCTGACTGTTCCCACCTTATTGACATCCTGCAAGTTCTTGGTTTCAGAACATTTTTCCCCTTCCCCTGAGGTTTGACTGCATGTATATTCCCGTCCTTAGCTCGCATGGCGGGGTACAAGAGTTCACGGATCTCAAAACTCTGGACCTGATGCAATTGTCATGCACATGTCCAATCGCAAGCCTACTGAAATCTGTATAACTGGTGGCGAAATTTCCGTCGTACATCCACATCTGCTCGGTTGATGCTCGGTGTTTTACGACGCCAAAACCGCTCTAAAAATATAGTCTAGCCAAACAATTCTGCAATGTACGTGACCACCACGCCACACGGGGATCATAGTCGCGCTCACTAGGAATGCAGACTCAAGTCGCATGCGATGCCCCGCCAGCTCAGAGGTTTTATTTCGCATCGCGGACTGATAACCAAAGGCACTAGACAAGGTATAAAAGGGAAAGAAAACGACGCTGTATCTCAAGTTCAACAACTCTCCCGTTCAGAAATCGTTCAACATTCGACTCTCACATCGAAGCTTACCGATTTACTCTAGAAACAGCGACATCAGTCTCATAACTTTATCAACCCATCTAACGATGCGTGCCTCATTAACCTCTCTTCTTGCCCTCGCCATCGTCGTCGGTCTCACTGCCGCTGCCCCCGCTGAGGAAGCGAAACTGCAGCGTCGCTTCACAGACCAGCGTATGACCTACTATTACCCCGGCGTTGGCGCGTGCGGATACACCAACACGGACACCCAATATGTGGGTATTTAATTCCTGATGCCGTACGCATCCGAGCTGAAAGGTCGTGTTTGTTACTAAAGGTTGTCGCTTTGAACCCTACGGTGAGCACTCGCTGTAATTGCATCCGCAACCGTACGACAGCTAGCGCGGCGTTTTATAGGATTACGCCAACGGAGCAAACTGCAACAGGTCCCTCACTATCACGTACCAGGGCAACTCTGCGATTGCGACTGCCGTTGACTTGGTACGCACCTGTTACATACCTTCAGCTCCAAATCTTCATTTAATGTGCTCCCTGGTTTTCAGTGCCCAGGATGCGCGGCAGATGGGCTGGATTTATCTCCAAGCCTCTTCGAGGTCTTTGCTGACCTTAGTGTCGGTGTCATCTACGCTGACTGGAGCTGGGACTAAATGAGGTGCATGGCTCGAGTCAGGGACCCCGCAGTTCGGAATACGTCCGGAGTTCAGAGGTGTTGGAGGTGTTGGTTTTTTCCTGTTTATTCTTGTGTTTCTTGGGTGACCCTCAACGGTCAAATGTGTGCAGTACTGTACTTGAATTAGGGTGATATGAGTCGCTGGGCGACCTGCTTTATTGATATATCTTGGTGTCATCGAAGTGTGCCTCAGCTAGTGAGATCAGTGTGGGAATCAAGTCAGCCGACTTGGTAGCCCACCAGAGTCGGACGACGTAAATCAGCTATGTTAAGAACGAATTGTATATGGCCAGTATATTTGGTGAAATTTCCACGTACAGAAACTTCTACAGACACCGAGATCGTCATGCATGACTATGTCCCGAGAATCTGGTGTACAGATACATTCAAATTCGCCTGAAATCGTCATGGATGATTCACTTTCAGTTGTCACTCGCGACTTCCTGCTGCGGTTATGGAGCGGAGAGAACATGGATTTGACTGTATGGTTCGACACCGGTTCGTTACAGTATTGAAGAAGTATGGATGTTGACCTTTAGCAGCTTCGATAGGCGTTAAAAGCCGCGGTATGTCAAGCTCGCGTTAATCCATAGCTCCCCGCGTCTCATTCCTCCTAGACCGGCGGCTTCATTATCTTATATACACAAAAATGCACTCCTCTTTCACTTCCCTTCTGGCTCTCTCCATTGTCTTGGTGTCTACTGCAGCAGCACCGCATAGTCACTCAGACCAACTCATGCGTCGTTTCTCGGGCCAGCGCATGACTTACTACACCCCCGGACTCGGAGCATGCGGCGATACCGATACTGCCAGTCAATATGTACGTAACCCAGTCATACCCGAGAATTTAGCCTGAATTGTGGCTTCTGCCGTTGGGAAAGGTCGTTGCTTTGAGCCCTGAGGTCAGCATGTACTCTGCTGTATCTGTATCTGTTGATGGTATGACGACCGACACCACATTTATTATAGGTCTACGGCAGTGGAAGCAGCTGCGGCAGCTCCATTACAATCACCTACAACGGCAACTCCGTAGCTGCAACCGTCGTCGATAAGGTGCACGCCTAATCTAAACTCTCTGTTGAAGATAAATGCTTAGCTTCTGACTTGTTTTCAGTGTACTGGATGTTCAGGAGACGAGCTGGACCTGTCTCAAGGGCTATTTGAATGTTTTGCCGATGCCAGCGTTGGTGTAATTTATGGCGAATGGGAATGGAACTGAGGTCCGAGGCTGGGGTATCATATTTAGAGCGAATTTATTCGGATTACTGTGATTACGTGCCAGTAACACTCTCATAGAATTTTCCGTTGTCTGAACGACTTTCAACGGTCATCTGTACATCCTGTGTTAGTATCGTACTCGTACTTGCGCAGTATAGCAAGGGTCGCTGGCGACCTTTTATTGATACAACTTCGTGCTAGTGCTTGAGCGCACTGGAGTGCGCGGAAACGCAGATTTCGTGCTTCAGGTTTGCGATGAGCATCACTTGCGTAGAACATCGTATTTTCCCTCAAAACTCCGATATGGATCAGCTTTAGCGTGAAATATGAAACCAATCTGGTTTAGTAGCAAACGGAATACAAGTAGGTGCCTACGGGCCCTGAGCGGTTTTGTGAACAGAGAAACACTCTATATCAAGATTTGTTTCGAATGTGATAATGAGGCGATATGATTTCACCTAAATTCTACAAGCGCTTCAAACACGATGGCTACACGTTGTTAAAACCAAAATGGACCAAGTAACATCTTCGATGCTCCCATTTCAGCGAAAGAAGTCCGGTTTTCGTTGCGCAGATCTCATCTGTGGAGCTTTTCGCTGCCCTCTTTCTATTCGATTGGAAAGGCGGCCAAACAAAACACGTTTTATGAGGCGGTCACCTGTCTGCTTTTAATAAAGCTCACGGTGCCGTGTTCCATTGCAAAGAGACGCCTTAAAAGTTCTCAGCCTTGCGCCATCATCCCTGTGCCCGCTCTACTTTCTCCCTCCCTCCCATTCAATGGGCTCCATACAATCAGTTGTCAGCACTGTGACTCCAGCTCTTGCAGCTGCTTCAAGCGCTGTTTCAAACCTTCTCAATGCCATACGATCCATTCTACCCGGCAGAAACCCGACGATCTTTAACATCGAGGAATCTAACAGGCTCCATCGTGAAAGGGAGCAGAGAGAGCGCGCCGCACACGCTGCAAGGGAGGAAGCGGACCGGCTTAGGCGAGAAGCAGAGGCAGAGGCTCGGAGAGCGGAGGAAGCGAAGTTGGATAGGGAGCGTAAGAGACGGGAGGCGGAAGAAGCGCGAGAAGAGAGGCGGATAAAGACGGCGGAGGCTGGAGATGTCGTTTCTGCCACTGAGGATATGGCAGGAGACGCTCTAGGAGAGATGGAGGACAAGAAGAATGAAGCCGAAGGGCCGTCGGATATCGCCGAGGGTGTGGTCGAAGAAGCGCCAGGCCTGCCGCAGCCCGCCCCATACCAAAACCAAGATAGCCGCGTGGAAGTAGCAAGGCAAGCGGCTGAGGCTGCATTGCAGACAGCTGAGGAAGAGACTCGACAGGCGAATGCCGCTAAAGAGGAAGCGGAGGAGCTGCTTCGGAAGGGCATCCAACCCATCGTTATGCCTACTGTAGCCGAGCTCCAGGAAGCCAAGCGCAAGGTCGAGTACAGAGAGGGGATGTACCACTTTGCCGTCGCTGGTAACGCAGGGAGCGGCAAGTCGTCGCTCGTCAATGCCCTGTGCGGGCTGCGAAACCGTGCTAAAGGCGCAGCGAAGACGGGAATCACGGAGACAACGCTGCGCATGTTTCGCTTTCTGGATCCGAACCCACAGAACCGTTTTGTCTGGTACGATGTTCCTGGTGCAGGAACGCTTCAGGTTCCCGACTGGCAGTACTTCAACAACCAAGCCTTATACGTGTTCGATGCGCTCATCGTCCTCTTTGACAATCGGTTTACGGAGACGGATATTGCCATCCTGAGCCATGCCCGTCTTTTTAAAATTCCGTGCTACATCGTACGCTCGAAAGCAGACGTGCATATTGGAAATTTGGTCAAGGAGATGGAGGAGATGGAAGACGAAGACGTAAAAGAAGACGAAGACGACTGGGAAGGGATCGACGACCCGGAAGGGAGGAAGCGCAAGGCCAAGAATGATTTCGTACGGGGGACGAGGAAGAACGTGCGCGAAAACTTGGAAACGGCGGGCTTGCCCGATCAGAGGGTATACATCGTCTCCAATGCGACTTTGCGCACGTACGTCGTAACCCAAGGGGGAGATTCGACGGCCTTGAACAAGGCTTGGGAGGATGTCATTGACGAGGTCGACTTTGTACACGATGTTTTGGGAGACGCATGGAAGCGTAGGGGAAAGGTTAGCGAGGAGAGTGAGAAAGGAACTCCCATGACCATCGCTAGCAGCTGGGGTGCAGCGCTAGCTATGTAAATATCTGCTGGCAACTATTAGTCCGTATAGTGTGTATAGCTACTGTAGTTGCGTACCTGTACAAGGTTCGTTACAAAAACGTATCCCGTATCCTGGGCCAAAATGCGGAAGATCGGGAGGAAGCCTGAACGTGGAAAAAGGTTAAGGCGTAGTTTGCCCGCTAAGGGCCCGTTGGGTCTAGAACATTGAGCATTCCTAGGCGACTTGAGTGTGGCATGGAACTTCTCTACCGAACAGTCTCTCGGGGATCATAGCGCTGGATGGGCTCGATCATGAGGCAGTAACGGCTAAGTTTGTTAGACGCTCAGATAACGTCGTACTTTGGCGCTCAACCGACAAGAAATGTACCGCATTGGAACGTGATTGGGCTGGAGCACGCCACATTTCGGATCCACACAGCATACTGGTTCCATCCAGAAAGTCTTGGTCGGTCTTCTTTGATCGTGTACCTATTCTCCTTCTCGCGATTGGATGGACGGCCATGTCTTCGTGTGGCCGCGGCGCAAACATGCGTTTTCCTGCCGTTATGAACATAACACCCTAACCCTGCCAGCCGCTTTCCGCCGTCACATAACAAGGCGTACATTTGAAGGTTTTCTCCTGTAATCCCACCTCTGACTCGATGGGCGCCGCTGTCTCAGTCATCGTCCCCCTCGCTACAGCCGTCGTCGGTATCATATCCAGCCTCCGGTCCAAACCTGCCGGAGAAAATCCCACCCACCACGATATAGAGGCGGCGAACAGGCTCAGAGCCGATCAGGAAAAACGTGAGCGAGAAGCCCAAGCAGCCAGGGAAGAGGCAGATAGGCTCGCGAGGCAGGCAGAGATGGAGGCTCAGCGAGCCCGAGAGGCGCATGCTGCCATGCAAGCTGCGCAGAGAGAGGCGGAGCGCATCAGGTGGGAAGCCGAAGAAGCACGTGTTGCTGCTGAGCACGCGGCTGAAACTCAGCGACACGACGCGCAGAGAAGGGAGCAGGAGCTGATGGAGGAGGCGAGGCGGGCGTCCGAGGCAGCACAGCAGGAGGCGATGCGTCAGCAGCAGCTCGCTGTGGAGGAGAATAGGCGGGCGGCTGAAGCTCAGCGCGCTGCAGAGGCCGCTGCACGAGTAGCCGAGCAGGAAGCGCGTGCGGCGCTCAAGGCGAAGGAAGAGGCAGAACGACAGCTCCGCGAGGGCATCCAGCCTGTTGTCATGCCTTCCCAAACAGACCTCGAGGACGCTAAGCGTCGCATTGGATACCGCGAGGGGCTGTATCACTTCGCCGTTGCTGGCATCGCGGGGAGCGGCAAGTCGTCGCTCATAAATGCCTTGCGCGGGTTGCGCAACCGAGACGCAGGTGCAGCTGCGACTGGTATCACCGAGACGACTTTGCGTGTTGCTCGCTTCCCGGACTCGGACCCGAAGAACCCGTTCGTTTGGTACGACATCCCAGGCGCGGGCACCATGCAGGTGCGGGACTGGCAGTACTTCAATCAGCAGGGGTTATACGTATTCGATGCCCTCGTCGTTCTCGTCGACAACCGCTTCACCATGACGGACGTCGCCATCCTTCGCAACGCGCGCCTCTTCGGGATTCCGTGTTACATCGTTCGCTCTAAAGCGGATGTGCACACGCGCAACGTGATGATTGAGATGGGTTATGATAGCGATGACGACGAGCAGGATGCGAGCACTCGCTCTACACTTGAGTATGCAGCCAGGGATCACTTCATCGGAGCGACGAGGCAGAACGTCCGGGAGATCCTACGCGCGGCGGACTTGCCCGAGCAGCGGGTGTACATTGTGTCGAACTCGACGATGCTCAGCGTGACCAAAGGAAACGTCACGACGAAGGTGGGGAAGAAGATTATTGACGAGTTCGAGTTCCTGCAGGACTTGTTGGGCGATGCATATAAGCGTAGAGGTAACACAAAGCCCAAAGGGTCGCCTGGCAAAACCCCATAACCTGCCAAACAGTGTGAAGGCTTAGTTTGGAGCATTGTTGAATGAATCGAAGACGTGTTACAGTCGTTTGCTTGCATAAGGGCCTGTTTTTTTTGTAGTATCTTGATAGCACGCTACGTAGCCCACGTATGTCTTCGCAAGTACATTGGTCTGTACCCACGTTGGACCTGCTCGCATGCTTGTGAGGAGAAAAAAAATCGGCAAATGCCGAGACGGAACAACGCTTGCCACTTCGACGCTCAGCCTCTTTCCGTGAATCGTCCCCCTCTCTGAATCAGCCCTCATTTCTTGTGTTCTCTCTATCACATCGATATCATCGTGAGCTACAGCTGAAGCATCCAGTGATCATCTCACTGGGGCATTCCGTCACGCCAAGTTGGGGTCGTCACCAGCGCCGGGTTGCATCTCAACGCATGGGCACCGGCCACGTTGCCAACCAATGTACTACACAGTACTCTCGGCTTCAGCATTTACCATCGGTCTTTTAGGGTGTTCTCCGTTTTCGTCATCCGCGCTCATCGACCATTGTGGCCGACACTCTTATATTTTGGTGAGGCTGGCATAGTCTAAAATGTCTGGCTATTCCCGCGTTTACAGAAAGAAACTCCAGTCACTACACACAATACTATGCAAGCTGAAAACTGGCAACCATCCATGGCAACGCTAGACAGAACTACACCATCCTGCTAGAAAGAGCCTTTGCTATCTGTCTTTCCTCCGGGTCTACGCTCCTGCGCTTTGCTGAACAACTCCGTCAAGAAGTCAAATTCGTCGATCATCTCCCCCATCTCGGTGCTCGTAACGTTTCCCGTGATGGCGCTGAGCAGTGTTAAACTCGACACAATGTACACACGCTGCTCGGGCAAGCCAGCCGCGCGCAAGTTCTCCTGTGTACTCTCCCTCATTGCGGTAACGAATTGATCTCTGGCGGCACGCTCGAGAGTCGAGAGCGTCTTCGCTTCGCTGTCGCTATCGTAGCCGTTATCACTCATTATCTCCCGGATACGCTGGTCCGCTTCGGAGTGAACAATGTAGCAAGGGATATTGAACAGGCTTGCGTTGCGGATGACGGCAATGTCGGTCTTAGTGAAGCAATTGTCGATGAGGACAATGAGAGCGTCGAAAACATAAAGGCCTTGGTCGTTGAAGTATTGCCAGTCACGGACTTGAAGCGTGGCCGCGTCTGGAATGTCGTACCAGACAAAGGGATTCCTCGGGTCTGAGTCGGGGAACTGCGTTTCGCGGAGGGTGGTCTTGATCCCCGTTGCAGAAGTTGCACCATCATCGCGGTTTCGCAATCCGCGCAGAGCGTTGATGAGGGATGTTTTCTTGCTACTAGCGGTACCCGCAACGGCGAAGTGGTATACACCCTCGCCGTATTTGATGCGACGCTTTGTATCCTCGAGGTCTGCTGTGGAGGGCATAACAAACGGATGGACCGTCTCTCTTAGCTTTTGCTCCGCTTCAACATTTGCCTCCAGTGCGGCGCGTGCTTCCTTCTCTACGGCTCGTGCAGCTGTCCCTGCAGCGCGCTGAGCTCCAGCAGCGCGCGCCTGTTCCTCTGCTGCTCGCGCAAGTGCCTCTGCCGTACGCTGAGCTTCATCGGCTCGCTTGTGCAACTTGTCCGCGACCTGCTGCTGACGCACTGCCTCTTGCTGAGCCTCCTCGGCCACCTTCCTGGCACGTTTTGCCACCGCCTGCGCGGCCTGCATAGCCACCTGCGCCTCCCGAACACGCTGGCCCCCCATCTCGGCCTCCCTCGCCAGCTCATCTGCCTCTTCCCTGGCTTTTCGCTCCTCCCTTTTGAGTTTCTTCCGCCGCTCTAGTATTGCGTTCGCTTCTTCTACTGCAAGGTGTGTCGGATTGTCGCCTGCGGCTTTGGATCGAATGGAAGCTATGAGGGTGGGAATGATGAGGGATGCCATCCCTGAGACAACACCGCCCATTGCTGTAGTGGCTGGTCTAACGTTCGAGGGAAGAAAAGGGGAGAAAGGTAGGATAGGAAATAAGAAGCGGAGAGTATGGCAGGATATAGGTGTTTTCACTGAGGTCTGGGTACGGTACATTTGGGGTGCTTATATATTTTGAGAGAACCCGCGAGGCAAAGCTGAGTCGGAGTGAAATAGACGAAAGGAGCGTACGGGTCGATTTGCATTAATGCGTACAACAATGAAAAGCCAGAATGGGAAGGAGGACAAATGAGTACAAAAGTTTAAGTAACGAGTAAGGTCGAAGAGATCAGGATCGAAGCAGGTACGGTTGATGTGATAAAGGTGGAAGCGGCAGAACAGGTCAAGGTGGGTAAAGGTTGAAGCAGGGCACATTTTGACCATGCATGCCATGTTGAAGCGGTGGCGCTGTGAGCGCGCGGTCCAGGCGCACCCGAAGAGCGTCCCTTACAGAGCTAAGGTTGAAAGAAGATTATTCAGGTAGTAGCAGGATTCAAGGTTTCGGGTTCTAAAGCCTGAACAGCAGGAAAAATCGTGTTTGCGTCAGGGCCATATAAATTTATGCTATCTACACAAATCCCATAAGTAACATGCCTCGTTCAAACCATGTTTTGTCAGTGTTTAGGTACTGTAATAGTTATCGATGCACAGTACTTGGCACCAGACTTTTGAACAATCTACGACGTGAGTTACTCTACGACTCTGCCCCAGCGCCTTGCCCAGCGCTCTTATGGAGCCACCAAAGATCGCTCAGTCGGAGTTGATGCAAATGAGGACCAAACTGGAGACCTCCCCGAGGATATAGGCCGTCTAGTTATTCTTCGTGCATGTCGTTCGCGGAGTTCCGTCAGAAAACGGCACGTTGAAATCATGTGAGATATGCCTTACACTGGCACGAGGAGGGAACGAGGATCATGTAGCTGCCATCTCTAAGACTGCGAAATTACGGGTAGCTACCTCGAGGTCAAGCCAGCAAAACTTTGAGAGGCCTGTTGATATTTGGTATGACTTCAATGTGATGAGATTGGTAAAAAGGCTGGCAATATTAAAGACTGATGCACTGATTTTGAGTGGTCGAGTGCTTGTTTGAGTGTGTGTCCGGAAGACCTGTGTCGACATACCTTCGGAATATGCCGAGCGAAAAATGTCGCGTCGCGTGAGTTGCCCCAATGGCCTGGCACAAACCTTCATGATCGATGATCTCTTCATGGCTGTATTCTACTGACCCCGGCTACAGGGCGATGAGGAACACTCTTCTTCACCTCGGCAATTATAGCTAAAGGTCATATCTCCTCGACTATTCCTCAAGAGGCGATGTCAGACCTACCTGTAGTGTTATATCCGGACTCGAATCAGTATGGCTATCGCACGGGGCTTGGGCAGCCTCTCCATCGAAAACTCATCGCCTGTCGTGGATTTGGTCTCGCTCTGAAGTCTATAATCTAGGCTGACAACCGACATTCGTTCTCGGCGCGGCGTTTCCGCACTTAAGTGGTGCCTCGGTCGTAATACAGCGACACTCGTCATGATCAGCACGAAGCGTACTCCCGCAGCAAGGTGGAGCTCTCGGCCTGATCCTGTCGCACAGAGAATTCAAACTTGTTGCAGCTTGTTGCTTTGATATCTCATCATGACTCGTTTACCGATCGCAGGCACATCCTTAGAAGTCTCGGACAGAGTAAGGCACAGGAGATCTCTCCACCGGTCGGGGTCTCCATGTGCTCTGACAGGTTCTATCCATCTTCATGACGACGCGCAGGTACACATATGAGGTATAAAAACCGGACGCGTTCGTTTTTGTGCTGTTCAGTGTTCACGACAGCAGCCAGCTCTTGCATCCCCATCTCGTCTGTCTCAGTTCACGCCTAACGTCATGTTCTCCAAGACCCTCGTCCTCCTCGGTGCTCTCGGCCTCGTCAGCGCGCAGAGCTTCACAAACCAGAACATGACCCAGTTCAGTCCTTCGAACAAGACCCTCGCATGCGGTCAGACGCACTCTGATACTGAATACGTATGCTCATTCACCCTCTTTTGGAAAAAATACACGGAGATCCTGATGATTTGATGCGTGAAAATAGGTCGTCGCTCTTCAGGCTACTGTAAGTCATCCATTGATGATTCCAACCCTGCTACTTGTGAGCCCGCGCTGAATTACTCGCGCTACAAAGATCTGGAGCGGAGGTTCTCTGTGCAACAAGACCATCAACATCAGCAATGGCAAGGGTCTCTCTACGAACGCCACTGTGGTCGACGAGGTGCGTCTCTGCTCCCAGACTTGAATAATACCGGCTGTTAACATAATGCTTTCCTTGATGGCATCGTCAGTTCTTCACTGGAAACGCCGAGGACCTCGAGTTGGCGCCGAGCCTGTTCAGGTTCCTGACGGGACCCGGCGTCGACGTTCCCAACGTCGACTCGTTCTTGGCGGACTGGAGCTGGGTCAACTGAGCATATGGCTTCCGAGTCCGGGGTGCTTCGTCCCTGTTGTTTAGGTATCACCAGAGACCATTAGACGGGAGGACGCTTGATTTGGATAGCGGTGGAATATCCTCGTTATACCCACTCGATGGAGGTGGCAATTAGACTGTTTTGCAAGGTCCTGCTTTGGATGTATGGTATTAGATCTTGCGGTGAGCGCTGACTCTGCCACCGGTACTTGAGCAGCGTAGTTTTCCGGTCGCTCAGTCGCTCTCGGCTTGATGATATATGACAATACCGACGGCTTCTCTGCTCGGTGTTGGTGTCTCGTCAGAGGCGCCCTATCGAGCCACCATTTCCGAGTGGGCCCTTCAGTTTCCATGTCGTTGCATTGAGCTGCGTAAATCAACATCATCAGTGACAGCATAAGGAGTCCGCCATGGCGAAGAAACGGCACGTCATAGGTTTGTAAAGGCGAAGATAACATCGCAACCCTATATCATCGATGACTCACCTATGAGCGATACTGGCTTCGAGAATACAAAGAAACAGTCCTCGTGCAGATACGTATCCGCGGCCAAGCTCGACCCTCTCAATAGCAACTGCGGCGTCCGTTCCGAAGCTTGGAACACCTGCGGACGCCGGATTACTTCATCGGCGTTTGCCGCGTCAAACCTGTTTCTCCGAGTCTCCGATTGGTCTCCGACGTCGTACGGTACTTTGGCATTCCGTTTGCTTTCCGTCTCTCCACCATTGACCAGGACCATGCTCATCATCGCGCCATCGATTGTTTGGATCCGACTTTCCACACTGGGGTTCTTGCCAATAAGGCTCCGCGGATGCTTATAGAGGACTTGTAGAGGCACGATCAGAGTGCCGGGATACAAACATCGCCGTGCCCTAGCGCTCCGTCGCTCGACCGGCAACCCATCATTGCACCATCGCTCATCGACCTGGTACCATCTTCGTCGTCGCCCTGCTAACGTGACCATCTTTGTGCCATGGAGAACTTATGGACACTCTCGGCGACCCACAGCGCTCCAGGTCCCTGGTACATGCAGTGCGAAAGCCTGATTTGCGTCCCTCCTCGGGCCCGAGCTGCCCCTCAATCCGCTGGGGTGCTCTGGGTCTCCTCGGGCCTTGGCTCTTGACCTTAGTAAGGAACCAAAGGTTAATTCTCACTTAATGGGCAACTTTGATCGGCGACCTCGTCTCCGTCGAGAGCGTGGTTTCCGCTTCCGAACATACACCGTCGAGCACGTATTATAATGTAAGTACCCCTGGAGGCTCTCTCAGGACAATTGTCCCCATTATGTCCACTGGGACGACGACCTGGGATGGACATGCACCTGCTCGGCTTCCTGGTCTCGATGGTTGCGTGTTGCAGAAGGCACTCCGTACGCTGTCCTCGGCTTCTTCATTTTGTGGGGGACATCTCGAGGCTTCGACATATACACCCTCCAAGTTCTTCATTCAGAGATATTATATGGCGGAAGCGTACCTTAATGCTCCGCCACCCAGCACCCACCAGGGCAACACGCCAGCCTCCGACACTCCCGTGAGTAACCCCATAATTATCGCGCGACGCACTGCATGCAGCCCGCGGGGATCAAGGTCCCCGTTTGTTATTTCGTTTCCATGAGTCATGCCACAAACGGCGTGTTCTCCGCATGGCTTGTGCGTTTGTTTCATGGCAACTTCCACTGCTTTTCTGTTGTTTGTTTTCTCATTGGCTCCTCTGCCAGGGTGGTTTCCGGGAGCCGCTGGTGTATAAAAGAGCGAGGATATTGCGCGTAGGGAGGTGTCTGCACTTGTCCAGAACACGCGCTTAGGCTTGACGCCCCAGACACTACACCACCGCGACAAGTCTTCCTGCTTAGACGCGCTCTGCTCTACCACTACTCCGTATTCTTATCCTTCAACGCAGCGCGACACCAGCGCGTGTATACAGCCACCACACTAGACCTAGACCTAGAACGCGACAGAATGTACGCCCCCATCACCGCCACGTGGATCCTCCCCCTTTTCCTCTCCCTCCTCGCCCTGCTCGGCACGGCCCTTGGAGCACCGGCGCCTCTTGTCCTTCCCAGCGAGGTCGACGTTAAAGCTAACGCGAATGCGACCGCTACAGCGAAGAGCGAGCTGGAGAGCCGACAGTATTATTCGGAGCAGCGGCTTACTTATTATGAGCCTGGGCTGGGTGCTTGTGGGTGGGAGAGCACGGCTGACCAATGGGTGAGTCCGTGATTTTTGGATTTTGGATTTTGGATTTGGATTTGGGTGTGGCCTCGTGGCTACGGCGTTGTCTTGTTTCTGTTGTTTTGGGGGATTCGGGCGCTGACGGTGTTTTTTTGTGATATATTTAGGTCGTGGCGCTGAGCGTGGATGTGCGTGTTTTTTTTATTTTCCCCTGACTTTTCGCAGTGCGTGTTTTGTTCTGACGGTGCTGCAGATGTACGGCTCGGGCGGCTACTGCGGACAGAGTGTTACGATTAATTATAATGGGAACCAGCAGACTGCGACTGTCGTTGACGAGGTGAGCCTTCCCCCCAGTGTATGATCCTCATGTGTGAAGAAGCTGAGCCACGTTCGCAGTGCGAGGCGTGCCCGTACGGCGGGCTGGACCTCTCGCAGGGCCTGTTTGGGTCGCTCGCGGCGCTCGAAGTGGGCGTCATATACGGGAACTGGTGGTTCGACTAGACTAGAACGCGCCTGCATACCGTCGCTCCAAACATTATGAGTGGGCTGGAACCGCCACCATCAATATTAGAAGGCTAGATGCACAGCGCCGGAAAGCTGGGGCTTTTATTTTTTATGTGTCTTTTGTGTGTGTTATGGATGTATGTAGTTTCTACGCACGCAGTCTTTCTTTTGTGTCTTCCTGTCTTTCATTACCTCTTTCTTTTTTTGGTTGTTGTATTGTTCTTTGGGTGTGGCCTTGAAGGTCGCTGAACGGCGGCCGGTCGTATTGTATTGTGTCGTATCATAGAGGTGTTACCTGTAGACGTAGATTTTGTGTAGAAATCGATTATAGTCGTGCTTTCCTAGATATGTCGAAATGTGATACAAGTCAATGAAGTTCGTTTCGTTCGTGTAGTTAGCCGTATCTGCCTCAGGTGCCTCTGGAGTCGAACATGAAGGCAAGGGTCGAACATGAAGGCAAGGGTCGAGCATGCTCACTTCCGAAGCCCGACAAGGCCCGGAAACACGCGTGAGACAACGCCAGGTTTTGACCACTTTCTCTTCCTCCGCGTCGAGGGCGACAACGAACCATGAACGTTTTCCTGCCTTGTCGCCCCTCCCTCGTCCGCCATGCATTTTCAGGCCTCGGAAGGCGCACCATGAGCTCTGCACGAGACGCTCCAACAGCCGCAGCGGCCACCACCACGCTCAACTTTCTCTTCCCCGGTGTAGAGGCCGCGCTCTCGTCCACTGGTACCTCGACCGCAGCGCCCTCCACCTCCGCCATCACCTCCCCCTCCTCCGCGTTCAAAGTCGCTTCCACCACCGCCGCAGCGCCGCTCACGCTCCCCCCGCCCTCCGACCCGCTCCTCTCCTTCCTCACCTCGCTCCTCCAACAATCCGGGAACCGCACGCGCGCCTCCGCCCGCGTCTCATCCATGCTCCTGCACATCCACGCCCTCACGCGCGCGCCGGCCCTGCCCCTCGTGCGGCACGCCGCGCTCGCAGCTGCGCCCGCCGTGCGCCTGAAGAGCCACAAGCGCGGGTCGAAGAACGTGCAGATGCCCGTTGCGCTGAGCGAGAAGCAGAGGATCAGGGCGGGGCTGAAGGCGATGCTGAAGAGCAGCGAGGGGAAGCAGGGCAAGAGCGTGCAGGAAAGGATGGCGCGGGAGGTGGTGGGTGTTGTGAGGGGCGGTGGGGGGGCGTTGGAGGGGAAGGCGGTTGTGCATCGGGTGGCAATGGTGAATCGGTGTGTCTTTCTTTGTTTTCTTTGTTTTGGATGATGTTCTGACGCGTGTTTGTGTAGTGGGAACTTGTCTGTGCGGTGATACGCCTTGCGCTGAATTTCCGGATGGCGGCGTCCTGTCTTTGGGGAATTTGTGGGAGCTGGTAGCCCGGGCTCAGGCTCATGCTCGAGGAACGGATTGGAAAGTCTGCTGCGATCACTCATAGATGTCTACACCTTATCCTGGTCTCCCTCACATATAATATCATCGCCCATATCACCTTGGCCTTCTTCCTTCGCTCCGAACTCGCAAGTGACGTCCCTCTATATGGTCTCACGCAGTTGCAAGGTTAAGCATTATCTACGATAGTATTGAGTTGGGCGTGCAGCGTAATACGTCTAGGTATGTAAGGGGTGTAAGAAGGCGTTATAATAGTGTCGTAGAGGTATGGTTTCTATGTGAAGTGAGTGAGTAACCCCGCGAACCCAGTAGAGAAGGAGCAGTTCCGCTCGATAAAGTCATGTCATCGTCAGATTCCACGAGCATGGTCGAGGTACTTAGAGATGAGGGAGAGGCGTTCGGCTTAGACGTATTTGCCGAACATGGGGATGAGCGACTGCGCGAGGGTGTAGCTGAAGATGAGCTTGGGGCCGACGACGAGAATCTATTGCGCAGACACATGTCAACCAGCTCTTTCCGAATCGGCGAGCACAAAAAACGCACCTTGGGCGTCAAACCCTTGAAAAACGCGCCCATCCCCTCATTCTTGACCAGATCCTTGATCACCGTCATCCCGCTGACCTTGCGCTCAAAATTCGCATTCTGAATCCTCGTCTTCACCGTATCAAGCGGCGCCGCGACCGTGATACTCGCCACCGCACCCGCGATGCTCGCGACGAAGTTCTGGCTCCACGTCGCCTTGCTGTAGTCCTCGACGCCGAGGACGACGTCCTTGGTGAACGCGGAGGCGCCGAACAAGGCAAAGGAGCCGGGGGCGTTGCGCGCGACGGTCCAGCCCCAGCCGCGGTAGAGCGTTGTGCCTTCTTCGGCGAAGATGCGGAGGACGCCGCGGCCCCTGAAGGCTTCTGGGTTGACTTGGCGTTTGATTTTGAGGGCGTCGAGGGGGAGGAGGACGACTTCGCCGATTCCGGTTAGGCTGTGTGTGTGGGATGGCGTGTTAGTTTCGCTGGATTGAATTAGAAGCGCGGGGGAGGGGAACGCACGAGCCGGCGGTGGCCTGCATGATCATCTTGCCCTTGCGCTCGCCGAACGCGCGCGAGAACTCGTCCTTGTAGTTGCGCACGAGGAGCTCGTTGAACCACGGCTGGCCGCCGAACTTGTAGATGCGCTGCGCGACCTTGTACCCCGCTGCGTAGCCCAGACCCGGGAAGAGCGACATGACCTTGCGGCCGAGGGCGGCGCTGGCTTGGTCGCGGAAGATGATGGGGGAGAGGGTGGAGAGGGAGACCTGCACGGGAGGGTGGGTGAGTCTGCGTAGAGCATGATGGAAGAAGGGGGGTACCTTGGCCTTGTTGGACATGAGACGCTTCGCGACGGTGTCGACGGGGTGGAAGATGAGGAGCTCGGCGATGCCTGAGGGGTTCAATAAAAACGCGTTTAGAACATGGAGAGAAACACGATGTTACCTGAGGTGCCAGAGCCGAGGACACGGGCCGTGCCCGACTCTCGCGACTTTCCTGAGGGCGGGGGAGACATGGTGAGCTAGCGAGGTGGAAGGAAAGAAAGAGGCTGCAAGACGCGTTAAAAAGTGAGCGGCGTTAGACCCAAGTACGAGGATAAGCGTACGAGGAAAGTCCTGAGTGACTGCGGGTTTTTGAACCTTTACAGAATACAGCAGCTACAGGAAAAGTCCTACAACTTTCAGGAAAAGGAGAGTTGACGGTTGTGGATAAAGTCAAAGCTTATGACCATTCGCGAAAAATGTCATTGGCTTCGGTCCCTTTACACCCGCGCCGACGTTTCCGTCGAGTTTCGTTCGTCAGCGTCGTCGGTCACGATGGCCTTGTTCGTCAAACTCTGAAAACGCTATTGGATCCTTCAATTTCTCGACTTTGTGCCATTTGCCACTTGCATACTTATGTTCGACAAGACGGGGTCAGCGGTACACTCGTGTCCATTTGACGCCGGCCCTTCCACCCCAATCTGTGCAGCCATCTTCTCCTGTAGCGTATCTGAAACTTGGTTTCAACAGCATGAACGAACAGCATGATCGACTACGTCCCCGATCGACGGAAAAATCTTCTCAACGTAAACGTGCCTCGAACATGCTTGCCCCTGCGTGTTCATTCCGTTTCCACACAGCACCACAGATACGCGTTCCATTCAGTGGCCAAGCAGGACAAAAATACAGCTCATCTTTATCGCAGCAGAAGCTGGGTTGATAAAGAAAGAGTACGGAGTAGCTGGTCGCAGCAGTGCACCGGTGAGTAATCTAGCACCCACACCTCGCCTCGCTGCCTCGTTCCCTGCATATATACAGCCTGCATACAGCCAACACACACAACGACCACAACTAACACGTATCACCCCCTCTTTCTCTTTCACAGAACGTTCAGAGCCTCCCGTCGATTGGCTACTTCTTATACTCGACTCAGCCTGCCGCTCTCCCATCAACATGGCCGGCAGGGTCAAGGGCGCAATGCACCCCGTTCCCGAATGAATTGAGCGCTCTCGTTAAACGTTGTCCACGGGGCATGCGCACTACACGTTTACTTATAAAACGGAGGTCTTGCCCTTGCCCCGCTTGAATACGAACGCACACACGACTGAACAGGACGGAAAACTCATGAGCTCGGTGCTGGGCATATTCGGGAGCCTGCGCGACAGGAGCTGGCGGAGAGGTGCAAAGTGAGTCTTACGTCTGTTTCGCTGGAGATTCATACAGCCAAGCTGTCTTCGCGTTCGAGAAGCTGACCGCCTGGATAGAGACTCGCCCGCTGGACCACACCTGTTCTCTGTCGAAATATGGAGTGCGTCACGTTCAACCCCTCCTTTGAGAGCTCAGAATTGACATGACTCTCGCATTGGCATTCTTGACACAGATATACAAGCAAAAGGTCTCCTCCGCAGCGGCTCGCTAAGCATCGCACACCGATACTACCTCCGCATCTCGGTTGACACGGCGCAGCAGCAGACTGTGCTTGCGAAGCCGAAGGACAGGCTGCACACGTGGAAAGAGCGGTTCACGTTGTGCGTTCTTTCTTATTCGCTCACCTTAATGAGAGTCTGAGGAGTTCTGTGAATCTGCAGCTATGATGTCCAGCCAAGCGCAAAAGTCCGCGTGATCATCTATTCTCCGCGGGACCACCGAAAAGGCGGGCACGAAATCGCGCTCGTGGATCTGGCAGAGTACATCCACGGCGGAGAAGGTACGTGCTCCACCCTTCGTCGCCTTCTCTTCTTATGCTCACACTGTACCAGGACCAGCCGCATGCATCACCATCCCCGACTTCTCCCCCTCAACCACGCACCTCATCAAACAAGACTGCCACATCACATTCTCCCTCCGCATCACCGAACAAGACCGCCTCCTGCGCCGCCCCCCGCTCGCCCTGCTCCCCACCGTCTCCGACATATTCGGCGGCTCGCTCGCCGCGCCGCAGCCGCAGGAGCACTCGGCGTCGGCGTCGTCGGGCTCGGCGTACTCGGGGGACGGGGACGTGGAGAGCGTGAGCTCGGAGGTAGAGGTCGAGGAGGAGGAGGCCGAGGGCGGGTATAGTGTGCTGAGGAGTCCGAAGAGTCCACCGAAGAGCCCGATGTCGGGGGTGGGTGTGCCGGGGCTGACGGTGGCGGGGGGCGTGGTGGCGAGGATGGTGGATGCTGTGCCCAGCTCGGGGTCTAACCAGGGTGGACTTGGGGTACCGGGTGCGCCGGCGAGCGCGGGGCCGAGTGTAAGCCCGGGTGGGTATATGAGTAGGTGGAAGGGCAAGGGCAAGGAGAAGGAGAAAGGCGAGGGTGTTGTGGGTGCGGGTGAGAAAGGCAGAGAGGACCCGCTGGACGGGGTGGTTTATGTCCCGCAGCTGCCCGCGACGTACCGCGCGCTGATGGACAAGGTAAAAGCGTTCGCGCAATTCGCGAACGCGATCCCGTCGGTACGTCTCTCTTCCTTCCTCCCATCCCACCCTTCCCGACCCGAACTCTCAACCCCCCAACACAGGTCGGGCCCTTCGCCAAAACAGCATACCACACACTCAGCGGCGCCTCGAACACGATCACAGACCTCGTCGACCGCGACGCGCGCGTGCTGCGCCTCCTCGGCGCGATGAACGAGACGTACGACGCGCTCGGGAGCGTCAGCGGCGGCGAGGCGGAGTACTCGCTACGCAAGGCACAGAAGCTCGCGCCCGCGCTCGCGACGCTTTCGCAGCAGAGCGCTGAGTGCGGGTTCTTTTTGGAGGGGTATGCGGTGTGGAGACTTGGGTTGGGTGCGTTTTCCGTGTTTTTCTGCTTTTTTGTGGGGTCAGTTGGCTGATGGAGAATGGGCGTTTGATTGGTTCGTGCCCGGATAGTGGGCGCGACGAGAACGGGGTCGGCGTGTGAGCAAGAGGATATACCAGGCGCGGGCGACGCGATGCGCGCGTACGAGCATCGGTTTTTGCAGCTCAAGTCGGCGTTTTATCGCAACGCATCGAAGATCGACGTCGGGATCGTGGTGTTCCACTCACTGAGTGCACCACAAGACGGCGGTCCGTATCCTCCTGCTACATCAACCGTGAAATCGACAAGACTAACACCTCACATAGACGACGACACGCGCTGGCTCGACGCCATCCTGCACGCCCCAGACGCGTCCTACCTCGCCGCCCCCTCCGCGCGGTGTCTCCCGGGCACACGCGAGCAGCTCACCGAGGACATCTGCGCATGGGCGCTGCAGCCCTCCTCCCCGCACCAGCAGCACGCGCCTCCGCAGCACCGCGTGCTGTGGCTGGCGGGCCGCGGGGGGAGCGGCAAATCTGCGGTCGCAAACACTGTCTCAGAGCGCTTTGCGGCGATCGGCAGGCTCGGCGGGTCGTTTGCGTTCGATGTGACGCGCGGCGGGGGCGGGCAGCGCACGTCGTTGTACCTGTTTAGCACGATTGCGCGGGGGATGGCGATGAAGGACCCGAGGAGGCGGAGGGCGCTGAGGCGGGTGGTCGAGGGGAAGGGGTGCAAGGGCACGAGCGGGGCGGGGAGGAGCGTTGTGCCTGGGGTGCAGTTCGAGGAGATGCTCCTGCGGCCGTCGTTTGACGATGCCTCGACGAGCGGAGAGGCACAGCAGGAGGCGGTCGTCAACATCGGCCCGATCCTGATAGTCATCGACGGGCTGGACCAGTGCCCCGACGCGCGCGCTCGGGAAAAGGTGCTCTACATCCTCGCGAAGAAGATCCCCTCTCTGCCGCCCAACATCCGGTGGCTCATCGCCGCGCGCCCGGAGCCCGACATCGAAGCAGCGCTCTCCGGCCCGCCGTTCGTGCTCCGGAAGAACGTCGACGCGCCCGACCCCGTCCCCCACCCGAACCCGAACGAGCATCTCGACTGGCAGGACCGCGACGTGGAGCGCGTGATCGAGGCGCGCCTCGCGCCGCAGCACGCGCACGCGCTCGATCTGGAGTGGCGCACGCGGTCTGGGTGGCTGAGGGCGCTCACGAGGCGCGCGGACGGGTGCATGGCGTGGGCGGCGGTTGCGTGTGACTGGGTGTGTGCGGCGCTGGATAGTGGGAGGGCTGTGGAGAGGGTGAGGGTGCTCGAGCAGCTGGCTGGGGGGTTGGATGGGCTGTATCGCGCTATTTTGGGGGATGCGTTTCCGCCGGTGCTGGACCAGGGACCAGGGCAGGGACAGGGGACGTCGGCGCAGGGACCAGCGTCGCCGCAAGGACAGGGACAGCTGCAAGGACAAGGAGGGGCGTCTGATGTCGAGCGGTTCAAGTCCGTCATGACCACACTCCTGAGCGTGCGCGAGCCGCTCGGGCTCCTCACGCTCAAGCAGCTCCGCGGCGAGGAACGCGAAAACCAGACGATCGAGCACGTCTTCGCGCGCGTCTCATTCCTGCTCGACGGGCCCGTCGCGCCGGGCACCGGCGGCATCGCCGTCTCCCCATCGGCGCCCGAGGCGCCCATCACCATCAAACACGCGACACTGCGCGACTTCCTGCTCTCCCCGAGCCGCGCGACGAAGGAGTGGTTCGTCGATGCCTCCGGCGGCGCGTCGGCGTCGGGGGCGGCGGACGAGCGCCTCGCGCTCGCGTGTCTCCAGGTGATGCGCGTCGGGTGCCGGTTCAACATTCTCGGCCTCGAGTCGTCGTATGTGTGCCACAACGAGATCGCGGACTTTGACGCGCGCGTGAGGCGCCACGTTTCGCCTGCGCTGCGGTATGCGTGTCGATTTTGGATGGAGCATGCGAGCGCGACGCCTGCGGGGAGGCGCGGATCGGTGAGAAGGGAGGTGGAGGAGTTTTTGGGGAAGGGGCTGTTGGTTTGGCTGGAGGTGGTGAGCGCGACGGGGTGTGTCGAGGCCGTTAGAGAAGGAATGAAGGGGCTGGTCGCGTGGGCCGAGGTATGTCCCCCTCTACGGGTACCGTGCTTTTGGCACTGACCTCGCCTCGAAGCACAACAGCAAGCTGAAAGCGCTCGTCCTCGACATCCTCAACTTCCTCACCGTCTTCTCGGGGCTCATCGCGTCCTCGTACCCCCACATCTACCTCTCCGCGCTCCCGTTCACCCCGCCCGGCTCGTTCGTGTACAAGCGCTACGCGCCGCAGCTCGCGAGCGCGCTCAGCGTGTACTACTCGCACACGCTCGGCTGGGCGTCGCTCCCCGCGTTCAAGGAGCCGGGGCACCCCGTCACGGCGCTCGCGTTCTCGCCCGACGGCGCGTACCTTGCCGCGGCGGCGGACCGCGCTGTGCATGTGTATGATCTGCGTGCGCGCGGGGTGCGGAGGCCCGAGCCGCGCGTGCTGAGGGGGCATACGGGGCGGATTGAGAGTGTTGCGTTTGCACCGGCTGAAGGGGGTGGTGGGGCGAAGCGGAGGAGCGGTGAGCAGCCGACGTCCCCGCGACAGCAGGGGCAGCAGCAGCAGCAGCAGCAGCAGCAGCAAGGACACCTTTTGGCGAGCGCGTCGGCGGATGGGAGCGTTCGCGTCTGGAGCGTGCCCGATGGGAACTGCGCGGTGGTGATTCGCCCCGGGGTGGAGCAGGCGGTGACGGACGTTGCGTTCGATGCTGCCGGCTGTATACTGTTCACGGCGAGCCGCGATGGGACGGTGCAGGCGTGGGACGCGAGGGCGCCGAAGCAGCGGACGCTGGTGTGGGGCGCGATGCATGCGCGGGGTGTGCATCGCCGTGCCGCGTCGGGGTCTCCCTCGTCTGGGAAAGGGAAGGAGCGGGAAAGGGAGAAGTCGGCTAGGGAAAAGGAGAAGGAGGACAAGGGGAAGGAGAAGGAGGGGAAGAACGTCAAGTGTTCCCCGGAAGAAGAGGCGCCGTTCGCGATCTCGTGCATGCCCGACGGGAAGACGCTCGTGTCGGTTGGCGGGGACGCGGCGGTGCGTATATGGGATGCGAAGACGGGCGAGGCGCTGTGCGAGATGGCGCACGAGATGGGCGGGCAGTGGTTAACGTGTGTTGCGTGCTCGAGTGGCGGGCTCGAGGTTGCTACCGGCTCGGGCGCGGCGCCTTCTGTACCTACCACCTCCGCTACCACCACCAACAGCGGCAGCATCGGAAGCGGGAACGGCCCCTCGGACGCAAACCAAATTCTTCTATGGAACACCTACAGCGGCAACGTGACCGGCACGCTCAAAGGCCACACGGGGAGCGTCAATAGCGTCGCGTACGCGCGCGACGGGCGGCTCGCGTCGGGCTCGGACGACTGCACGGTCAAGGTGTGGGCGTACAATCTCTACGCGGGGCGGCTCAAGACGACGACGCTGCGCGGACACACTGCGCCCGTGGGCCCTGTCGCGTGGGCGCCCGACGGGGGCTGCGTCGCGGGCGGTGCGGCGGACGGGACGGTGCGGGTGTGGAACGTTGCGCCGCCGGATCCGACGCTTGGAAATGGGGGTGGCGGGGGCGGCACACCGCACGGGCATGGGAACGGCGCGAATGCGAGTGGGAGCGGGTATTTCGAGAGCACGAACGAGTGGCCGCAGGGGTGGCGGTACGACGAGGGGACGGGGTGGGTCGTGGACGGGTCGAAGCGGCTGCTGTTCTGGGTGCCGCCGTGGGCGCGGGCGGGGCTGTGGACGCCCGACACGCGGCATGTTATCGCGCAGGACTCGACGAGGGTGCTGCTGTCGCGGTTTATGATCGCGCACGGGAACGAGTGGCAGAATTGCGTGGACGAGAGTGTGACGGGGATCGCGCCGATGGTGCTCAGCGTCGGCGGGAAGGGCGAGGTGATGACGGTGGGCATGGGTGGTGAGCCGGTGAGGCCGTGCGAGGACAATTTGATGGTTGAGCCTGGGATGGGCAAGTGGCCATGGGACGACGTCGGGTATGTGGAAAGGCCCAAGGTGGCGGATGGGTCTGGGAGTTTGTTTGGCTGGGGCGCATGGAAGCCACCCAAGTTTAGTTTTCTGAGATCAGCTTCAGGACTGTGACTTTGATCCTTTTAGTGTATTCATGTTTTTGGAGACTCATGTTGTATTTTACCTTGTCGAACGTAAGCGCCTGTGATAAGATAGACGCTCAGGGAAAAATGAGTCGCGGGATCGGATTCCGGAAGACACGTCCACCGTCCACCTCCAACTTGGTCTCCTCATTCTTGAGGACGCTCTTGATACTCTTTCTACCCCGTATACCTGCGCCACACATTTGTGCGTGAGCCATCATGTCGGACTCGGAGTGGACGCCATCCTCATGGAAAGCTAAGCCGGTCGCGCAGGTATGTGAACAGTACAGTCGTAAGAATCGACGACATTGACACTTTGTGTGTTGAGAATAGCCCGTGAACTATCCAAACGCAAAGCACTTGTCGAGGTGCGCTGTATTGCCTTTGAGTTTAGTACACGCGCCATCATCTCATTGACCACTCGACCTCTCAGTGTCCTTGGCAAGATCAATGCCCTCCCACCACTGGTCACACCGTCGGAGGTGAGAAACCGTTCATGTGCAATCTATCGTTCTACTCACAAGTTTTACTAGATTGAGCGCCTCAGATACCAACTTTCTGCTGTTGAGAGAAACGAGGCCTTCCTGCTTCACGCTGGAGACTGCGCCGAGAGCTTCGATGCTTGCACGCATGTGAGTGATAGATCCGCCTCTTGTGCCAGCAGAACCTCTTAACGAAACAATTCGCTCCCTATACTCTCTATACAATGCAGCAAAATATCTCGAACAAGATTGGCCTCATCCTCTCCTTCTCGCTCATTCTCATCTGGGGCGCCCGCCTTCCGGTCGTACGTGTCCTACCTTCATCCACGCCCGCGACCGCATCTCAAACAGAGGGAACGCGCCATGTATTCAGGTACGCATCGGCCGTATTGCAGGGCAATACGCGAAACCGCGCAGTAGTGGTACGGAGAAGATCGGAGGTCGTGAGGTTCTCAGCTTCCGGTTTGTCCTGACTGCCGTCTTTCCCATGGTCTACTGACAATTCTACGCGCAGCGGTGACAATGTCAACGGGTGCGATTCCGAAATCGTCTGCACGGTGTGTTAAGCTTGCTGACACGGGCGCTATGATCGCAGCCTGGACATCGATGATCGGACACCCGACCCCGAGCGCTTGCTACGGTAAGCCGAACGTCTTCTCTCTTCTTCTCCCCATCCTACTTCGATCGATGCGCTCATCCGATTCCATTAGTGCATACTTCCACTCCACGACGACACTCAACTACGTCCGCGGCCTCCTCACCTCGGGCTTCGCGTCACTCCATCACCGCCACCCGCGCGACTGGTCGCTGTCCCACGTGCGCTCGCCTTCGCTAAGGTACGAATCCAGCCCTTCTCATCTTATTCCGAGACCTGATCTGCCTCTGCCTCTGCCTCTGCCTCTCTCCGCAGGTCCGAATTCGAGAACATCGCGGAAGGTCTCGCGGACGCGCTCGACTTCAGCAGCACGATCGGCGTCGACTCTGGGAAGGGCAACGTCCCGTTTGAGCGCGGGGGCGGCAAGGGTGTGCTTGGCGAGGTGGATTTTTACACCAGGTGTGTTACCGTTTTCTCATCGACTGCATTGAACCTCGAATTCATGTATCTCACTGCCACGCAAGTCACGAAGGTCTCATGCTCGACTACGAACAGGCGCTCACGCGCGAGTTTCCCGTGCCCCCGGGTGTCTCTGTCTCCCCCGTCGCCACCCCTCCGGCCACCTCCACCACCACCCCTTCGTCGCCTTCGGCGGAGGCAGAAGCAGAGGCAGAAGGCGGCAGCAGCAGGAAGGAAAAGGCGCACTACAACACCTCGGCACATTTCCTCTGGATCGGCGACCGGACGCGGCAGCTCGACGGCGCGCACGTCGAGTACTTCCGCGGGATCCGCAACCCGATTGGCGTCAAAGTCGGTCCGTCGATGCAGGATGAGGAGCTCGTGCGGCTGCTTGATGGTGTGTCCTTAATATCATCTCTGTTTTTTTTTTTTTACTCCGCTCGATGGTTGCGCTGATGCGTTGGTGTTCAAGTGCTGAACCCGGACAAGGAGAGCGGGCGTATTACGTTGATTACGCGGTACGGTGCTGGAAAGGTGCGTTTTCTACGGCCATATAGAAGTCGTTGCGGGCGTTGATTGTATGTGGGATCCAGATCGACAGCCATCTAGCGGGACATATCAAGGCCGTTCGCGCGTCCGGCCATCCCGTCGTCTGGATATGCGACCCCATGCACGGAAAGTAAGTCCCACCACCCTCTCCCCGAATCAATATCAACGCATCACCCCCACTAGCACCCTGACCTCCGCCACGGGCCTCAAAACGCGGCACTTTGGCACGATCATCTCCGAGATCACGTCCTGCCTGCGGATCCACAGCGAGCAGCACTCGCGCCTCGGCGGCGTCTCGCTCGAGTTCACCGGCGAGCTCACCGACGACGGGTTCAGCGTGACGGAGTGTCTCGGCGGGAGCATGGAGCTCGCGGAGGAGGAGCTGGGGTTGCGGTATCAGAGTTTTTGCGATCCGCGGTTGAATTTTGAGCAGTCGTTGGGTGAGTTTTCGGGCGATCGAGATTTCGTTTGGGGGTGGTGTGGAGGTTTTTATTTTGTTTTTTTTGGCGCTGATTGGATGGGATAGATGTCGCGTTCATGATCTCGAACCATTTCAAGGAGGAGAGACGGGGTGCAAAGGGCGGGATCAGCGAGATTTATACGGCGCTGGGCGGGAAGAAGTCGACGTAGTTCTCGTTCAGAGATGAGGGCGGGGATAGATGGTATGCTCCAAAAGTGATGGGTGCTTTAAGTCATCTAGTTTGTACGAGTAGTATCTTACCGCCACTCAAATCAAAATGTACGCCATGCATGGATCGCCGCGTACAGCCGCATGAGGTCAGGGCTACCGACTGGGTCGCCGTTGGCACGTCATGGATATCCCGCTTGCAGGCTATACTGTGCAGCTCATGCGATTGATAGACAGAGCATGAGACTACGCATCTGCTTTGATTTCGACCATTTGATCACGCCAGGAATATTAACAACACTGGCATACACTAGCTGACATGAACACACAGAGCTCTCCTTCGATGTCACTATATGCATGCGATAAGAGGGCCCCGCCCTGTGATACTTGTGCATCACCTCCCGTAGGCTTCATTCCGGCACGAATCCCACCCAGTCGAAGTGCCAGTCGCCGTATATGACTCCGTCACTGGTGGGCGCGAAGAACCCGAAGAGGCCCACGGAGAGGTCGAGGCCGTACTGGGGACAGCCGGGACACTGAGGGTCCGTGCGTGTCGTGTTCACATCAAGCACGCCAATGATATACAGTATGTGAGTGTTAGTGGTATGTATTTACAGAGGGATAGAGAGAGAGAGAGCGAAGAAAGAAGCAATACGCACGCTGTCGACAACGATGGCGGTCGTATTTTTCCCGCCGGAGGAGATGGTGATCTCCCGGCCACAGAACTTGCCGGTGCCGTAGATCTAATTATGAGATTTGTAGCGTTAGAAGGGCTGCTGGTAACGGGTTAGAGAGAGTGCCGGTGCGGCGTGACTTGCAGTGGTGCTGATGGCAACGACCTTTTTAACAAGACCAAAATATTGTTCGTTGGCAGTGGCTTCTCGTGCGGTAGATAGGGGCCAGGGCGCGTACGTGTTGATCGGGAGTGCTGATCTGCCCGCATGCGCCGAGGCCAACGTCGAACCAGGTCATGCGCTGGTCGTCGTGGTCGACGCGCTTCGTGAGGCTTGTCTCGTTGGATGTGGCCAGCCCACCGGAAGCGAGCACAGCCGGAGGGGCAAGGAAGAGGTATAAAAGTGCGATGGGGGAGTACATGGCAAGTACGATTTTTGGTACTGTAGGGATTAAGTGGCAAGAAATGGGCGGGGGAGTAAATGTACTGTCGAGGTCAAGGGAAGCTAGAAATTGGGGGTCGATGAGCCTGAGGATCAAAGGAAGAGAAAGGCGTCGATTTTATACGTCGACTGAGGGAGCATAATGAGCTACGGATGCCCATATCACGCTCGCATCTACGCTGCGTACGATGTTGGCACTCGCAGTAGCTGGTGCCGTGATGGTAGTCCTCCTTCCGCCAGCGCGGCAAATGTTTCACCACGCCAGATTCTCGCGTCACCCGAGTTGTGCGCAGGCACGAGATGCTTGTAGGTTTCAGCACACCACAGATACCAATGTATACCCAAGAACTGCCTGAAACGCATCAGACAACAGATACCCAAAGGTCGGCGCACAGAATGAAGAGCTAACAGGTCGGAGTGTTGCTCTGTCGGGGACAAACATCCGACAAGCCGCCAGGCTAGTTAACGCATGACGCGTGCAAGTGCTGCTGTGAAGTCGTAAAGCTGATTCGTTGAGCAAGGAATTTTTATAAAGGGTCCCGAGTGTCGTGGGAAAACTGGTCCGGGGCGGAGTAGACAGTCGAGGAGCTGCATCTCTTGGAGTATACATGTGCGCCAGACCGGTGATATCCAGTCTGTTATTTTTGATTCCGATTCTAGCCTAAGAGATGTTAAGGCCAAGTTAAGGCACAGTTACACAGTAGTGAAACAAGAGGAAGCTGGATGTGCAGGTAGAACCAAAGAAGTAGGCTTACAAATGGAGTATGATGAGGACAGGCTGCGCTGATATAGTTTCCCCTTAGCATCCAAGCAAGGATGACAAAGTTTCGATGAAACAAGGTAGTCGAGAGACACACGGTTATCCACGGAACGATGATTAGATGGCTCGGAGCATCGGCCTGTCGTGGATAAACCATCAGAGGCAGGTCCAGCCAAGGAGATTACTGAATGAAAGTAGACGTTGCTGATGGGATGCAAGCACCGACTCTAGAGGCAGCAGGGAGGACAGGCCACCAGCATGCGGCCGAGCTGGCCAAAGTAAGCTTGAAAGCAACGCTGGTCAGATAGGAGAAAGAGATCTTCGGAACATCTTTCCATCCTCAGACTCATACGATAAACATAGAGTGAAAGATAGAAAGCCCTTGCGTGTGTTCATGAGAGTTTGTGTCAGGCAGGGACACGTCATCGCGATGACTTTCTTTGGCCACTCAATCGGCAAATCCCGAAACTCATGTTGTCTTTCACCTTCTCTTACCTCCAGACCCACTGGCATACTAAATCTGGCTCAGTCAGGTCTTCGTACTACTGGATTCAATTGGCACTCTACCAAACCTTGAGAAAAACAGCTACAAGTATGGGAAGCACCGCTTGAAACTGAAACCCAATGATGACACGGACGTTTGGTAGCGCTATCGCACTTTGCTAGCAGATCCTTTCATCGTTACTCCCCCTCTACGTTTGTACGCATCGCCCAACAAGTCCTTCAAAAACTCCAGCTCGTCGATTATCTTCTTCCCTGCCCTTCCAGTCACGTTCCCCTTGACCACACACAGCGTTGTCGCGTTCGAGATGATATACACGCGCTGCTCGGGTAGGTCCGCTGCGCGCAGGATCTCCCTCACATTCTGCCTTGTAGCGCTGACGAAGTGCTCCCTGGAAGCGAACTCGAGAGTTGCACGACTCTTTGCATCTTGCTCCTCATCTTCGCTGTCGTATCCCATCTCCCTCATCACATTTCGGATGTGTACGTCCGCTTTTGAGCGCACGATGTAGCACGGGATATTGTATAGCCGGGCGTTGCGAAGGATGGCGACATCCGTCATCGTGAAGCGGTTGTCGATCAACACTACGAGAGCGTCAAAAACGAACAAACCCTGCTGGTTGAAGTATTGCCAGTCACGAATGTGGAGCGTGCCCGCGCCTGGGATGTCGTACCATACGAACGGGTTCTTGGGGTCCGAGTCTGGGAAGCGGGACATGCGCAGCGTCGTCTCTGTGATGCCCGTCGCGGCAGCTCCCCCATCCCGGTTGCGCAGCCCGCGCAGTGCGTTGATGAGGGACGATTTCCCGCTGCCAGCGATACCCGCGACAGCGAAGTGGTAGAATCCTTCGCGATACCCGATCCGACGCTTGGCGTCCTCCACATCTGCTGCAGATGGCACAACAACTGGCTGGATGCCTTCGTGGAGCTGACGCTCTGCCTCTGCCTGAGCCACACGTGCCGCGCGTGCTTCTTCCTCGGCCAGTCGTGCAGCGGCCTCTGCAGCGCGCTGGGCTTCGGCCGCACGCTTATTCTCCTCCGCTGCGAGCTGCTGCTGACGCAGCGCCTCTTGCTCTGCCGCCTCTGCCGCCCTCCTCGCCTCCTCTCTCAACTGCTGCTCCCGTCTCTGCGACTCATAACGCCCCGCTTCCGCCGCACGCTTGGCTGCGACTCGAGCTTCTTCGGCTTGTCTTCTTATACGTTCCGTCTCTGCCTGAGCGGCCTGCATGGCCGCTTGCGCCCCTCGGGCCCGTTGAGCCTCTAGCTCGGCCTGTCGCGCGAGTCTGTCCGCTTGCTCCCTTGCGACTTGCGCTTCCCTTTCACGCTGTTGCTGATCTGCCTGGTGTGCTTGGGCGCCCAGTATATTGGCGAGGGTTGGGTTCTGGGCCGCAGGTCTGGATCGGAGGCTGGATAAGAGGCCAAAGACGGCTGTAGCGACGGGAGGGAGGATAGAGGCGGCGGCGCCCATCGTGTTCTGAGGTAGGACTAGAGCTGGAGAACCCAACCTTCTATCGCATTGCGTCTTTATGTGCGGTGGTGGTATCTGGGGCACAGGGCTACAGGAGTCCCGGCGGCATTCTCACGGCATGGTATGTTCCAAAGGTTTTCTATTTCTGATACCGCCAGAAGGGTGAATTCAAGTCAGCGCTTAGAGAAGATCTGCGTGGTTCTACCGATCACGGCTATCTCGCATTGGGGATCAGACATATGGATAGTGTTGCCGCGGTTCGGGCGGCCAACGGTTTGGAACCATGAACCGAACCAAGAATGCCCCCGGTTCCGTCCGAGTTGGTTTCTAGGGACAGGCAGCTCCCCGAACCTAGTTTTGGTTCCTAGACCGGTTCGAACCCCGTAACAAGGACAACAAAATCTATAACGAATTTGTAGTAGAATTATACTAATGTCACGACTGTGGTCCCGAGCACAATGAATGTTCATCAGGTGCAAAGTGCTATTTACAAGAGAAATTCACCTTCAATAGTCCTTGCATTAATAGAGCCTGCGTAATTCAGCATCAATGGTACTGCCTGACACTGTTTTGTCCGGGATATCCCTGAAGATGCATCTTGAATATGACATAGTCGACCCGCAGACCCACTAGTGGGGCTGCCTGGGTCAGTGGAGAAGGCCGAGGGTTGACTACAATTATGTCAATAAAATCATAAGCGAAATCAAAGCCAAAAGGTTTCCATGGCGTCTTCGCTCCCAGGGGTTCCAAACCGAGATCTAACCCTCTGAAACCCAACAATTGGTTTGGTCCCTGAAACCGAACCATGTTTGCCAAAAAACCGGTTCCTATGGGACTGGTCCCGGTCATACGAACTACGGCAACACTACATATGGACCACCCTAGCCCAAACCTTAATGCGCATGCTCACCCGCCGAGCGCCTACATTACGGCGTTTTGCGAGCGTCTAATGCATTTGGCAACTAGAACATCATCGGAATTTCATGTCAGGCAGGTATGGTATGAACGCCGTGTCGGTCTTCGGAGGAGTCATGCTAGGACATACGAGAAGGATAACAAAGACGTTCGCATATCGAGAAGAAGAAAAGTATTGCTGCTCACTGGCACTTCGCCGCAGGCTTGATGAACAAAAGCTTACGGGCGCAAATGATGGTTTCGCCACAGCTAGGCTGACTAAACTCTACCTTCACCCCAGGATTGTAAACCACCGACTTTCAGCCCATGATTCTTTGTGCACCCTCAGTTGACAGGCGAGAAGCATATTCTTTAAGCGCCTTAGGGCTAGGGTACCCGAGATTGAAGCCGCACGGATCTTTGTGATAACCTCTAGATGTGGCGTTCATTCTAATGCTTCTTGTACATGACTGTGTCTTTCATCGAACAGCCCTCTCAATACGATCCCATTTCTGAATTGGCAGAATCACCCTATGCCCTGTCCTTGCCTATCTGCGATTTTGACGCCTCCCCCGGACTTCCTTAAAGCGACGCTATCAACACTCTCCAAACCCCCTGTGACTTCCTACTGTCCAGTTCGTTGAATCTCTTCCCCCAATGGGCAACGTTGTCGGCTCTGCCGTGGACTTTGTCGGAGGATTCGTCACCGGCGTCGCCGACATGATTGGCGACTTCTTCGACACAGTTGGGACGCTCATGGAGCACATACTGCTCAACGCAGCGGGTGTCAACCCCGTTTATCGTGCCATCGAGCGGGACGACAAGCTCCGTCGCGAAGCAGAAGCGCGTGAGCGCGCAGTGCACATGGCGAGGGAGGAGGCTGAGAGGCTCAGACGCGAGGCGGAGGCAGAGGCACAGCGAGGCGGAGAGGCGGAGGAGGCTATGCGAGCTGCCCAGGCAGAGGCGGAGCGCCTCAGGCGAGAAGCTGAAAGGGCCCGCGCGGATGCGGAGGTCAGGGCGGAAGCAGAGCGTGACGAAGCGCAGAGACGCGAACGGGGGCTGAGAGAAGAAGCACGGAGAGCTGCAGAGGCTGCGGAGGCGGAGATGCTGCGTTTGCGACGCCTCGCTGCAGAAGAGACCCGGCGCGCAAAAGACGCGCTGCGCGCTGTAGAGGCCGCCGCGCGTGGAGCAGAAGAGGAAACACGCCGTCTTCTTGCCGCAAAGGAGGACGCAGAGCGGCGTCTTCGCGAAGGTGTTCGCCCGATCGTCATGCCCTCCCTAGCCGACCTCGAGGGCGCGAAGCATCGCATCGGATACCAGGGCGGTCTGTACCACTTTGCCGTCGTCGGCGTCGCGGGAAGCGGAAAGTCCTCGCTCATCAACGCCTTCTGCGGGCTGCGCAATCGCGACATCGGTGCCGCTGCCACAGGCGTCACCGAGACGACGATGCGAGTCGCTCGGTTCCCAGACCCGAACAGTCGAAAACCGTTCGTGTGGTACGACGTTCCCGGAGCGGGGACCCTGCAGGTGCCGGGCTGGCAGTACTTTAATGAGCAGCGGCTGTTTGTGTTCGACGCTCTTATCGTGCTCGTTGATAATAGGTTCACGGAGACCGACGTCGCGATCCTGCGAAACGCGCGGCTGTTCGCGATCCCGTGCTACATCGTGCGTTCCAAAGCGGACATTCACATCGCGAACCTGGTCACGGAGATGAAGGGGATGAGGCAACGAGACCATGACGACGATGAAGATGAGGACAGTGGTCAGGAAGATAAGGAGGGGATGGAACGCGAGGCCAGAGAGCATTTTATCAGCGAGACGCGGAAGAGCGTGCGGGACAACTTGCGCGTGGCAGAACTACCAGACCAGGAAGTCTACATCGTCTCGAATACCACGGTACGTGGTGCAGTGCGAGCCTCAATCCCCGCTAGGATGACGAAGAAAATCATCGACGAGTTGAAGCTCGTGGAGAATTTCCTGAGAGATGCATCCCAGCGCCGCAGCGTACGGTCAGAGGGGTCATTCATTTCGGATTCAGGAATTGTATCCAGCTAGGAAATACTTTTGCAACTACAGAGCTACCTATCCCTGTATTCTCATGCCAGTGCAGGCTCCAACACCTGGCGGATGTAAATAATGTGCTGGAGAGTGGGTTTCCAAAACTGCGTTCATTCACATGTCATGGCCAAAACATATTTTGGTCTCGTCAATAATATGTACTAGTCCGCCATCGGGCAATCGGCTAGCAATGAGGGAAGTTATCCTCGCTTGATTGCTCGCGATGATGTACTCCAAGATACGTTAAGTGAAGATGGGAGCAGAGCAAGTTCACCCTATCACCAATGTTACAATGTAAGCGTCTTAATCAACGCTGCGTTATAAATTCAGGAAGCGCTTGGAAATCAAGCGCGTTTAAACCATTATTAACAAGTCATATAATAGGTACCGTTAGATGGGACAGTACTGAGCGGCGACACGGTCGTAAGTCGTCACCAATACAACACCATAAAAGAAGAAATGCCAGTGACAGGTGGACGCGACTTCCGAGGCGCTGCCTCGAACCTCACAGCTCACTTAGTTCCAGTTCCAGTCCCCATAGATAACACCGACGCTGGTATCGGCGAAGTACTCGAAGAGGCCTTGGGACAGGTCCAGCCCGTCACCCGGGCAGCTGGGGCACTGGAACGCAGCGCAAAGTTTAGTCAGATCTACACAATCACGAGTCCGAGGGCAGACGCGTACCTTGTCCACGGCAGTCGCAGCCGCGGACTTGCCGTTGTACGTGATGGTGAGGGCCCTCCCGCAGTTCTGTCCGGTGCCGTAGTCCTATAGCGAGCAACATGTGAGTCGCTGAATCATACGAATATGCGAAATCGAAACACTGACCGTAAGGCTCAGAGCGACGACCTACAGTGACGAAACTCGCGTTAGAGCCTGTTTCACTACGACGTGAAGAGTAAATGGCGCACATATTGACTAGCGGTGTTGGTGGTGCCGCACGCGCCAAGTCCAGGGGTGTAATAGGTCATGCGCTGGTCCGTGGCACGGCGTTGAAGCATTGATTCCTCAACAGGGGCAGCGGCGCCAAGGCCGAAGATGGTGGCGAGGGCAAGAAGGGATGTGAAGGAAGCACGCATTGTTGAATAGATATGTGAATAAGAATATGATAAGGATCGAGGAGTTATTAAAATAAAGCGTCAAGCTTTGGTATGAGAGGCGAGTGTTGAGCGAGTGCTGAATGAGTGACTTGTTGAACTTGACATACAGCAACATTTCCTCTCCCTTTATACCTATTTTCCTGGCGCCTCTGGCCGCCGGCTCGGATTGTCAAACGCGACCTCTGAGCTGGCGGAGCATCGCATGCGACCCTCAGAGAATACAATTGGACGCCTCCATTCATCCGAAAGGTGACTGTGATCCCCTTGAGACGTGGTGACCATGGGCATAGCACGATCCGTGGGCTAGGCTGGACCTTTAGCGTGTTTTTGACGCGGTAAATGCCGAACATCATGCGGAGGTGCCTGTATGATGGAAAGTAATGTTGCCCATCTCTGGCGTAGAAAAAATGTCGATAGACACAGTGAGTGTCTCAAGATCAACGCTTTCATAGTGGTTGGGTACCTTTTTCACGAGAACGAGAGATGCAGCGCAAGGACGACACAACGAGCTGTCTGGAACCAGGTATGAGCAAGAGTTTCCTAGGCATGGGGATAGTCTGAGATCATGACAATCTCACCAAACAGCGGGAGCGCCGACCATAGCGGCTGATGAGCGCGGACGACGGAAGCGGAGCAAAACCCGAAAGACCAATGGTAAACGCTGAAGCCAAAGACGAGGAGATAGCGCGTCTCCAATTTATTTTCAGCCTGATCCGCTCGAGAATGGATTGCCGTGGACTCCCTTACGAGAGCCTGAGCCTGGGTAACGTACAGTGTAGTGGTTGATAACGTTGACGTGGCCAGTATTGGGTTGGTGCGTCGCCGAGTGTTTCGAAGCAACCGGGCGCACTGGAAACGCGTATTACTCGTACATTACTCGTATATTCAAAATTTCTGCCCGCTTTTGTTTGGTTTTTTGTTTGGGTCTTTGATGAGATCCCCTTCAGATCAGATTCACTTTCAATTTGGAAATCCTCCTCCTTTTTGGGCCATCCGGCTGATAAGATAATGGAGCGCTTCGTTCGTCGCCATCCTTTCCTCCCCCTCCCCCGTCTTCGCATCATGGATCCTCGCTATTTCAGAAATGGTACGTGTCTCAAGCTCTCTAATGTCTACACTCATTTACTTCAATCATGCCAGTACCATAGTGCAAATCTTCGGTGCGTATCACTCCCATCGCATTTGGGCTATTAGCTCACGAGAATTTGCTCGTAGATGGCGGCTGTAGTCTTCTCGACTCGGTCTTGGTCATTACCGTATGTGATTCTATCCTCGCTTTGCTCGTGATCGTCCCCATCCTTCGCTTCGGATGCAGAATCTATAGGTACGCCCTCTCACTCGAGCATCATCCCTCCTGCTGCGACACGTCCGTATGTTATCACACATCTTCTTCTATGCTTACTAATTGCTTTACAGTTTTGCAATGCCTTCCCTCACTTGCGTCACCGACACCCGATAGTAGACAACGGGCACTTTACCACCTGCGCAGGTGCCAGCAGCCTCCCAGTAAGTCGTAGCCCCGACTGCTACCGCTTCCGAGCCGTAGCTTAAAGCCCTGCTGCCACGTTTGGCTGCGCACCTCACGTCTCGCTGGACCCTCGCACCGCCTACATATACCAAACAGCCAGAGACCGTTTCACTCGCTCGCCTTCGCAGCCCCTCCTGCCGACGTGCCTCTGCGCCATCACTTGATTCCCCGAATCCTACTCATGTCCTGATACGAACCAGACACCGCCCATGAAACGGGCCATAACCAATGCCAGTGTAATGTCAGTACACCCATTCAATCTTAAATATTTGCATACCCCTTTTTCCTTCCCCCCGCTCATTCGATTGGGATGGTCTGGCGAAGAAGCGAGAGGTACTATCTCTCTCAGTGTATTGTACCATAGTTGTAGGGCTCCTCTGTTCATCGCTCGTCTTTGTCAATATCAATCAAACCTATCCGAGACGAGTTTACCTTCGCAGTCACTGCCTACAAATATCAGCTTGATCAGCTAAACCATGCTAAACCTCCAATGTCGAACTCTAAGGCCAAGGCATAGCTAAGAACGACTCAGACAAATAATGGAACGCTCCAACGTGCGTTGGAGAAATAAAAAAGTTTCTTGATAGCAACGTGATAGGCCCAAGGTGTAGATGTCACGTTAAACTGGACACCGAAACAGTGACTGTCATTAGCTCGTTATTGATGGAAAGTGCCGGAGCGTAGCTCGGCATGTCTTGTATACCTGATTTTAATGTACCTGGTGTTTGATTTACTAGAATCACATATCTTTGACCTGATTTTGAAGTCATGTACCCGGACCTGTTCATTCAAGTCATGTACCTGGGACTGAAATGCGAATCCATGTTCACGGTGACGTCACAGTGGTGTTGGTGGCTCCACTCCTAACAAACAAATGCAAATGTTGAACTTGGCCTTTTCGCGTTGTCTTTTCTTCCTCCTTGACACCTGTCGGCCTCTGCCATCTCCCTCTCCCTCTTCCTGTCCACCGCATTTGCACCTCACGACGCCTACTCTCGCTTTCTATGGCAGCTCCTGGATCGGGCTGCCTGGCCTTTTTGTCAGCCAACATTCACATTCCACCAGCGGACACGACACTACTACTATGACCCGTTTACAATTCATCTTCAACGACCGTCCACGTATTCGCCTTCTCCGCTGTCAGCCCATCTCTCCAAGTTCTAGTATCATACTACTCAACACCAACACCATGCATATATAGGTCAACTCTCATGGTTCGTGATCAAGGCTCTCGCCGAGCACGACATAGTTCACGTAGGTCGCTCTAACAAGCTGCTTAAACAAGGCACTGATTCCGCCGTAGGGATGATCAACGCCATCGTCAGTGTGGGACAGCGCACAATCGGATGGATGTGACGGCACACTGAAGTCATTGCAGCGTGCATAACCTGCTCGACATTCTCATGGACAACGCACCCATGCCCTCCACCGGCGGCGTTCTGTTGCTGCGGTATAAGTGCTCGCTTTGCGACCAGCATTGACGCACACCGCGCGTTTATACTTGGTGCAGATTGCCCTCACGGTGTTTGACAAGCAGAGGGAGTGCGCATGGCATTGGGCGCCGCATGCGAAGGCACGCACGTTCGCAGACACGCTCCGTCTGAACGGGAGTAAGATGGATCATGTGCCCGCGGTGTAGGTGGACTCTCGTAAGTGTACCACAATACTTGTATTCTAGAGAACTTTGACGCGCTTGTGCCGCTCCCGCGTATAAGCACGCTCTAGAAACGATTCAAGTCCCATCCCGGCGCTCCCGGTAGCGACAGTGGTGCACGACAAGGGGAGAGAGCAGACATACTTCGTATCTGGTATGTTTTTCGTTGATTTACACTGTTTCATCTACTTACTCTCATTGGCATCTGGTTAGTATCTACTTTGGCCCATTCCCACAAGTAGGTTAGTTGCGCGAGAGGAGCCTCGACTGGCAGACCTCGCCGCGGCGCTCAAGAACATATATGTCCGCACCCCTTGTCGTGGATTTGATACAGACAACTCGGATGATGATAGCAGCAGCAACTTTGCGCCAGCTGAGCAGAAGAAGCTCCAGACGTTGAGCAGTTCAGGGGGCTGATTGTAGTTCTATATATTGAGTAGACAAATCACTCCCTGTGTAGATATTCATGAATACCATCGCGTTTGCAGTGGATTTTGCGCACTTTATTGTGTGGTAATCATCGTATTGTTCCATTAAAACTATTGGCTACGCATTCGATCCTGTCTCGTTGCCTCGGAAATCATGTTCTTTTGACATGAGAAAGTACATTGAATCCTGCAAAAACGTTAGTTGTTCGATCTTGGCCTCGTACATGATTATCATGAATCATCTACATTATTACGATATTCCGAAGGCATGAATAATACATGAAAACTACTAACGTACGAGCATACTTGACGTACATGAGTTTCAGGTATCTCTGTCCTCACAGTGGCGCTGGTGACGACGTCGACTTGTGCATTGTCATAGGTGGAACCCCACTGTGATGACTACCAGTAGTTTTACTCGAGAGTGGCGCCAGTACTTTTATGGAGCTTTCGACGGAGAGTCCGAGCAATGAAGAAGGAGAAATTTGACAGAAAGGTTGTGAGCGTCAAAACAGGGGTTGCCAGCAGTTGACGCAACATCCTCCGCCTCGGCATTTGCCGGCGATTTTCTCTCCCGACGCGATGACAAGAAAACGAGTAAGTTCAATGCTGATATTTATGAAGACATACGTGGGCTACATTGAATGCATGCGATAACGACACCACAACTTCCAAAAGCTACTCTGGGCAATATCCTAACAGATGAACGACAATACTACGGTAGATCTACAAGACTTCACTAGAAGACTCTGTCGGCTCTGGGTTACCCCTGCGACTGTACGCGTCGCCCAGCAGGTCCTGCAAGAAGTCGAACTCGTCAATCATATTACTTTGCACCGTCTTTGTCAGGTTATCTGAGGTAACACCGAACAACGTCGAGTTCGACACGATGTACACACGCTGGTCGGGTAGATCCGCTGCGCGCAAATTCTCCTCGACGCTCTTCCTCGTTGCGTTGACGAAGTGATCTCTGACGATCGCCACGCCCTGCTCGTCATTACTGTCGTAACCGAAGTCGTTCTTCAGCGAGTTTTGGATCTGCATGTCTGCCTTGGACCGCACGATGTAGCACGGGATCTTGAACAAACGCGCGTTGCGGAGGATGGCGATGTCCGTCTCTGTGAATCGGTTGTCGAAGAGGACGATGAGCGCATCGAACACGTACAACGCCTGGCTGTTGAAGTACTGCCAGCCGGGAATCTGCAACGTGCCCGCGCCTGGGATATCGTACCATACGAACGGATTCTTCGGGTCCGAGTCCGGAAAGCGGGTAATGTCCAGCGTCGTCTCGGTGACTCCCGCCTTAGCTGCACCTGCGTCACTGTTGCGCAGCCTGCGGAGGGCATTGAGTAGCGAGGACTTGCCGCTACCCGAGAAGCCTGCGACAGCGATGTGGTAGAGTCCCTGGCAGTACTGGAAGCGGCGCTTGGCCTCCTCAAGGTCTTCTGTGGACGGCATGACGACGGGGCGGATGCCCTCCTTGAGCTGACGCTCCAAGTCGGCCTTCGCCTCGAGCGCTGCCTGTGCTTCCTCCTCAGCGATTCGTGCAGCCGCCTCTGCAGCACGCTGAGCTTCCTCCGCGCGCCCAGCCGCAGCACGGGCTTCCTCAGCTCCCCTCCTGTTGCGCTCCGTGTCCACCTGCGCGGCGTGTATGGCATCCTGCGCCTCTCGAGCCCTTTTCGCCTCCATCTCCGCCTCCCTTGCGAGTCTTTTCGCCTCCTCCCTAGCTGCTTCTGCTTCTCGTTCGCGTCTCTCCTGCTTCTCCTTGAGCCTGTTTGACTCCTCTATTTCGCGAAGCGTTGGGTTTTCGCGCGGAGGCTGGAATATAAGTTTGGCAACAAGGTTTACGATGGCTATAGCGGCAGGAATGAGGACTGAGACGGCAGCAGGAATGAGGACTGAGACAGCGGCACCCATCGAGTCTGAGGTGGGTTTGAAGGAGAAACCGACGGTGCTATCGCCTTGTTAAGTGGTGCTGTTATTCGCGTCCGAGGTTAGGGTACTAGGATACCGATGGCAAGAAAATGCGTGTTTCCGCAACATGCAGAAATTCTTCTTTACAAGTACTAGGAGACGGACAAACCAATGATCTGAGAAGCTCTGGTGGATTCTTCTGATCCAAAACCAAAGGAAATCTGGTGATTCGAAATAGGACATGCGACAAGTTAACGTCTAAAATGGAGAAAGTACTGTCGTTGAAGTGTTTGATGTACCACGTCGTTTGCGCGTCTAATAAAATTAGCTACCTCATGGTCGTAATCCATCATAGTACGCTAATCCCGAGGGCATGTTCTGTATACGCAGAGAAGAAGTTCCATGCAAAAACACGGGCCGCTTGGGATTCCTAGAATGTTCCGGAGGAAAGAAGCACACGTTCAGCTTGCAAACACCGCTGACACTCTCAAGCACCCCAGCGAGGATGAGGATCTGCGGAGTGGCGGCAATTCGAGAACAGTGGTCTTTGCTTTGCCATCGAGATGAAAAAAGTACACACCATGCATGTCTAAGAGTCCCGTTTTGGCTGCATGAATAGCGATCTCTGAGGAACATTCGAAAACGTTGATCATAACTCCATAGTAGTAAATGTTACATGTATAGTAGTGGAATAAGGAAGTAAAAATGCATAAGTAAGAGCAGGAATGCATAATTATCGCGTCGGAGACAATCAAAAGACACCAACATCAGCCCTTTGTATTTAGCACTTTGCCATGACCCAGCACTTTCGAGCAATCTAGAGAATGTAAGTGACGAAACCTGCGACAATGTTTACAACCCCAACAACAGATGCTGACACGCTTGGCAAAACCGTAGCACCGATGGACTGAAGCAAAGAGAATATGCCGGTCGTGTTTGCGCCGTAGGCTGCTGACTGAAGCGCAGACGCTGCGGATGCTGAACCGACACCGCCAGCTTGCCAGCCGAGAGCGTTTAGGATGGCGATGCCCACGGGTTGAACTAGACAGGCAACCCCTAGCCCGATGAACAACCCAACAGCGATTTTACGAGTCAAAGGGTTCCTGTACAGAGAATGGACTGAAAACAATGCACGTCAGCCTCATCCTTTACATTCACCCAACCACCAGGACGTAGTCATTGTTATGGCTGGCTGAGGCCGACATACCGATCGGTCCAGCTTTCGGCACAGAAAGCTGCGCGAGACATGCCTTGACCTGGCCGATGAACGGAGCTGCACGCCGTACACTCGCGATGATATGGCTAGCAGTACGAGGTGTAGTTTCGATCATGCTGCCATCCAACGCCTTTGGTGGGGTGAGCAAGAGCAGACCGTACGTCGGCACGGCAAACAATGCTGCGGAGCATCTGACCTAGGCTAGCTTCGCCAGACTTGAAGATATGGCGAGCGACGGCGAAGAGGTACGCAATGAAGCTGAGGAGTGGTTCATGACACCATGTTGGCTCTATACAGAGGCAAAGAACAAATGGTTACTCTGCTGGTCCAGTGGACATGGTGAATCGAGCTGTTGGATGGATGAGAGGAGATACAGAGAAAATAGAAAAGTTGGGGGAATATACGGAATACACGAGACTCTGGAGGAATGGTTGGAGATAAATATACGCGACGTCCATGGCGGCGCAGCAGAATGGAGTGATGTGACTCGTATTGGAATTTGCTCGTCGGGTGCACGGTTGAATTTGACTCACCCCCTATCGTCAAATCGGAGGCAAGTTATCAATACGAGGGCAAATGATGACTTTTGCAGTGCGATGAACTGCACCAATGGGGTCCTCGGCGCGAGCGATGAGGTCCTATTTCTGATTAATCCTGATAACCTTGCAGAACGAATATTTCAAAATTTCACAGATGTTTCCTGACACGTTGAACGAAGGTTTTGGATTCCGAAGAGAGAATGGGGAAGATGGAGAGGTTGGGGAGAAGAAGGAAATCATCCGCAACTCCGCGCCCCGACCGGCAACTGCCGGCGCGGGGAACACAGCCGTGTTCCTCCTTGGGTCCTCGTCTGCACCGTATCCAACCTTGGATCTCAGTTTTCCTACACTTTGCGCGGTCGCCTGCGCTGGTCGCCTCGACCACTCCTAGAGAGCCATCGTATCAACCTGTCGAAAAACGTTACTCAATCGCCTTCTTGTCGCAGTCTAAAACAAAGCTATTGACAAGTCAAGTCGAATGCTCGTCCTATTCACGAACTCCGAAACCTCCTTGCTGTGGCACTCGATGTCCTCAGCAAGCGCTAGGTTGTCTGTGCTTTATGCTAAGCTTATGAACCGAGTAAACTTTGACTCCAGCTCTTTCGATGTTTAGGTTTCTGCCCCAGTCTCTTGCATTTAGTCCCAGGACACGGAATACGGCGAGAGATTAAGATGATACGCATTCGTACTACAGCTGAATATTGTACTCGAACGCAGGTACGGACTACAGTACCTATGTACACCATACAAACTAATGGTTGTCGATGAACATCTATAGGACTACCGCTGTGTCCAAGTTGCTAGCAATGGATATCGGAACTTCTTCCGTGCTCTCGTCACTGGGCTTTCCCCTTCGTCTCCATGCATCCCCCAGTACATCGTGCACGAGCTCGACTTCGTCGATGACATCCTCCCAAGCCTTGTTCCAGGCTGCCGAATTTCCTCCTTGGGCTACGACGTACGCGCGCAAAGTTGCATTAGAGACGATATACACCCTCTGATCGGGCAAGCCCGCTCTTTGCAGGTTTTCGCGCACGTTTTCCCTTGTGTCCTTTATGAATTCGTCCTTGGCCTTGCGTTTCCTCTCCGCTGGATCGCCAACCCCTTCCCAGCCATCTTCGTCGTCCTAGGAGTCGTTGTCTTCCATCTCCTCCATCTCCTTGACCAAGTTCGTAATGTGCACGTCGGCCTTCGAGCGTACGATGTAGCATGGGATGTTGAAGAGACGGGCGTTACGCAAAATGGCAACGTCCGTCTCCGTAAACCGGTTGTCGAAGAGTACGATGATCGCGTCGAAGATATACAAGGCCTGGTTGTTGAAGTACTGCCAGTCGGGAATCTGCAGCGTGCCCGCGCCAGGGATATCGTACCAGACAAAACAGTTCTGCGGATTGGGATCCGTGAAGCGAAACATACTCAGCGTCGTCTCCTTGATCCCCGTCTTCGCGGCGCCTTTGTCGCGGTTGCGCAGCCCGCAAAGAGCGTTGACGAGCGAGGACTTGCCGCTCCCTGCGTTACCCGCCACGGCGAAGTGGTATAGCCCTTCTCTGTACTCGACCTTGCGCTTGGCTTCCTCGAGCTCTGAGTCGGTGGGCATGACGACCGGCCGGATGCCCTTCTGGAGCTGCTCCTCTGCTTCCTCCTTAGCCGCATGTGCCTGTGAAGCCTCTTCCTCCGCCTTCTGTATCGCAGCCTCCGCAGCCTCCAGAGCCTGCCTTGCCTCGTCCACGCGGCTGTCCTCACCCGAGACGGGCTGCATCTGACTTGGCGCTTCTTCCACCACCAGTTCCTCAGCGGCATTTGCGTCTTCTTCGCCCTCCTTCTCAGTGCTCTCCCCTTCTTCTCGTGGTACCTCCGCCTTTCTCTCCTTGCTCTCCATTTCTTGCGCTTGCTCCGCCTCCTGTACCGTGCTCTCCCTCTCCCACGCTTCCTCCGCCTCCCGCCTCTTCCTTTCCCCTCTGAGTCGTTCTTCTTCCTCAGCCCACTTCTTAAGCCTCCTCTCCGCCTCCTCCTGCTGAGCCTCCACCTCTGCCTGACGCTTCAGTAGGTCTGCTAGCTCTCTGGCCGCCTGTATCTCGCGCTCCCTCTTCTCCTTCTCGCGCCAAAGCCTGTTAATTTCCGTGATGTTGTCCACCGTTGGGTTCGATCGGGGGCGATGGGATCGTACGGCACGGACGAGGGCTGAAACCGCACCCAATGTAAATGCAAGAACTGTCGGCGCCGCGACGATTGAGGCTGCGGCGCCCATAGAGTGCGACGGAGGACGAGGTGGTTGCTGGGTTGGGATGAGGGTACAAGCTTGAGGACGTTTAAGGCGTGCCTTTGTATTTAGAACAAGGTGCCGTCTGCGTCCGTGACATGAGGCAGGCGGCAGTCTTACAGCAGGCGAGTTTTGTTCGTCCACGCTGCCACGTGGATAGAGGAGGGTGGTGAAAACTCCGATACGCTCTGGCAATGTTGAATTACGTCAATGTGTGATTGCCATGTTCCAACCGCTAATAAGAGGCTTCCGTTGTATCGCCTCATATTATGTTCGAAGCAAGCATTGATGTGGAAAGCTTTTGTACATTTCGCTCGACCAAGTATCATACCTCATGCTAATTACACTGACGAACGTGCAGCTATTTCTCCCGGACCTCTTCATTGGTATTTTCGCCCTCACTCTGTAGAAGGGGAGTCGTCTCCGCGTTAGACAGCTGAAGCACACCTGTACCGTTTGAAGCCAGCAGCGCTGCAGCCTGATGTTCGTTGGCAAACTTGAGGCCCAATGCCGTACCAACAATGCCGAGTCCGGCGATAAGAGCAGGCAGGCTAACGACAGCCGTCGCTCCAATCGACTGCAACACAGAGAATACGCCGGCAGTATTTGCGCCATATAGTATGGACTGTATCACGGTTGCTGCGGATCCGGCAGCGACGCCGCCGGCTTGCCAACCTAGAGCGTTCAAGACAAGGATGCCCACTGGCGGCAGCGCGAGCGCAAGACCGAGGCCTATGAGCGCGACGGTGACCATCTTCGGATTATCGCGGTAGAACGCACGAACTGTCACCAGAACCTCAGAAACACTATTTGACGAAGCAAAACGAAAAGTCACATACTCTTCTCGGACGCCTGCTTCACACCCTCGACCAACCCATCCTTAGCATGCAGCGCAGCAAAGTGCGCCACGAATGCCGTATCCTGAGCTATGAGCGGCGCTGCACTCAGCGCGGCCGCGACGGCATCGCGTACCGCGTGGAGTGTAGTCTCGGTCACAGCGCCTATGTTCTGAGCAGTAGCGGCGAGTGCGAGTGGCGCGGTAGCAGCGACGTGGAGAGCTGCGTTGTGGATGGCGGACCCTGCGTTATGTGCGACAGCTCCGAAGACCGGACCTGCAGACTGCCCTGCGACAACGGCATCGCGAGCGAATGTGAAGAGCGCCCGTCTGAAGCTGAAACAAGATCTGAGCTCGGTGGGCTGCATAGCGGGTGCCATATGGAGACTTACTCGAGAGGCCCAGCAGGCATGATTACTGAGAGGCGGACTTTGGAGGGAGTCGAAGGGGTTCGAGGAGGTGAGAGGCGGGAAGAGGTGGTTGAGTCTGGGAAGAAAACAGAAACGGTTGCGTGAAAGATGAAACGCACAGCAAGACAAGAACCTTACGTTATGGCTCTTCCCGTGATCTGGGCGTCAGTATACACGCGGCGAACAACTTCGATTCAACTATGGAAGAAGCCAAGGATAGGAGGCTCGAAGCGGCCAATCTTCTTTGTTGGAAAGTACATACACATGAATAATGCTCTACTGCGATAGGCTTAGTTGTTGTAGAAGCCTGTTGGCTGCAATAGGTATGTGGAGGTCTTGTTCATACATTTCCTCGAACTCAAATGGATCGGAGAACATTTTGAAGTTTGTATTCTGTGATCCGCGAAGAAACCTGAGGGAAGCACAAGTCATGATTAATGATTCAGGAGGGGGAAGCAAGAAGGCTAGACAAGTCAAACTGTAGCCCTGAGGAAGTTTAGACCTCCGACAGCGGCTTATCCTGCGTCACTGCAGGCGAACTGTGATTTTTCTGTTACAAAAAGTGATTGAAGAAAGCGGACAGATGAAAGCCTTTTGCACCCATCTTTTGCTGTGCGAAATTTTAATCGACCTCATTTTACACCAAGCGCTGAACATCGAACTAAGATAGGTATCTCAGCTAA